CTCTGAGAGCCAGGACCCAGCCCCCCTCCCGGCCGCCATGTGTTATTAGCACAGGCCTGAGCATCCGGCTGACCAATCCCAAGCAAAGCCTTTGTAACTGGAGCTTTGTGCAGCTGCTCATAGCCGCCACTTCGAAACCTCTCCCAAGTATTTCATCTTGTGATTCTGATAGGGGCAGTGACTTTGCTGGCTCCTTCTCAATTTCTTTTTCAAATCTGTGTCATGGCATGCTGCCATTTTCAGACCTCTAGTGCAGTTAGCATAGTCTTTATCAGTGAGATAGGGTTACTTTTTCTTTTTGACACGTTATTTATTAGCTGCAGTGGTGGGGGAAATGCTACCTGAATTATTAATGATGAATTCCTTGGCTGGAGTTGTAATTTGAAAGTCAGCATGGACCTCACACAGAGCTGTATCAAGCTAAAGTTAAGCTTCAGCCATCCCATTCCTGAATAGGCAGTTTTCTAATCCACCAAACACTCTTGGGGAACTATAACCTTTCTTTTATAACGTCAAAACTTGGCACTCGATGCATACTGGCAATTTTACTCTACAAATATACCTGACCGACGCATGTAAATCATTTTTGCATATCAATGTTTACATGAAATTCCAGTAACTTAGCAACAACCAAGGCCCTTAATCAGTATTTGCTCCACTCCAGATTCTTCCGTCTCAGCGACAGGCCACATACTTTTAGTAATCTACATGGGAGTCACAAGATAGCCAGTTGCCTTCTATCGGTCATGCCTGTTGTTCCGGAGAGATTGTGTCTAAATATATGTGCCACAGTTGAGACAGCTGCCCATATATCCACTTGCCCGATAACTGTAATAACACGTGCCCATGTGCACACGTGCCTTGTGACCCAAATAGACAAAGTCAAAGCTTTTGTACGAACATTACTCATTCATTTAAAAACGTGAATCGAATAGGAAGCATTTATAATCCAAACTATCATACTATTTTATTAAATGGTGTGACTTTGATTACTAATCAGGAATATGCATCAATTAATTATGTGCAGAAATCAATGTGAAATTTAAAATTCATGATCAATAATTCTATGATATCTGTGCATGTTGTTTATTTTTGGAGAAACGTAACAACAACTCACCGGCCTTTGAGCTTCTCCAGCTCTCGGTGGTGCAGCATGCTTCTCATGTGCTCATCCATCTCCTGCAGACACACATTAAAAATAAAGCATTTCTTTTTTTCTGCAAGTTTCCTTGTTCAGTTAGGTGACAGAAAAAACACTTTATTGATCCACCCAAGAGGGCGGATATCTCAGCAGTGCAGAAAACATGTGATGAGACAGATATGTTGCTTTCCAAAGAAAACATGCATTTCCAAATTTGGATTTTAAGGGATTAAATGTTCCTTTATGGGAAAATCCAAAAAGCTGAAAAATGAATTGTCAAAAGGGTGAAAACAGATCTGATTTAACTCATGAAAAGTTGACATTGGAATGACTGAACTGAAAAAAACAATTAAAAATCCCAATGATGTGACATTTATTGGGGTCTGTACAAAACAACCATGTTTTCTTACACCTCTATCAAAAAAAGTTAAGCTTCTGCGAGTTGCATTTTGCACTTGGCCATGTTGTTAATGTGTATCAGATCATCCCAACAGAATGTATATATGCTATTGCTGTATTCATTATTCATCACAGTATTTACACATTTATACCGTAAACCATGTTTGAGGGTGGATTACCTGTTTGGAGATGTGGACTGTTTCACAGAGGATGCACTTTCTGTCTCTCGCCATCTTGAACACAAGTGGAAATCAGGTCATTACTGTCAACAGAGACATTTTTAATAAACTACTGTTAAAGGATTCATCAATCACAGCTTGCAAAGAACAAAATTCAACAACAACAACAACGTTCTGTAAATCCATCCTGAAGTATAACTATGTGTGGTGTAGTGAGTGTGGTTCAACCGTAGTTGTAATAATAATCCTGTGCAGTGCATAAACTGTATATTTGCAGCACCAACTCAGACTCATCAAACCAACACAGTCGAGGGAGCTCAAGGCTCATTTTCTCTAAACAAGTACACCTAGCTATTCAACCAACATGCCTCGGTACCCGCAGCCTAAATGCCAGCACAGAGTTCAACCTGGACACTGGTCTAATTCCAGTCTGCTGAGTGTGCAACTCTGTGGCCAGGAGGCAGCAGAGCCACGGCAGCGTCAGAGCTATGTCTGGACTTGTTGAACGTTCACCAACAGGGTGTGAAACTCATGCCGGCCACAAGTCAAAGGCTGGTGGAGTTACACCTGGGGCTGTTTCTACACTAACATCGCCATCTCGAGCTGCAGCTGACCGTGTGGAGACTCTGTTCTATTTCTAACGTGTTACTGGTTTCTACATTGTGCGTACAGTATCCTTTAGTTAGTTAGTAATCTAAAGATAAAAGAAGATATCAGTATGAAGATCCAGGAAAGTGTTTGTTCAGGTGCAGGATGAAGCAAAATCAATTCATGAAGAGGAAAGACATCTGCATGCTGAGAGTTTATTTATCTATGCACGACCCATCTTGGTTTTTTTAAGTGCGCTAACTCAAATCTGGCTGATACGAAAGACAAACGTTACCACAATGCAGACAAACTGGCAGTCTAACCTTCCTACAGCCAACACTGGAAAAAGGCTCTGATGGGGTTATTGATTTGCTAAGATCAAGAAGGAAGGTGCAAAAAAAAAACACAAAAATCAGGATTCTTGTAGATGATTGTGTATAAAGATTAAACCTAATGAAAACTAACAAAAACATTACGCTTCAGACAGAAATCACAGGAAAAAAAACCTATAAATGTGGCTTCTTTTCTTATAATGTACGGCAGCGCCTTCTTATCTTTACCATACTGGGTCAAACAGCAAAGTTTAATATAGAGTAAGTCTAATAATGACCATGAGTAAGGTCGTCCTCAGTAATTAGACCTATATTCTGTTTATGACATGCCTCACAATACCTCCAACACCATTGCTCCTCACTCCCAAAGCACCAGAGGGCAGCTATTTATAATGCCAGTATAATCCTGTGTCTGTGTCATTGAATCTCCAGGTGGCAAAGATACCACATTAATCTCAGATAATTAAGTAAAACAGTTTATAAAACAGCCCCTGGTTATGGGGGGGGCAGAGAAAGATATTTAATGTAGGATTCCTTTAGAAAATAAGCCTCTGAGAGCCTCATGCATTGACTGAAACCGACTGTTGTCTTATAGAAATAAAGCTGGGAGAGAAAACACAAAAGCAATGCATGGTGCAGGATCAGAAAGAGACAATAAAACCACGAATGCACAAAAGCAACAGCAGCTTTACACACTTATATCTGAGGTTTATAAAGGACGCGAAAGCTGCTACAGCTGTTGTTAACTTGTAACGTTACTAATCTGACCGAGAAGCAAACAAAACGTCCAGCGAAAAACACACGAACCGCGACTCCCGGCTGAATTAAAAGTTAAAAGTCAAACAAGCGCCGCAAAGCTAGTTAGCGACGTTAGCATCGGAATGCTAACCAGCGACAGCAACTGACGTAAAACGAGCGCGAGCAAAAGTCCAAATGTTTAAATTATAAAAGAGAGACACATTAATTTCTGTTTGCTACCTTTATAACATCCAAATGTGTGTGTGTGTGTGGGGGGGAGGTTTACTGCATTTTCTCATCCACCGTAGAAGCTAACAACAACAACAATAATAACAACATCCGGTTGCGCGCGCGCCCCCGACCGGAACTACAACCCAGGACGCGTTCACGGACGTCGCTGTGCAGGAAAAACCAGTTCTGTGTGACGTTCAATGTTTTATGTAACAGTTTTAGTTATTTTACTCGTGGAGCAGTGTTATGAGGATAGTCCTAACTTAAATAGTAATTCATTATGGTTACAGGGGGAAAACAAGATGTAATCAGATTACAGTAACATAGAAAAGTAAAATTGGGATTGTTTAACAGGATTGTAATTTACATAATGCCATATACATCAGGTTTCTTATATTAAAATGCGGGGACCTGCCTGCTGTGTTGTCCTATTTGGAATAGGCTTGTTGTTTAAATTTAAACCATCCTCGTTGACTGTGATGTCTTTTTTATTGATTTTTTGTATTTGTTTTTTTATTTTGTTGTTTTTTGATGGTTTTTTTTATTTATGTTTTTTTTTTGTTGTATTATATGTTATTTTGGCCTTTGTGAGTTTTTTTTTTATTCTCCTGTACAACACTTTGGTCAACTTTGGTTTTTTTTAAAATTTTAAAAAATTTTTGGTGATAATACCATATACATCAGGTTTTCTTTAAAAAAAATACACACGTTTGATGCTCAAAATCTTTCCGTTTTCTTTTCAAAGGTTAAATAATACAAAACATACATTAAACATACATTAAATTAAAATTACAAACCCTAACCTTAGTTATTTTTAATTTTATTCTTAGGGTTAGGGTGTTTAATGTATGTTTAATGTATGTTTTATATTTTGTATGCTACTGGATACTTGAATTTCCCTCGGGATAAATAAAGTATCTATCTATCTATCTATCTATCTATCTAAATTGTTCTGTTGTCTTATAAAATACACTTAGATCAATACATTTCTTTTCTCTTGGTTTTATTTACATATTTGTTGTTGAGGTAACCTAAAAGTAACGGAAAGTAATCAAGTTACTTTCATATTTTGATACTTGGATTAGTTTACTGACTACATTTTATTAGTAATTAGTAATTGTATGGGATTACATTTTTAAAGTAACTCAATAAAAACATTTTGTTTGTTAGCGCTCAGTTCTTTAGTTGAAAAAGTTAAGTCCACATCATTAATATTATGTATATATGACTCCTTCTGTTTCTATTATTATCTCGTATTTTCGTCTTTAGTTCTTTATTTAATGTTTATTTTCTTATCTATTGTGTTGTGTTGCATCGTGAGCAGCTGTAACAAGCAAATCTTCCCTGTGTGGGATCAATAAAGTCAATATATGTTCAACACAAACTAGAAAATTCAGGCATAAAAATATATTTTTATTTTCCAGCGATTCTTAAAACATAGCATGTGAGATACAATAATGAACAACAACACAATTAAGACATTAATTCAAGTAAATCTGAACAACAACGAACACACGGAAATGTTTTTACATTATGTTAAAATCAAGATTTCAGCCTCTCAACAGCTAGAAAAATAAACAGCAGATCACTCTGAGAGAGGAGTGGGAGTTCGTTGTCACCCGTTTAGAGTTAGCGATATAGTTATAATGTCTTTGGACTATGAGTGATATTTTCTTGAAAAAAGTAGGACACAAACATAAAACACTATTTTCCCTTTTAGGAGTAACATCATACACACAAGAACCAATTCCAAAATCCAGCAACATTTTGACCAAAACTTCACATTTTCTCAGTTTTTACACCTGAAACAGCCCATCCACACCTTTAAACCTCCTTTATAAAGCTTCAAACCATTAAAAAAACATTCCGAGTGTCTCAGCTTTCAGCAACATTTTCTTTTGTGCTTGAACAAAACTACTTCTTTTGAAATGCAACAACTTTAAACTTCTTGTCAAACTGACTTTTTTTTTAGGAAATTATTAATCTAGCAGTAATATTCAGCTAGAACATATTACTGGGTGTTAAAAGTCAATAGTGTTTGATACCAGGAATTAAGTAGTAGCAAGTAGTGAAAAACACAATCGTGAATAAAGAATAACACTCAGATCAACTCTTGGATTATTTGGAGCTTCTCAGACTGGGTCATCAGCTTAGTTATTAATTACTTGGTTCATTTCCCGTGCTTTATTCCTCAGGTGTCTCTTACGCATCTTGATTATCCACTGAATAGTGAGTTTGGCAAAATTAGCAGCCTTGAAGAGAGCCATGAAGACCCCACAGAGAATGGCTACGGAGCTCCAGGGATTTGCAGTCACTATCTGTTTGAGAGGAAAACAAAGTGGAGTTATAGACTCATACACTGATACAGACAGATCAAATCTAATGGGGATGAAATGTCTGCGGCGACTTACCAGTCTGATTTCTTGCATGTAAGGATCCCGCCATTCAAAGACAGCAAAGAAGAGCTGATTGGTTCGATCTATTTCAGGCCTTTTGTCATTGAATTTCACCACGGCAGACTAAAAAAATCCAACATAAATGATTAAAATTAACGTTTTTAAAATCAATTCTCATCATGCGTGCAAGCGTCTGTACTCTGGTTGGACATCAATACCTCTTGACGAAACTCGACGGCTTCATTGCTTCTCCCAGACGTCCTCACTAAAGACATCTTGACCCAGGTTCTGAATCCTCCAGAGAAGGTCCACATGGAGTAATTCCTCTCGCAGTCCCTCATAAACTTGGACTTATTTGCACTAAAGAGTTGGAAAACACAAATTGAGACACTGAGATTGCAAATACACTACTGCTGATATCAGTCAAATAGCCCTTTTAAAATCACTCTTTGTCACATGGGGCATTAGGTAGCAGATTGATAATAGCAATTCAGATAAGCCGTCAGTATAGATAGACTAATTGGACTGATGCCTGCACTCTTAATAAAACACACAATGCCTCCTTCAACACCTTTCTCCTAAATGACAGCAAATCTAATCTAAAACTTTTACTAGAATTAAATATATATTATAATGTATAAATAATATAGTTGAGAGATGTTTCTTCTGGCATAATCTCCCTTAAAAGCCATAAAACGTTCTGAAATCTACAAAAAAAAAATTCTATTAATGATCAAATTTGATACAAATTCAATCTAAAACATGTTACTGGTTAAGATAACCATGTACTGGTATATGAGATTGTAATGTGCATGGAATAATGGAAATATACATTACTTTCCCTCCCTGCTCTCTAAATATCGGCCATTAAAAACCCACATTGGTCGACCACACAACAGTTTACTTAACTGACATTTCAGTGTCGGTTCATTATCTGTGTGCCTCTGCGGCTATCACACTAGTCAGACATCACTTGGATCAATACCTGTTTGCAGTTACCTGTCAGTGAAGTCACTAAACTTGGCAAAAAGCATATAAGTGATGGCGCTGAAGTCCTCTTCTGTTTCATTATGACTGAACTGCATGAAGATCAACTCTTTGTTTCGGACATCAGACGGGCCACGGACCACCAGAGCTCTTTTCTGTGAAGTTAAGAGTTGATTAATAAGTTAATAGTCTTTCTTCAAAGCAAAAAGTGGGTCACTTTCTCAAATCTAATAATTGATTAAGGTTTATTTAAGAGCTGAGAGCTGTAATTCATGTCCGTGTTTTTATGGCTGACCTCTGTTTCATTGGTAAACGGCCCAAAGTACGTCACGTTGTCAATCACACAGTCTCCTTCCTGAGGTTTGCCTGGGTCCACTAGAGGTGGGATGTAGTCATGGTAGTGATGTCTGCAGCTCAGCAGCCGAGCTTTGCCGGGGTACAGGGCGATACCTGCTCAAAGGAAACACATTTAAAACATACAACAACAAGTTTTTAACTGGTTATGAAACACTACATTTTATATTGATGCCTCTATATGACCTACATAAACAAACAAGACCATCAGCGAGAAGATATTTCTATATAGTTATTCCTAATGTCGGCCACTGGTCGGATTCCCCTTGATATCAGCTATGACCACAGGGGTCGCCAGAATCAACAAAACATGAAAGTTCCTTGTTCTTTAATATCGATTCATTACATATTGAGACTTAAATACAGCAGCGAGGGCGCCCGGTTAGCTCAATTGGTAGAGCTGGCGACCACGGACCGAGTCCTGCAGACCTGTGGCCATTTGCTGCGTGTCATCCCCTCTCTCTACGCCCCTTTCCTTTTCTATCTCCAGGTGTCACTGTCAATTAAAGGCAATAAAAAAATTAAAAGAAATACTGCAGCGAGCTATTAACAGCTGTTTATTATGTTGAACCACTTTCAATTTATATTTATATGATGTTCAAACTGCCCTCAAAACTTTCACTGCCTGATATCACAGCCTGGTTAAAGTTCATAACACCATAAACTTTTATTAGTCCGGTTGTCCAGTTTGTAAGATGATATATAAAATATATTATATAATATATCCTCTATTGGACGCAAGTTTTCCCACTTGTACAGTTCAATATATTGCTGGTATATTGCCAGCTGGCTCAACATTAGCCTCACACTGTTTAATTACAGTATTTTGTTCAGATGAATTAAGTTATATATGCTTATAAAAAGGGGTTAAAGACAGAACAATTCAGTTTGTGTCTATTACTTAGCTGCACTGCTATAGGTACAAGTTGTATAAGTACATTAAATACATACATCTCATCCAAATATTATATTTTTTACTCCACTAGGTTTATCTGAGCTTTAGTTGCTTATTAATTAATTATAATAAGGTTTTAAATACAAAACATACAATAAGTTAATAATAACCTTAAATAAACACCCCAACAGTAAACCAAGTACTTCATTCTGCATGACAAGCACTTTGATACTTAAGTCGATTTTTAATGTTAATATTTCTGCACTTTTACTTAAACTTTGAATACTTTAATCATTAATATGTTTATTTGAATAAAACATCTTCCACCACATTACCTACTAACCCCAGTCATGGTCCCAAATTACCCTCCAAATTACCCTCCTTTATGTATTATTTATACGAACCCGGGGGTGAAAACGAGTCAACCTCTTTGTAGGTGACGGACATGACGGGGTGGTTGAATTTCTCCAAAAACTCAGAGATGGTCTGGTAGGCCAGGAACACCGCCACGGCAGTCAGCAGCAGGTAGATGAAGATGAGCACCACAGTGAAGACATTCTTCAGGCAGGCTTTACTGAACCTCATCGATGGACTGTATCCCCTGATGTCGTCCTCTGCCATGCACCAAGATAGAACATGTCTCACGCTCTTTGTTTGGATGTATTAAGGGACATATTACGTAATTAAAATGTAATAACTGTGTATAGGCAGTAGTGGTAAAGTCTCATTAAAGCAGAGTGAGACTGTGAGATGTTATAGATGAATACAGACCATTTATAACCACATTAAAGGTGCTTTTTGATGCTGCATCTATTGGTTGGAGAGTGTTTAATTAAAAAAACTCTTAAAAGTATATTTTTATAGCAAAGAGACTGGCAGCTGTGGTTGCCAAGAAACTGTTTTGCCATATGGAAATAAAATATGAATGCTTATATAGGATATGATGGTGGTTTTCTGTGCAATTTACATGCTGTAATATAAAGAAACAACTTTATTCCATGTAAATTAATTTAAAATGTCGTACAAATAAATGTTTTTCCCTGAAATATGATGTTTTTTTAACTGTTACAGAAACTGTATTTAACCTATTTAGAGTTTAAAGTCTTTTACCGTGAGTTTTTTTACTGAGTCTTCACTGGTTATTACCTGGTGAGATGCTGTCGTTAGGCTCCTCGGGCTCCATGTGTTCAGTGGTGTCGTCAAAATAGTCTGGACACCGTGTGTCACCGTCATCGTCTTCATCATCATTGAACTGCGAGGATGAGAAAAAGGACATTAAAGTAACAAAGAAATATTGTCTCTAACTGATATGCAAACGTGGAGAAAGTAGACTTATGTATGAAATTAAAAGCAGTAAAATGTGCTTAAACTTTCACTCATAACCAATAAAACAACTGAAAAGCAGAATATTAAAAAACAAGAGAGAAAGTAATATAAAAATAATATTATTTATTTATATATATATATATATATATATATATATATACACATCCTTTATTCCAACAGCTGTAACCATCCTTAATAAAAATGTGTTTAGGACCAGATTGTGAGGAGGAATAATCTCTGTGTCTCTTGGCAAAACTGCATTCATTATATAAATATAATGTACTGTAACCTGATATTACCCTGAGCTTCATTTATAAGAAAAAAAAACCTTCATTTACATTTTGTAAACAATTTAACTGTTTTAAATAGTAAAAGTCTCTTACACAATGAAAAAAATATATATCTTCAGGTTAAATAAAGGATTAAAATTTGGATTTCTTCCAATCTTAAATTAAAAGTCATAAAAGAACAACATGTATAAAGAATAAAATAGTGATTACAACAATTAAAACAACCAATATAATTCATATAATTTGTATATTATTAGATTTTATTACATTTTATATTGCTTTTTTACTTTAGATCTCCCTGAAATGTGAATAAAATCACAAGATTAACACTGTTTCACACCCATAACAAAATAAGTACATTAAACCAGACAACAGTATTACAAACAATACATGTGTACTGTATTATATTAGTTATTAGTTAATAAACATGTAGCTGTGGTACAACTGCACTCTAATAACAGCACTAGTAGTAAACAACAGGGCTTATAAAGGTATGCATTACACTGTTTATACACACATTCATTATGCCACCACTCCTACAATGACTTAAAGCTTTAATGAGACAGTTTAAAGATTATTTTAAAGATTATTTCAGAGTTTGTCTTTAGAATAACAGGCTGCAACTTTCGGCTCAATAACCAGGTGGACTCAGAAACCATTAGTCAGCTGATTTCACGTTATAGGAAGCAGGACGGTCACATGATGTCAAGTGAGCTGGACAGTTCGTGGACCCTCCGTGTGGTGAGGAAGTTACACTGAACTGAAACTATTAAACCTTATTGAGACATTATATTCAAACTGTGACACCTGCACACACACACTCACACACACACACAGAGAGAGAGAGAGACATAAAGGAAGCTGTATAAAGTCTTCCTACCTCTTGGTATGACCGGGTGTTTTCCTTCCTCAGCATTCCTCTTGCACTTCTTCCAATGACCAACGCTTCCTCTGCTCCTCAGCGGGAACTGTTCGGCTATTTGAGCAAAGTTTGAAAGTTGCTTTTAATAAATAACAGGTGCATTATAAAGGAAATATAACCCCCCCTCCCCGTCCCGTGTTTGGGTCCCAGTTTTCGGCTCTACAGGGAGACACACCGCACACCCTTGGGGTTTTTTTTTTTTTTTGGCGACGATAAAGGCCCATCCCATGATAATGAAGCACCTCCAGCCCGCGCTCCAATACTATAACCCTTGTGTCCTTAACGACGTTTCCTTGTTTCCTTTCTCCTTCCACTTTCCTAGTGCTGCCTTTAGGTGCCGCTCGTAAAAAGTGTACACAGCAAGCTCAAAGAGGTCAGGTGTGTGCACACATACAAGGGTTGCTTTCAATGTACAAACACAGACTAACAGCATAAATAAACAGGACAACAAGTTCAACAGAATAGACTAATATGTACAGTTATACAGTTATAAACAATAATATCTGTAGACAGCAGACAATAGTGCAGAGTGCAAAGGAGGACGTGTATTTTATGGTGGACTAACATTATTACTATTACTATTTGGGGTAGCCTGAACCCGAACCACAAGCAGATTTGGGCCCTAAACTGACCCGGAGTTTCTGCTTTAAATAAAGAATTGAAATAGTTAAGCCTAAAGTAAATTACATTGTGTATATAATTATTATAGTGCAACTTATTGTCAAATAAATACATCACAAATTCCCTCATTAATTGCAGTTATATGCATAATTAATAAAATATTAAATATGTATATTTTGAAACATATAAGTCAGTCCGAGCCCGACCTTTAGCAGCAGTTTTATGGAGAATCAAAGCTCTAATTTGGGGTCTTTATCTAGATTTACACACAAAAAACAGCCTTGCAGAGAGGTTCCCTTTGGGTCGGCAGTTCTGATATTTCTGGGGTTTTTATGTTCTTTATAAATTCTAAATTATAATGACGCACATTTTAACAGAACAATCCCAACTCAAAAACCACTTACTCGCTTTTAATGGCAACCGTGTCCCATGGTCTTCATCATCAAATAAAGAAACTATTCCTTTAACAACAGTGAAGCAGTTTATTCTTCAGTATTTAGACAACTCCCAAACTCAAGGGTCTGCTCATTAACTCTCTTTTTCCTGAAGCTTTCGACCAGATCACACAGGATCACACCATTAGCGCTAGAATTCCCGACGGCCCTCAAACGCAGCACCAGCCCCATGCAGCAGGCAGGGAAGTGGTTGACAAGAGTTTCCGCATTAAACTCGTCCAAACAACGATCCTACCATGGCAACAGCGCGGGATCTGTGTCCTGTTTGTTGTCCTTTGCACGACTTTAGCCGAAGATGTTAAATTAAAGTATAAAGCCTCCACCAAACCTGTCCGATTGTTCACTGAGGAGGAGCTGAGGAGATACGACGGCAGCGAGGTAAACTTTAGGTTTCTAACCCCCAATCCAGGGTGTGTGTGTGTGTGTGTGTGTGTGTGTGTGTGTGTGTGTGTGTGTGTGTGTGTGTGTGTGTGTGAGTTTTATGTCTGTGTCAGTGTGTGTGCCTCCCTAAATGTTATTATGTGATAACGATTTATCTCTCTTTTCCCCTGTTTTTCACCCCCTCCCTCCCTTTCTTAGGAAGGACAACCTATTTACATGGCAATAAAAGGAGTGGTGTTTGATGTCACCAAGGGAAAAGGTAAAGAAAACAACCACTTAACCCCTGATACTGATTTATACAATTAAAACTGATTAACTCTAACAAAACTATTAAAGTTAAATTGACACACCACTAGACAGCCTCTCCTCATTTCTCCTCCAGATCTACTGATTCTGATGTTGCATTCACTGCACTGTGTTGAACTGATATTTCACCCCATTGCAGAGTTTTATGGAAAAGATGCACCGTACAACGCCCTGGTTGGGAAGGACTCCACTCGGGCTGTGGCTAAGATGTCCCTGGACCCAGAAGACCTGACATCAGATACCGTAGGTTTACAGTCTAATGTTTCCACACACTTCAGACACCCAACTGTAGTCCACAGTGTTTCCCAGAGAGTGAGGATGTATTTGTCGTGGTTCACACCCATGGGTGGAGAGCACCGACATCTGACTCCAGAGTGTCGGCTGTAAAACAGCATTGTATTCCTAATCTACATAATTATACCGAAACCTTATAGTTTCAAATGAATGCACCACTGTTTCAGGCGTTTCAGTGCATCTTTACACGCTGTAGACTTTTGAAAGGAAGAAATAAAAAACATGTAAGCCGACAGCAAAATTCTACATATTGTAAACAGGTAAAAGCAAATTCTCGCAACAACAACAACAACAACTATTCACATTACAGAGATTATTTTCCACTTCTTTCACACCAAGATAACAGGGAGTAATTGGAGATAATATATATATATAATATTACAGGATGTCTGAGGGACTTTAGAGATACTTGTGTGTGTTTTAAGAAGTTTTTCTTGCAAAAGAGATATTGATCTCAATGAGACTTCTTGAATAAATGAAGCTTAACTCTAATACACTCAATATTAAGAGTCTAATCTTTAGGAAAAGTGCAGAATTTACTTCCTAAAATGCATCTTGAAATTACTTACAGACTCAGATACTCAGTATTTTTATGTCCCTGCTGAAATGTATCTATTGGTAAGAAATTAATGTGTTTCAGTTTTCTAACCGATCAGATAAGACCTTTATTGATCCCTTGTAGGAGAAATTCAGATTAGACACAGCAGTAGAAGAACAGAAGTGGGAGTAAAATAAGATATTACAGAATATAATAGAAAATATAGCCTATAGATGAAAAGTATATACGCTATATGCAATATCCAAGTAAAATGGTCTGCAAATATTAGACAAAAAAACGAAACAAGATTAGTAGTACCTCGTTGTGTCCTCATTTACAATATAGCTGAGTAAAAAAATGAGTAGTATCCAAATAAGAAGCCTTGATTAAAAAGGTTGATACAAGTAAAAAGAATAAAAAGCCAATTAGTAAAATAATAAAACCTTAAAGTAATTTAAATTTAAAGCGACTGAATTAACTAAAACAAGAAGAACTGTAAATGAAATCAGATACGATTAAACTAAGTGTCTCTTCCTGTGCTTTTATTCTTTGGCTACTAAAATGTACTTTTGTTGACTTAAATATTAAAATAAAAGTAATAATCAAGCCTTTTTTTATACAGCCCATGACAAATTCCCCTCAAATGGCTTTAAAATCTGTGCTAATAAAAGTTTTCCATCTTTCCGTCCACAGACGGGCCTCACTGAAGAGCAGCTGACTTCTCTGGACAGCGTATTCGAAGGCACGTACAAAACAAAGTATCCCATTGTTGGTTACACGGCATCACGCATCCTCACTGAGGATGGAAGTCCCAACAAAGACTTCAAACCAGAGGACCAGCCTCATTTCCAAATCAAAGATGAGTTTTAATCTCAGACTCAGAACCTAATATGTGATCGGTGCGATACGCACACAAACGGAGAACAAAATACATTTGATAGAAATACTTCTACTACTTAGTTTTTACTTGAATTGCGGGTTTACATGATGATTTATTATCTGTGAGAGCTTTAACGTGCACAGTCCTGAAGAAACCATTTCAATACTTACTGTAGCTTTTTTTAAATACAATATTAGCCTGATATCAGACAGAACTGACAACTCGTTACACTCAACTCGGTGGAGAGGGCGGATTCAAAGGTCTGAACCCAGGCAAACAAACTATGTCAAGATAAGGCGGTTTTGATAAACATCAGGGATTACAGAGTAAAATAATCCCATTTAGACATATAAAAATACACAAAAAAGTTCAATCCTTCTTAAAATGACATCTACACCTTCTCCCACATCTGTAAATATACAAATATTTTATATTTCAGATGTTCTGGACACAAAACTTCCGTTCTCGGTGTATGTGCACTGCAGGTTTAAAGTTTCTGACATTAAACTCAAATTTAAGATGAGCACAGAGAAACTTTATTGGACTCCTCAGTGGATGAATGTGAAAACATCCTTTTAGTGTTCAACACAGTGAAGATCAAACATCAATAAATGAAGTAACATTATCTAGAATACATTTTGAGCAATAATACGTTCACTGAAAGATGTATACAAGTTAAAATAAAGACCATCTACCTCTTTAGACCAGTGAGAGTGAGCAGACAGACCAGAACTAAACATTAGCTCTCACATTCCCCTGAATTAGATTTTAGTAGAGCTGCCACTGAAGATCATTTTCATTATTAATGGCGCTTAATTGTTGAGTTTATTAAATGCCAGAAAATAGTGAAAAACAGCCAGAACTTATGTTAATATCTTTAAATGTCTCATTTTCTCTCAACGTGTTTAATTTATAATGATTTAAAGTGGAGAAAAAACAAAAAAAGCCAGAGCCAAAACAATATTTGCTGCTTGATTAATGACTTAAAATTGTTGTCAATTAATTTCCAAATTATTGTTTCAGCTTTAGATTTTAGTGTAAAATGTTGTATTTATGTATTTAAAACCACTGAATCTGCAGCACTGTGAATGTTAACATGATCACAATCAGTCCATTTTGTTTTCTGCCTGATTTTTGCTTTTGTACAATTATCATTAAAGTCTGTTAAAACACAAACTTCTTACAGTTTTATTCACTTGAGTTTTTTAAACACCAAACAGACACGGTGCAGTTGGCATGTTATCTTGATATGATCTCTTTATGACAGCCCATGACTCACCTATGTCACCTTCAAACTGGCAACATAAAATAGTACGTCCGGACATATATAGCCTTGCATGCGCTGATCAAAGGTCACAGCCATTTCAGGTGCTGAGACAGGTGATTGTCTTTGGGTGGAGCTGTGCGTCTTGCTGTACCGGGTGGTCACGGTGGAGGTAAGCCTGCCAGTGTGTGTGATAGTCGTCCCACGTCACTGCGAGTGATCTACAGCCGAGTTCAAAGGACACAAGCCCTGCCCTTGAGTCTGCCAGCGAGAGCGGAGCTGCGTTCTTTATCAGGTGGAGGTTCTGCTGGGAGTCGGCCACTGCAGCCTCAGTCATCCTGGGAAACACTTTCTTCTGCTGGAGCTACCCCACCAACCAGAGCCAAGATGCCCAAAACAGTAAGACTCTCATGATTCTTCACATGTTCTGTAAAGATAATTAAATGCGTCACTGAAAGGTCTCTTCCTGGTTTGAAAGGGGGAAGGTGGGTTAATACCTAAATACTAAATACTTATAGAGAAAGACCACTGAGAATAACAATATTTAAGGTGATCAATCATGTATATTTTGACAGATTTAGTCACATCTTTCCTTCTTTGTTCAAGCTTGTGAGTTATTTCCAAGAGGCACCAATCCTTCTTGGCATTTACTCATTAACCAAATGTAGAGTTTGACCCATGCTGCACACATTCCTGGTAGAAAAAAGTGCTACTAAAATGCTACTTACATGGCTAGAACTGGGCCGTATGTTGTCTGTGTGGTTGTGCAAAGCTGATAATAATCATCTTTGGTGACACTGGTGTGATTTGTAAAACGTCAAGAGTGACTTTCATCATCAACTCATGACTGTGTGGTTTAACTTTGATTTTCTAAGACTAGCAGCAATAATCGATTTTCCATCTAAAACAAAAGGAACCCTTTATGTTTTATAAGTCCTAAATGCCCTCAGTTAGAGTTACTTAAGCATTCAGCATCAGTCTGTGGGAAAGCTGATAAGAAAGGCCGGCCTGTGCATTACGACTGCAACTCTGTGCTTATATTGACACTCCAAGGAGAAAGCCACTCTTGAGAGGTCATGCTGACATCCGTCTCCGTTTGACTGACGTTAAACTAACTTGAAATCAAACAAATCTATGAGTCAGGGTAGCAGGTACCACCTGTGTTGTTCTGGAAAGTGCTGAAATGTGGTTTATGAGTGGAAATCTAGCTTAGATTTATAATTAAATAAATAAAATAAGAGTTTTTTTAGATACCAAAAAAATTCAGTCAAAGTATAAGCAGATCAGAAAACTCTCTAAATTTAAATGCAGCAGCATACTGATTGATTGTAATGGATTACTGCATCCATAATGGAGATTACCACAGTCAATGATTTGAGAAAAGGTCGGGCTGTGGCAGATAACAGCGAGGAATGCCTCAGTTGGACGTTAGAGAGTTAAGAAGTTATCTTACACATGTGATCATGGAAAGTGGAAACAGTTAGGAAACATGTTGGAGGTTTCATAAATGGATGTTCTAGTGTTTGTTGCCCAAGTTTTAGCAGGTTTATCTTTATGACACCCGGGGTGTGCTCTAGTGTAACTTCATAAAATGATTGTGTAACTACAAGCCCAACCTTGCCTGCAGTCCAGGGTCACTGCAGTTGTCGTATGTTTGTTGAGCTTTCAGGAAAATATGAATAACCCTTGTCGTCTGAGAAATTCCATCCTAGAGACACTTGAAAGTCAGATTTATGCGCCAGTTTAGTTGCTCTTGTTTTTTAAAAGAGGTCATTACTTACTAACAATGGTAAAGTCTAAAGGCAACTTGGCAAGCAGGGAGTATTTTGATATTTTAATCAGCGAATGTGCAACCTTGTGGCACCTCGCAAGGGTAGTCCAAAGTCTAATGAGATAGTGAACAATTATGGTTTATGAACAATCCACTTCACAGCTTCACATTAAAGTCTTTTCTTTACTATGACAAAGGTTTCATAATGAAACCATCAATGTGCCCAAATTAGGAAGATAAATTAAAGTATGACAAATGCAGCATTGATGGATCCAGATTTATATCGGGGACAATGACTAAATGCTGGGACTGAACAGTAATAAAAGGGGTTTATGTGTATCCAAACAGAAAATCACTGTTGTCACGTGACTAAATGACCTTTTTTGCTGCAGGTCAACGTTCGCGTCACCACTATGGACGCAGAGCTGGAGTTCTCCTTCCACCCCAACACCACTGGGAAGCAGCTCTTTGACCAGGTCTGTATGTTACTGTGGGAAAAGCACTACAAGAGTTTGCACAGATCATTTTAGTCTAAACTGGGAACGATAATCTCCTGATAAAGTTCTGTTTCTGACTGTAGCAAGTCAGTCAGTAGATCCAAAGTCCTGCATTCAAAAACTTACTGAAGAAAAAGTATTTTCAGCAAAATATACATCAAGTTTCAAAAGTAAAAGTATTTGTTGTGCACAAAAATGGCCCCTTAATATTGGTTTATTGTGTCAATATAATAATAATCATGTAGAAGTAGTGTATGGAAGTTTTAGGTGGTCAAGCTGCATCCAATTTTAATTACATTATAAACTGTTGAGTGACAGTGTATCTTTTATAATCTGTTTATTTGTTTTTGATGTAAATTCTTCACCAGCAAAGTAATGTATTGGAGTATTTTCACTCTGAAATGTAATCGAGTATAAAGCACTTAAATAAAATACCTCAGAATTACACATAAGAACAGTACTCAAGTAAATGTACCTTCCACCACTCGAGATATTATATCAAAGAGCAGAAAGTGAGTCCTGAGACTACCATTATTAAATATTAAATATATATTATTTATTATTATTATTATTATTATTGATGATACTTTTAAGTCCATCCTGATGGTAGAAAAACAGATTTTATCCTACAATCAAACAGGATGAATAAAATGCATTTTATCTATAGAAAAGTTCAGTACCTGCAACTAATTACACTTTTCTGTTGTCAAGTGAAAACAGAAAAACAACTATGTGGCCATGTTTTTAGTCTGTCTCATGAAATCCTTTAAAACTCTGTCAGAAAATGCAGAAAACGATGAGTCGGCCTTCTCAGTTCCGGAGAACTTTACTTATCAATACCTAAATTATCAATAACTCGCTCTGAAAGGTGACATCACCGCCCGACAGTATGACGCCCTCTTTCTCCGTGTAGTGTATAATTACCTAAACCTTTGCACTGGGCAGGAAGGCAGCTCCACGATAAAGGGCTCCTGGGACTTTAAAGCGTGTTCACATCAACTACTGTTCTAGTTGTTCAGATTGACAACCTGCAGTCTCTAACAGACCTCTTGTCCAAAGGTTGTTTCTTCAGAATATCAGAAGTGAGATGAATGAAGGAGAGGAGGTTGAGGTCATCTGTTATCATGTCTCTCTTCCTCTGTCTCCGTGCCTCAGGTTGCCAGGACCATCGGCCTGCGGGAGATTTGGTACTTCGGGCTGCAGTTTATTGACGCCAAAGGATTCCTCACATGGCTGAACTCTGACAAGAAGGTAAACCTGTGGTTCCTCTGAGTGACTGTGTGGATAACTGACATCATGTTTCTTTACACTGTGCTACTCAAATCTACATTAGATGTACTTTATTTTACACTATTGCTGTACCAAAACTGTACCGTATTATCCATTGTGCTTAACTTTATCCTAAAAATCTGTCATTTTCTTGATGAATCGATTAGTTTTTTAATTATTAATTGCCAGAAAATAGTGGAAAATTCCCAAAGTGACCTCCTCAAATGTTTTTGTTTTGCCCACAACTCACATATATTCAGTTTACTGTCACAGAGGACTAAAGAAACCAGAAAATATTCACATTTAAGAAGAAATCAGAGAATATGTTCTTAAGGAATGACACAAAACAATTAATTGATGATCAAAATAGTTGGCGATTAATTTAATAGTTAATCAACTTATTGTTGCAGCTCTAATTCTAATAGAACTTAATCTACTCCACTCACTTCAGTGGTTTTAACTCACATGTGTTATTATTTCAACTGCTGGTCTTTATTATTTAATTTAATCTTATTATAGTCTTACTTTTAATGGTTTTCATTCACACTTCTTACTCATTTTTACTGCTCAATCGCGGGTCTTTGTTATTTTATTTTATTTATTTTCATTCTCATCTTTTTAATTTTTAAACTTTCACAAGAGTTTTTAATTCACAGTTAAGTTTATTAACAATATAGTTTTTTAAACAAACTTTTTTGCTTTCTCTATTCTGTCAAAACATCCCTATTTAACTTTTCTGCTTTCCTCTACTTCACTTTTACCATGTATTCCTGTTCCTATTACACCCCACTGTACATTATTCTACTCTATATTATCATACTCAGCACTTTGGTCAACTTTGGTTGTTTTAAAGTGCTTAACAAATAAAGTTGGATTGGATTGGATACTCTACTTTATTTTCTACTGTATTGTAATTAAATTTGCATACTTCAATCTACTCTGTCTACCATACCTTGCCGTACTCTTTTATTCATATCTGCTCTGCTCTGCTCAGGTGATGGTCCAGGATGTGAAGAGGGAGACTCCCCTGAAGTTCAAGCTGAGGGCCAAGTTTTACCCCGAGGACGTCAGCGAGGAGCTGATCCAGGACGTCACCCGGAGGCTTTTCTTCCTGCAGGTGAAGGAGGACCTTCTGGGAGAGGATGTCTACTGCCCTCCAGAGACCGCTGTGCTGCTGGGCTCTTACGCTGTCCAGGCCAAGTATGGAGAGTACAACAAGTCAGTGCATCAGCCCGGTTACCTGGCCTCGGAGCGCCTGCTGCCCAAGAGGTGAGTAATGGGAGAATGTGTGAGCTGTGTTGGTCATTTCTCTGGTATTTTACTTTATGCACTAAAGTGTTATCAGAGATCACCTGTCCAATTCGATCCCTGCAAGGGCAATATATGGAGCAGCATGCCACCTAGGTCAGCAAATATACACACAATAAATTGGAGAAGAACAAGAACACTGTCACACAGCTAAAAACAATCAAAGGCTATAGGGTGTGGAGTTTGTAATGTATATGGGAATATATTGATAAATGAATATGAATATAAAATAATTAAGCTGTACAAAAGCATAAAGAACTAGCCAAGAGGTGAGGAGATGAAAAGCAGAAGAGATAAAGTAGAAGGTCGAATGAATCTCAATAAAAGATGAAGGATTTATTATATATAACCAAACTTTATTCAAAGAGAATGAATAATGTCAAACCTTTGTTTTGTGCATGCCAAAGGGCAGATTGCACTGAAAGAGACCAACAGGCCAACTATTAAACACTGTGACAGTATTAAAGAGTGGGCGTATTAAGTCCACTATTAGAAGGAGTTAGTTGTATGTTGAAGGGCAAACAGGATATGTTTATGTTTACTGCTTTTGTGTAAACAATGCACAATGTTTAGTATGAGCTATCCAGACAACTACGTGAAATTAATGAGTGAATTATTATCTATTTATTTTTAGTTTCTGTTCTATTAGGGAGCACCGGTGTATGAAAATAATCTTTTATGTCATGGTGATTATTGCAGGTCGTTAGACCACAACTGGGTAATATTAGTGGGTGATTAAAAGAAGCAAATTGGAAATTATTAATATGAAAGGTGCAAGAATTTGTCTCTGCAAGTATAGTTGATCTTTGGTTTAAAAATAAAAGTGGATTCCAACCTTGTAATCCCTTAATAAATAAAGCAACGTCTGCCTGTGAGTGTCACTATGTGCAAACCTCTGTGTAGAATATTATCAGGTCAATTCCTACCCTGTTTTATTTTATAAAATCATTTTTAAAGAGCTAAAAATATACAGGAATGTAAATGAGGGGGAAAAAACGAAATGTAATTAATAAAATTAAATGAATATAACTTGGGGTGGTGTAAATGTTGTGAGCCCTAAGTTAGAAACCATTAAACTAAAGAATAGCTGATATTACTTTTACAATGCCAACGCCCCAAAAGTGCCATTGAGCAAAGAAATAAAGCCTTAACTACTATTAAACTTCACAAATCCTGTTAAAAAGATCTGTGACATACAGCACATATTTATAATCAGTTGAGTTTTACATCAGCTTCATTGTTTTCCATGTATTATTTATATTACAGAGATTGGCCTGTTCAGAAATAGAGTCAAATCAAGTACGTTTTATTTTTATAGCTCCATATCACAGCGGTTTACAGTCTGTACAACATATAAGACCCTCTGTCCTTAGACCAACAATGAATAAACTCATATCAAAGAAGAACTATTTACCGATCCGTCTGAGGGCCTGTGTGTGTCAGGAAAAGTCACTTTCCATAAATAGTAACAATAAATAGAGAAATCTGGATCCTGTTATACCGTATGTATAAAGTCCTATTATGTACTCACAATTGCCAGCAATAGATAGGACGGGATATAAAAGACACAACAATACAGCATGTGTTTGCCTTAGCTCTGTAGGTATACACAGACTGTTTACCTTTTCACCAGTGGGTTGCTGATAACTGGTCTCTCCTCTCAGAGTGCTGGAACAACACAAGCTGTCCAAGGATCAGTGGGAAGAGAGGATCAAGGTTTGGCACGAGGAGCACGGATCGATGCTGAAGTAAGTGAATGTAAATCTCCTCCTGACAGATGACCCCACTGACCACTCTGCCATGTATTTATCTTCATTTTAAAGCTATGTGACTGAAGTTGAATCGATAAGAAATAAAACACAGCCTCACTCAGTTGAGTACATTCAGTAATTTTTGTGCTGCATCCACACTTGGTCTGGTATGAGCAGTAGCTGTGTTAAGTTAACTTTAGAGCCATATTGTTGTACTGAGTCAGTTGGCTGACTTTCTGACTCTTCTCTACTACAGTTTAGTTTGTCACTGATAGACATTTGATTCAATCTCCAAAAAGTAAAGATACAATTCAATGTCTCACTATCTTGTAATTGCCACTTGTGGCCACACGTGTCACTGTTGCACGAAAGTTAAATCATCTCACTTTAAGGATTTTTTCCACGTGCACGTGTTTTTGGGTCGAGGATCAATAACATTTTACAGAATCCAAATGTATTTATTTTATTTTATTGTTTATTAAACAAAAACATCACACAGTACATTTATTGCACCAGACTTAGTGAAGTGTAACTTCTCATCATCTGCAGTCCTTGGGTTGACGTAGTAATAGATTTATTAGACATTGCAAGTAGAACTTCAGTATCAAATCTACTCAATGAATGTAAATCTTTGCAACAGTATCAAATCTACTCAATGAATGTAAATCTTTGCAATTCCCTTAAAGAATCTGTTTAGATATTTGTTAATATCAAAAGGTAGATATTTATTAACTAAAATTCAATACAGAGTCATGCAGATAACTACAAATATTCATTTCCCAGACATATTAACTGTTTAATATTTAACTAAATTACTACACACAATACATGTGTTGTAAATTGCACAAGTTTAAAAAAAGAGATGAAAGTTCAACACTTACTTTGTGTATTTTACTAAGTTGGAACCAGATCAGAGCTGGTTATAGGAACTTATGATCAATTCCAAAGTTTAAACTTTTGTCTCAGGAAAAAGGGTTAATAGGGAATTATATAATAAACTATATCTTACCTTCAAGCAGTTTGTGTATCTGTGTGGATTAATCCATGTTCCCCTCTGTCTGTTTAACCTGAACAGGGAAGATGCCATGATTGAGTACCTGAAGATTGCTCAGGACCTGGAAATGTACGGCGTCAACTACTTTGAGATCAAGAACAAGAAGGGCACAGACCTGTGGTTGGGTGTCGACGCTCTGGGACTGAACATCTACGAGAAGCAGGACAGGTAAGTCAAAGAATCAGTGACTTAATTCTCTGCTTATGAAGGGTAGCACTTGCATATTAAAGTCTCTCCTAACATCATAAGTGTAGCGTGCGTTGATTTGATGACATACAGTTGTAGACGCGAGGGCAACACCTGAGCAGTCATCGACCTCTGCTGCCTTCCCTTGCAGTCGGTCAAGTTTTAAATAACGTGTTTGACCGCATGGCTGTTGTTTTTAAGAGGTCATTGATCTAATTCTCTTGATTCTACTACAGCGTGAACATACAAGGTCTGACTGGCCTGATACCACATGTGTCAGTTGCTGCCTGTGTATGTGCTATAAAAACAAACTTTTTAAACATGCTGTTAAGTTTTGTCTGATCACTCTTTTTTTCCTCCCTTCGTCCTCCAGGCTGTCTCCAAAGATTGGATTCCCCTGGAGTGAAATTAGAAACATTTCTTTCAATGATAAGAAATTCATCATCAAGCCCATAGATAAGAAAGCTATTGTAAGTATCCACAGTAGCATCTCAAGTGTGTCTAAATGGGTAAAGATGAGTTGAATGCAGACACAGATACATATAAACAAATGGGATAGAAATGCAGATATGTAAGCCAAGTGGCTTTATTTAAACTTGTATGAACCTTTTAGGGTGACTAGTATGTAACATCTGTGCAAAGACAACATATCATTGGCTCAGTCTAGCACACTTAAAGTACAGTTTATTAATGTGGATGATTAAAAAATACTGTGGTACGAATAAGACAATAACTTTTACAGAGGCCTGTGAACTTATTTCAGATAAATTTCTCTTTTATAATCATATCTGTGATATATAAGGAAATTAAACTTTAACCTTGAGGAAACTTTTTTGTCAAATAAATGGAAGTAATTTTGATTTATAAATTTTGTTTAGCAGTTTGGAGACAAACTTCGATGTAGCCTAAGCTACAATGCTTTTTGGAAATATAAGAAACAAAATAAAACTGACATGATGTTTTCTTCCCCCCCCCTCCCTCTTTACAAGGATTTCATATTCTACGCCCCACGACTGCGAGTCAACAAGCGCATCCTGCAGCTGTGCATGGGCAACCACGAGCTATACATGCGCCGCCGCAAGCCCGACACCATCGAGGTTCAGCAGATGAAGGCTCAGGCCAGAGAAGAGAGGCTGCAGAAAAAGAGGGAAAGGTAGGGGAAGGGCTGTCAAGTTAAAGCAAAATACTAGTCAATTAAAAAAAAGATACAAAAACAGAGGGATAAGGATTTCAATTCAGGTTGTGATTAAAATGTATCATCAGTCTTTTCTTGGTGTGTTGTGCAGGGATCAGCTGGAGAGTGAGAAGAAGAGGAGGGAGGCCATCGAGAGAGAGAAGGAGAACATGGAGAGAGAAAAGCAGGATCTGATGATGAAGCTCTACGAGTATGAAGAGACAACCAAGAGAGCGGAGAGAGGTGAGACACTTCACTTAACGCTGACCGAGTTTGGTATTCTCCGCTCATTACAGACCACATAGATAGATGCTACAGAAAGAGCTACTGTGGACAACACAAGTCAACAATATAAAGTTAATGTTGTGTTGTTTTATAGAGTTCAAACACGTAACATGGCTTTACTGCCCTCTTCTGTTTTTCATTTGAAATACAGAGAAAAAGGGAAAAGTATGAGTACGATTGTTGCTTGTTCTGGGCGAGATGTCATTTATTTTTCATTAAAACAAAATAAATAAATTCTGCAGGTAGAATAAATGTGGTCAGTCACAGGCTGCAAGATGGACTGATTTGGGGAATGCTAACACTTTTGTTCATATACTTGAAGTCGGTGGTTCCCAACCCGGGTGTTCCAAAAAGGGTCTTTAAAATCTAAAGAGGCCCCCAAATGATTAACGGGGGGAAAATACTTCTGTCACTCAAAATTATGTTTATTTTTTCTGCCTTTTCACAAAAATATTTCTCATGAAAATACTGCATATTTTACCTTTTCATTTAAATTTGACTACCTGGGATAGCTCACCTGGTAGAACTGGTGCCTCATGTACCAAGGCTCTCTCTCTTTCTCCCCCCCGTGCTGTGACTCTTTAGCTGTCCCTATCGATTAAAGGCAATAAAAGCCACGAAACATCATTTAGAATTAACAGCTGAGAAGAAAATAGTCACCGCTCTCTTATCATGAGGAGGTCATAAATAAGTCCTGGTTCATTTTAAGGGTTCATGAGCCAAAAAGGTCAGGAACCACCGCCTTGAGCAATACAAATGTAATATTTCAATATTTTATAATCGTCTCAGAAAAGCACCAGAATGCAGCAAAGAGTGGAGTAGTTAATTTCTTAGAGTACATGGATAGATTTTTCACTGACTTTGTCCTGTAGAGCTTCAGGAGCAGCTGGACAGGGCCATGAGGCTGGAGGAGGAGAGGAGGAGGGTGGAGCAGGAGGCGGCCCGGCTGGAGGCTGAGAGGATGGAGGCCATAATAGCCAAGGAGGAGCTGGCCAGGCAAGCTGAGGACCAGATAAAGAGCCAGGAGCAGCTGGTGAGTACACGGTGCAAGAAGTACTCAAATCCCTCACGTGAGAAAGTCGTGATAGAAAAACACTCATTAGAAATAAAGCCTCTACATTCAAGATAAACACATATTAGCTGTTTTAATTGCAGTTTGAGCTAATGCATCGTTGTTTTGGGGGATTTTTCCTGTTTTCCTGGGATTATATTTCTCTCACAGCTTGAGAAAAGTCTTTCTCGCTTTAGAAAATGTCCAATATTCATTATGTAACTGAGCTAAACTGAGGTTATTTTTATGTTTTCATGATATTATTTGAAGTAAAATGTGAAATCTGAACTTTTAGAGTCAGTAGTAACTACAGCCTTAAGGTAAATGCACTGGAATTAAAAGTACTACATTTATTTATTCACATTACATTTTAACCATTATTAAATAAATGCTGAATTCCAGTCGTGGGTGTTTGATCTCCCTCAGTTCTTTTGTCCGTCCATTCATAAAACGACACCGTGTCCTGATAATTGAGGTCACCGAGGTAAACAGGTGTCTATTCTTGGGCTTTTTGACGACACAGTTTGTGCCTCCTCCCGCAGGCTGCGGAGTTGGCCGAGTACGGCGCCCAGATCGCTCTGCTGGAGGAGGCCAAGAGGGCCAAGGAGGAAGAGGCTGAGTCATGGCACAGCAAGGTGAGTTTTCAACACGCGATCAAAGGATATGTATTGAACACACAGGGATTACCTGGAAAACGTCAGAACACACGCATTTCTGACATTTTTGTTTGTGATCACAAGCTTATTTTTTATGTCACCCTGCAGTTTTTGTCTTTATTTTGTGTGTTTTATCACTTATGTTAGTATAAAAAAAGAGTATATTTTGTTCAGCAGCTACTTGGGGTGTATTTAAGACCAAGGCAAATAATCTATAAGCAGTATATATACTTAGCAAATAGACATAAGTGTTTATTCATAACTCCTCCTGTGGACACCCATGAGCTGATGCTGGTGTAAAAACAGACGATAAAGACAATAAAGTAAAACACACGTTGTAATAAAATATGTCCTTATAGGAAAAGTTATACTTTCTGACAAATGCTGCACATTAAAAAGGACTTAAAATGTGCGAAAACCTTTTAATTAAATGTTAAAAAACTGCTTCTAAATCTTAAAAAACACGATTTAAAGTGAAGTGTTAAGTAAAATTGAGTCCTGTTGAGAACAAAAAACAGATCTAGTCTTTCTGAACATAGAAATATGGAGTAAAGATCAATAAATATCTCCATGAACTTTGTACTTATTGCGACAATTAATTAATAAATGAAAACTGACTAACCTGTGAATGAAGGTGTGATGCCTGTTGCACAATTTCCCCCTTTAATAGCTTGTAGTAATGGAAGAAAAATATATATTCATATCAGTTATCCAAATCTAAATCCTTTGCACTGCACCTTTACCGTTTTACATATATCAGCAGTTTTTAAAATTTTTATACCTTATATTTCTTTCTTTCTAATCCTTATTTTTTCACACTAGTCTTTGAGTACAACACACACACACACACACACACCCTCCACACATTTAACTTATGTGTGTGTGCGGTAAATAATGTCCTTGAATAAATGAGTCACCTTTGTTTATAGGAATGAATCAAGCCAACATTAATGAGTGGAAAAGACAAAGACAGACAGGTTCACGTCGTCATAAATCTGTTTTACAAAAGTTAAATTATGACCTGAGATCAGAGTCCAGCTCTGACTGCTAATTTAATTTGTCCATAAACTGGTTCCAGGCAAACTGATACTTAAACATCAGCAAGTCAAACGACAGCACTGTGAATGTTTGGATAACTTTTTTTTTTTTACCAAGGACAGCAGATAAAATCCTGTTAGATAAACTAAACTAAACCTCTCCTCTTCGTCCCAGGCCGTGGAAGTGGAGGAGAGTCTGATAAAGACGAAGGAGGAGCTGTACAGTGTGAAGAGCTCTACCATTTCAGCTCCCATTTCAGCTCCCGTTGCCGCTCCTGCTTCCTCTTCCTCCTCCTCGTCCTCCTCGGACAGCGAGAGCGACCACGAGCACAGCGAAGAGAACAGCACCTACAGCGCCGAGCTGCAGACGCAGGACATCAACGACCACCGCCAGGAGGAGGACCGACTCACCGAGGCCGAGAAGAACGAACGCCTCCAGAAACAGCTGAAGGTGAGTTCAGGGTCCCAGGATAAAACCCACATCAAAAACAAGCTCATTTCAGCTGGAGTTTGCATAAATCCTCTGTTGTGCTACATCCTCAGAAGAAACTTTTGAATATGCAGCTGAAATGCAAAAGCACAGGATTGTGACATTATTGTTTTAACCCCATATATACTTGTTTTACTTTGAATATACAGTAGAAGTCATATAATATGGGTTTGCATTGGATTTCATTTGATTTATGAAATCTAAAAGTATCAATTATAATCAGAAAATACATTTATTTCTATATTCTCTCTAGATAGAAGATAAAATAACTATAATCAGGGATACAGTGTAACAAAAATGAAATATTTCAGTGCTGGTCAATTATCAGTTTGGGCCAAAGAGTGATGAAAATAATGATTTTATGATATTAGAGGAGCAAATTCATTGTCAGGATGTACATAAAGTTGCTATAATTTGGGATTATCTTTGTTTTACAGCTTCAAACCTAGTTTAAATATCCCTTCCAAACGTGTTTATGTCGAAAAATACTCAACATTCTTATAATTACATCTATTCCTTCTCCCTTATTAGAAAATGCAGAATCTGTGAATATGCAAATATTCTTCATTTCAAAAGTTTGACACAACATGTCGACTTTTCGGTGTATGTATGTGCACTGACTTTAATTGTTACTTAAACATGATTGGCTTTTAAACTAGCTGTGGTCTCAGAACATGCTGCTTCATATTACAGGTTTGTAAAAAAAAAAAAAAAAAAAAAAAAACCAGAAATTGTCAAACAAGTGAAAACAATTTTAACCGGAAGGAGCTTTAACATTTGGAGGAAAAAAAGACATTATTTACAATCCTTAGGTCCAGTTTTGTAACTTGTATTTGTTATATTCCTGCTAATATATGTAGAGACATCCACAGAACAACAACAGTGTAGTAGTTTAAAATGTTTTCCAGTTATCTAAGGCCTGATCCGATCCAAGAGAAATGGCTTCCATCTGACCTCGGCATTTTGCACTGATACTCAACGATCATACAAAATTCATCAATCGACCAGAATGTGTTGCAGCCACCAGACGGGTTGTGTTCTGATAAAGCGTAGTAAAGAAGTAGTTAGAAATCACTCAAAAAGAAATGTACCGATGTGAGAATATCTACATTTCTTTCTTTAGTAAAGTGGATACAGTGTAAATGTCAGTGTGTCCTTGTGGTTTAGTAACCGGAGTTCTCTTCCTCCCCCCAACAGGCCCTGAGCTCAGAGCTGGAACATGCCCGAGACGACAACATGAAGACCCAGAACGATCTGCTCCACGCCGAGAACGTCCGAGTCGGCCGCGACAAGTACAAGACCCTGCGTCAGATCCGTCAGGGCAACACCAAGCAGAGGATTGATGAGTTTGAGGCCTTGTAGAAACCTCAGAGACCTGAAGATCTCTCCCAGATACCTCATAAAGGCCCCCCCCTTTCAGCAATGTGTGATGTAATTGCAGTCACACCTGAGTTTAGAGACCCAGAAAAGCATAGAGCTGATCTGTGTAAAAGTACCTCCATGAGTTTTAGTTATTTTTCGGTTTAACTTTTGCTTGACAGCACTGTTTTTCTTTTTTTATAGCACTCAAACATCTCCAATGTGCTGTTTAGTCCCTTTTTAAAGCATTAAAAAGCAGAACACTAGTGTTTCTGATATACTGTACGAACAAAGCTGGTATGTGAGGTTTACTGTAGAAACTACATATAAACGAAGTTATATTACAGTTTGGCTCTGCGCTTTTGTTATTAAAACTTAGATTTATTTAATGAATTGCAATCACTGCCATTTAGAACTGCTACTAACAGTTATTTTTATTATTGATTAATGTGATGATTGTTTTGTCGCTTGATTGTTTTTGTCTATAAAATGTGTAAAAAAAAAAATGCCGAGCACGTGTTCCCAGAGCCCAACGTCATGTCTTCATATTGCTTTATTTGTCCAACCAGCAGCTCAAAATCCAAATATAGTGAATGTATAATAATAGAGACAAACAGCAAATCCTCATATTTGAGAAGCTGAAAGAAAAGTGTTGATCAGCTACTTGATTAATCCATTAATAGTTTCCACTCTACTGCCACCTGTTGTCTAAATAACAACAGTTTATTTAACTAGTTTTAATGTCCTTATGATGATTTTAAAATGAATTGGTTTTATGATTTCACTAAGTACAGGAATATTTTCGACGTTTGGATGTTATTTAAATTACGATCTGAAGTGTTTTCATTCTGGATTTAAAGGATGTTTCCATCCTGTTTATGTAATGTCATTATTTCAGGTAAAATCTACATACAAGAGGACGTGTAGGATTAAAGTATGGATCTTTTAAAAGGTCCGACCTGCCTCTTAAAGCTATAATATGTAACATTTCCGCATTAAAATGTCCATAAACACTTGTTATATATTTTATTGAGTTGTGTACTTACATTATCCAAAATGTTTCCAACAATGTTTAAAGTCAAGAGAAATCTGTAATTTTATTCAGCTAACGGTGCGTTTCACCGATCGCCTGTCAATGACGTCACATCCCCGTTGTGGTTGTCTGCCAGAAGCTGTTTTAAGTTGTTTTATGGTTTTTTACATTTTAAGACACATTTTCACAATACCCTTTTTAGATTTTGATTATTTTTAACTATATATTTTAACCTGATTAAAGATTTTAGACATCGGTCTTCTGAAACTGTAATTTTATTCAGGTAATAATATATTAGTAATAATAATCAGTCATAAATTGACTTTTTATCTAGTTTTAAGCCACATTTTAACTATATCTTTTAACCGGATGAAGGATTTTATCTCTGGGGGGCCCAGATAACCCTGATGACATCACTATGACATCATCATGTTTTTGTTTTGGGTTTTTTTTTTTTTTTTTTTTTTTCAACCTCTGGAAATCTCCTTGAAGAGCCACATTAGACATTATAGCTGTTTCCAGAGGCTGAGGAGTGCTCACTGTTATGAGTAAACGGATCCTTTAAACCAGCATTAACAGAGCCCACCTGGAGCAGCAGGAGAGCAAATAAAGGCTCTCTGATATTAAAACTTTCTGCGTGATATCTCATTAATATTGTTCCAACCATTAGTCATTGTCATTATGGAGGACACATTATATATCAGAATAAAACAACCCGTCATCGACTGACGTCTGCGACGTTTGTGGGTGGTGAAAAGGTTGGTTTTAAGTCCCGAACTATAAACCTCCTGCATCCTAAAGTGAACATATGCCAGAATTTCCTGTGAAACTGAATAAAATTATACATTATTTTCCTCTTTGCTTTGATATCGGCATTATATATCGGCCGCCCTGCTCTCTAAATATCGGCACCATATCGGTCGACTATTGAAATGCATTAAACAATGAACATTAATTGACATTCATATAATAAATAGTGTGAGTAATACAGAATACAGGAACACAAGATAAACATTGATGTGCTGTCAAGTCAAAAACTTTAATTCAATAACAATTTATTATAAATCATTTTCCAAACCCCCATTTTATTATATACCTATATATAATTATTCTAGTTGATTTTCTGTGTGACAAAACTTGTATTTGAAGACTCCTGCAGGCTGCTCACCGTGAAAAGGATGTGGCTCTTAAATATTTACTCACGGAAAAGGCTGGTTATCATTAGGTTGCTAGACAACTTATGAAGCCAGTAGAGCTAGAGTCTGTTTAAATAGCCACTAGGTAAATATGTTATCTGTGAATGAACACATGAATCATACAACAGCGGGGATATTTGACAACGTTGCGGGCTTCTCGTTGGAGGCTGAGCCACCTCTGCTGAACAGTGAGTCGGAGAAAAGGACTGTTTATTTTGGCCTCAGGGAGGAAAAGCTGTGCGCAAAGACTCCGGATAGGTGAGCGCATGATTGGAGCCACTACTCCAAGAATCCGCCTCTGACAGTCTGTGGGATTGCCCCTGTGTTTCTTTTCGGCGGAATCTAAATATAAGTCGGTGACAAATAGTCCAAATACAGTAGCAACCCAACTGTGATGTGGGGGTGGTGCTGAGAGAACAGCTCCCTCTCCAAAGCCCACCCCCCCTCCCCCCTTTTGGATCCGGAGTCCGTCAGGAGAAGGTCGCACAGAGTCTTCAGCTCCCACCTGCACCACTTGACGAATGTTTTTTCCTTATTACCATGAAGAGACAAAACGCCAGGACTCTCGCCCTCATCATCAGCATCCTCACCTACCTGGTGGTCGGTGCGGCCGTGTTCGAGACGCTGGAGTCGAAACAGGAGAAAAGTCACAAGAGGAAGCTCGACGCCAGAAAGTACGAACTCATGCGCAAATATAACTTGACCAAAGAGAACTTCGAGGAGCTGGAGCACGTCGTGTTACAGCTCAAACCTCACAAAGCGGGGGTCCAGTGGAAATTTGCTGGCTCCTTTTACTTCGCCATCACTGTGATTACGACAATAGGTGAGCGGCTGTGTTTTCTTCATTAAAAAATATGTAGTTGAAGCTATTTGACTGAAGGAGGCTCGGTGCAGGGCCGTAGCTAGGATGTAAGACCACCCTCCTGTGCTGTCAGTTTGAGCCCCTCAGTAGCTGAGCATCAGATTTTCCAAAACATAAACACCTGGTGATCTTTGACAGGTTGTTAAACAACAGGTAGGACCTACTGCTGAAGTGTTGACAGAAGCCTCACAGACTCTTCATCATCCATCCAGTGATGTGTCATTGAGCCGACTCCTTTTAGTGAATTATTTCTAGGGGGGGGTGTTGCATGTTTTTGTACATAAATTAATAGAAGACAGACAAATAGAATTATATTATAATGATTATAATGTGGATTATTTGTTCTCACTTTGAACATTAAGACCCAGGTGTGGTCGACGTTTGGGCACCTTACTTAACAAATATAATTTATTACTCATTACTCGTTACTCTTTTCAAAAAGTAATTATATTACTTAACAGAATACTCCCTACCAACAGTAATTAGTTACACTACTTATTATATTATTGTTTCCTTTCTCCTCAAAATCCAGTTTTGTTTTTCAAGATCAAAGTAACGTTTCCATCTTCAAACCTAGTTTCCTGCTTTCTGAATCCAAGGGTGAGATTGAATTGTTGGATTTTAAATCAGCAGGGGGGTGACAACAATTATTTAATGTGTAACTGTAATATTATTACTGAAATGTATTAATAATTAGTTACACGACTAGATACTGGGAAAATTAATGTTATTACTAGTAATACCTTACTGCATAAACACTGGTCGCCAGCAAACATAGTTCAATATACGTAAAATCAGTGCCTGAAATGGGCTCGTACTCACTATTACTCTTACTTCTTATTGAGTACCGCCACCTGTGGTGAGAATAGCTGTACCCTCCACTGAGGTCACTGAGGTCAGTATGGTTCCCCAACCATCATTATCTAGATCAGTGCTTCTCAAATGGGGGTACCCCTAGGGGTACACTGGAGTACTGCAGGGGGTACTAAAAAAAAAAGATAATTAAAAAATATCAGGATTACATACATTACGGAAGCCGAGAACGGCCATGGATTTTTTTTTTTTTATACACTGTTATCTCGTGATAACGACTTATTATCTCGTTATCTCAATATAACAAAGATCGTTTTCTCGTGATAACTAATTCATTAATAATGTGTTCGTCTTGATTTCAACCTACAAGAGCTGCCCGTAGCCACTGGCTGTAGCTAGCCTTGGTTTTCACTTGGCTGTAGACAAACTTTGTTATATCCTGATAACGAGACAATAATATATATATATAATATAATAATTCTGTAATACATAACTCCTAAAGTAAGTAAACAATAAGTTCAATAAAAAATGTAAATGTAAGTTTGATAATCCACATTTTATTTTCATTATTCTCATTAACTGCCACAGACTGTAAACTTCCTGGTGGCTTGCTGCCAACAAGAATGACAAAGATCCTCAGTGAAGCACAACAAGCTCATGTTTTCTCATAAATTGTAAGCGCAACTTACAAAGCCGCCTTTGTGTTATTGCATGATGGGAAAAAAAATGATTTCTGATTTGTTTAGTGAGTTTAAACCAATGAAGCATTTAGGTGTTTTTCTTAATAAATCAGACACTGATGGTGCAGGGCTGCATTGAATTAGTTAGGTACTTACACATTAATGAAACCAGTTTGAGAACCTCTGATCTAGATAAAAAAAAAAAAAGCTCTGTTCGCTGCACCTTAAAAAAGATGTTTATCCCGTTTCTCAAGTTGTGCCACATTTTTATAACCAAAACAAAGTTAGTTGGAAATTAAATTATGCAACCCTCGACTACATGTAAATAATTTTACCATCACTTCTATTTCTTTCCATATTAACACTGTTTCACCAAATGAGGAATTTTGAACATGAAGTTTCTCACTGCTGCCAAACCTCGACCACTAAGCCTGTGATTTGTTTCCTCCTGTGTACAACTTAAACCTTTTATACTGTTTTTTAAATTTAAAACAATATATGTATTGCAAAAAAAATCATAAAATGTTTTTTTACATATTTTAGGACACATGGTTTGTGCAGCATGAACCAAACTTAAAGATTTTCCTATTATTTTACATTTCACACGTGTGGATATTGTGTTGTCTCAAACGTGCAAGGAGGCATTTCAGGCTTTCCCGAATGGACTCTCAACTTGAGGAACAGGTTAAAAAGCAAACAGAATACTTTTTTTCATTCAGATGGTTTGAAGAGTCTGTGAGGGTTTACAGTGGTTGGTGTTGTCAGAAGACTTTCTGGGTTTATCAAAGGTTTTTATTGTTCAGAAACTCTGATGCTTAGCTCTGATACCATTAGGGAACAAACAGGGGCTACATCACAACCCTGAGAAAGTACTGACTAACTGAAAAAGGTTTGCTTTTCCCACATTTCCGTATTCATTTAACTGTTACAACATATTTTCTTTAAATTCTCTTTACAAGTTATTGTCGTAGTCTTAGTTATTTGTATTTCTATTGTATGTATATTTAGGAAGCTCTTGGGAAGTTTAAGGCAACATTTGGGCTGTTTCTAGGATGAAATCATTTAGGTGACTGTAATAGAAATTTAAATAAAGGTTAGATAATAAAATAAATAAAACACCATAATTTCTCCTACACACTTGGAAGGTGATTCCACTAAATCCAACACACTGGTCCATTTAAAACAGTCAAATATAACAATTCTGAGTCAAAAAATACCAGAAACAGCCTTAAACACCACCAGGTGTAAGTTGTGTGTGACTGTAAAATTCAAAAGTCTTCTCAAGACGTTTAAACCTCCACATGACTGTTATTTTCTTTAACATCAACCAGTCAGAAAAATATAAATTATTGATTTAAATGAATAGTGTTTGGGGCACAAGCGTCCTGAGTTCAGCAGCCCGGGCTTGACTCCAACCTGAGGTCCTTTGCTACATACCTGTGTGCTCCATTCAGCAGCACGGACAGCAAGCGGCTGTTCGGCTCTGTGTCTCATATCTTGGATGAGGAGAGAAATAGACAGAGCTGCAACATGGCAGAGAGGCTTATGTTTGAAGATTTCTTTGTTTCCTGGCACAAGAGGGCGAATAGATAACAAAAATACATCGGTTTTGGCTAAATTGTTATTTTAAACATCTATATCAGGCCAGAATTTTCCAATCAGTACATCCGTAATGTCTGCGGTTCTGGCTCAGTCTCTCTTATTATGATTAGGCCACTTTGGGGTAATTTAGGTGAAGAAAGTTCTGATTTATTTCTAGTGTTTACAACATCTCAGCTGACAACAGCGTGGGAGTTATAAATAAATAGCTGTTCACAGCGCTGAAGTGAAGCTGAATAGTGTGATTGGATTTTCCATTAATGGGATTTAGTGGGAGTGTGTGTTGGTTTCCTGTGGATTTTAAGTCAAGCAACAATTTAAAATCGAACTGTCTCACCACATCACAGCTTCTACAACATATAAAGGTGTAAAACTGTGACGTCTTCTCATTCAGGTTACGGCCATGCAGCGCCCAGCACCGACTCAGGGAAAGTGTTCTGCATGTTCTACGCCCTCCTGGGGATCCCGCTCACTTTGGTCATGTTCCAGAGCCTAGGTGAGCGGATCAACACGTTCGTCAGGTACCTGCTGCACCAAGCCAAGAAGTGCCTGGGAATGCATCAGACCGAGGTCTCCATGGCGAACATGGTGACGGTGGGCTTCTTCTCTTGCATGAGCACCCTGTGTGTGGGGGCTCTGGCGTTCTCTCACTGCGAGGGATGGAGCTTCCTCCACGCCTTTTACTACTGCTTCATCACGCTCACCACTATCGGGTTTGGAGACTATGTGGCTCTGCAGAGGGACGACGCGCTGCAGAATGACCCTCGGTACGTTGCTTTCTGCTTCGTCTACATCCTGATGGGCCTGACGGTGATCGGGGCGTTCCTAAACCTGGTGGTGCTTCGCTTCCTTACCATGAACACTGAGGACGAGCGGAGAGACGCCAAGCAGAGGGCCTTGATGTCCGTCAGTAAGCCCAGAGGAGAGGTGGCTCGTCTACTACCAGTCTCAGCCTCAACCTCTTCCACACCTGTAGCGGACGACACTACGAAAGCTAAAGATTTAAAAGGTGTCTACACTGAGGTGCTTCATTTCCAGACTATATGCTCCTGCTTGTGGTACAGGAGCAAGGAGAAGCTGCAGAGCTCCACTATGATCCCTCAGGAGCTGACGTTCTCTGATGCCTACTTGCAGCAGAATAGTAACTGTCCTCACTACATGGAACCTTTATCAACAGGCTGCGTTTGCAGTCCACGTCAGTGCTCGAGCATAAGCTCCATAACAACGGGCCTACACATTCTCTCTCCGTTCAGGGTGTTTAAGAGACGCAGCTCCGTCTAGCCTTTCAATACAGCAGATTTCAGTACAGCACAATGCGTCTGTACTGCCAAGCGGACAACAGATACTTGGCAGTCCTCACAGCAAAGACATGACTGCAAGTAGACGTTTGTGGTGCTATAATCCCAGTAAACCAACAGTAGGACACGCAAAAGGGAAAAGCACATACAGCACTGTAAACAGCAAAGTCTTACCCAAATATGTATTTTAAGAAAGCACAACAAAAGTCTTATTCAGGGCAACCTGTGTGCTTTGACAAATCATGTAGGAAGTCGTCTAGGTCACCACACATGAACACATGAACGCGCTGCAGTACATGGTGGTGCACAGTGTACACAGCTTGTAGGTGGCAGCGCAGCGGCAGAACAGGTTGAGTCAGTTGATCAATGGCACGATAAAATAACTGAAACCTCTCGGACGAAAGCTCTGCAGTAAATTCCAGTTGTGTGCGTTTGTTAATAATCTCAAAGATGCTGATTCAACTCCGGTTATTTCTTAAAGCTGTACTTTGTGGCGTTGTTGGTCCGTTGTTTTTCTCTGTTAGGCATATGTCTTGTGTTTTTTTTTTTAGACATCTCCCGTCATAGTATTTGTGACTGATGAAGCATCAGTTCACTTTCTGGCCTTATATAAGTTGCCTTGTGTTGCCCTAAAAAATGCTTTCAAACAAATCGTGATTGTCAGAACTTTATTAAAGCTGACACACACTGGTAACTCAGTATGACTCATTCCCTGTGTAGCAGCCTCTGTTATTGTGAGTTTCAGTGCTCTCTGCCCAAATTTTCTGGTGCATCAGTCACAAACACTGCAAAATTATGTAACGTCACAAGTGGAGAAGTTCAAAAAATCACGATGACATATCCCAAACACAGAGAAACTGCATTAGGGAAAGAAGTACAGTAATCACAAGTAGACACTCACCAGCACTGACTGAAACACACTTAACTGGACTTGTTTAGCAACACTACAAAGAATTGCTTTAAAAATCATCATCAGGGCTAAATCAACAACTCGCCAACAACCTGGTATTCACTGCAGAGTTACTGTAGTGTTTCTGTTACTTTCTCCTACCCTGGCTGATGGTTGGTTAAGTCGCAGATTTGGCACTGATGGGTCCAGAAGTCAGTCCAGAGCAGGTTCTGGTCTGCTTCGTGGTGTTTCCACTGTGATGCTGTTATCAGTCCTTCAGGAACCAGAGCAGATACGCACCTTAAACATCCAGGCACTGGTGAGGTTGCACTATTAAAGGAATAACTCAACATTTTGAAAGAAATATGAGATTGAGACCATAAACTCATTTACTGAGCTAATGAATCAAGTGAGAAGTCGGATAATTTCTCCATAAGACTGCATGGTACCAGTGTGTTATTGCAGCCAGTGGAGCTCCCCCTGCTGGCTTTTACAAAGAATGCAGGTTTAAGACACTTCACAGACCCCGAAGCTGTGTCCATTATATATACTGTCAATGGTGTTTACCCTACTATTTCATGTCAAAATGTCTGCTTGAAAAAGGTTGATTAAGTATGGAAATGGAGCTATGGAAAGCCTGTCTCCAAAATACCTCTATCGACACCTAAAACTCACTTATTGTCAGGAAAAGCAAGTAGCATTCCCAAAATGTTTTAACTATTCCTTTAAACAAATAAGAGTTGTTAAACCACAAGTTGTTATTTTTACACTCTGTATGCTAAATATGCAGTTTTGTACGGTTTAAAAATAAGATAAATTGTGTTAACTGGTGAACTTGAGAGGTATTTCTAGGCGTTGTTTCCTTCAGGCGGAGCCAGAAGAGCTGTTTAAACATTTGTACAGTCATTATGCTAAGCTAGATAATAGTCTGCTGCCTCAAGGTTCATATTTAGCATACAGACAAGAGAATATCTATCTTTTTATCTAACTCTGCCCCAAAAAAAGCAATAAGCATAATTTCCCAAAATGTTGATCTATTCCTTTAATCCAAAGCTGATTGAGTAAAAGTTAAATATTATTCATTTATATTTAAGTTATAAGTATAAAAAAACTTTTTTCAAGCCGTTTTTTGATGTAACAGCTGGAATCTTGTCGTCGCGGCGAGGTCGCCTGGCAACCGGCGGAGACCAGAGCTGGGTGGATGGATAAACCGTTGTTTGTCGAGAGATAGGAGTTCTAGCACGAAACGCCCAAAACCACATTTTTAGACTTCTGTTTGTGTGCTGATTTAAGATAAGACGTGTTCTTTTGTGAGCTTTAGAGGAGCTGGGAGGAAGATTTTATTTTAAAACGCTCGCTGTTTCCTCCTGCTTCCAGTCTTTATGCTAAGATACCTGCAGGCTAACCTACAGTAGTTTGTTAGGTCCAATACTTAACACACAGATAACTTTTGGCAAGAAAATAAATGAGTATTTCACAACTTGCTTTTTTAAAGCTAACAGGCAAGCCCTCTGACTGTTAACCTACCAGATTAGAAAAAAATTAATACAGATTAGACCCTTAAACGTGGATTATGTGGATTATGGGTGTGGATCTACTCTATTTCTCTCCACTCTGCTCTTTTGACCTGAAGGACAATGACAGACTATCAAATAAAACACATCAGCTGTTCAGATATGAAGCGTGCGGAGCGGTCCAAATCACGTATTGGATCAAACTGTACATGCAAACTATTTCGAGGAGCAGTTCGGAGTGGCACATGGGAGTGGGTTTTCTGCGTTTGGACAATGGATAATAAGATGGTTGTCAATCACAGATAATTATGCCTCAAAGACATAGTCTCTGATTGACAGAAAAGAAAAAAAAAATCCACCCTCAGATACTATTTATTATTTCTGGGCCTGTTTTGGTGTTTAGTATTTTTTTTTTTTTTAGTAGGCGACATGGATGTGGCATCACGTTAAGTTTATTTCTGGCAGCTGCACATGAGTTTCAGGAGATCAAGTAAAGTATCTCAGAGTGTTACTTAATCATACAATATGTAGTTTCTGCCTGCTCACATCAAAACAGTAACAAAAGACTGAGTTTGTTGTCTTTATCACCATCATTGGCGTCATTGCAGTCAGCTTCTCCCGGTTGGGATTCCTTCTGTGTTCATCATTCAGGAGGTTTTTACCAGGCACCGAATTATCTGCAGAGGTCTCGTCCTCTTCAAAACAAACAGACCTGGTGATTAAAACCAGTAAAAACACTGAATAAAGAAGTTTCAGCTTAAAAAATCTGTATTTCTCCAATGCTGTTCATCAGACAACGGACGTCCCGGAGGGGCTGAGAGCCGAGCTGCTGCTAACGTTAGTTCAGCTTGTTTCTCTGGTAACTTAAAATCCAGACTTCTTATGACTAAAATCCTTCATCTTGTTCAAATATAAAATATAGAGTTAAAAATTTCTCTTTTTTTTTAAACATTGTTGGAAACATTTTGGATAATGTGAATACGCAACAAAATATTTAACATAGATCTAGGGTTTATAGACATTTTATTGTGGAAATGTTGCATATTATAAGTGCAGTAGATGTGTTTAGTTACATTGCACCACTGTCAACACCTGAAGAAACATTACATGAGTCTGAATGACGAGAATACGAGTACTGGAAAATGAATCACAACAATATCTGAAGGTGGATTTTTATTCCTTTTGACTTCCTGCTATTTACTGTTTTTGCCTTGTAGGGTGAAATACCACCCACGTAACACACAACGGACATAAAACAAGTGCCAACAATGACTTGCTAATACTATTTCATCTCTGTCTGGTGTCTATTGAGACACCGATCTCATCTAAATGCAGCTGTTGTGATGGACTGTACTGTACCTTACTGAAATGCATTTGCACATGATAATGAGAGAAAAATTATTATGATGCTTTCTGCTTTTGACTTGCTTTTAACAATAAGTGACAGCCTACTGTATATTTCATGCAAAGTACTGTATTAGTTTTAAAGTAGGACTACATGCACTAGCATATAGGGGTTTCTCTGGTTTGCTTTGATAGAAAAATGGTTTTTAAAGATGACCATGGAGCAAAGTAGTACTTGAACACACAAAGAGTACTTGAAATAATTGTAAGAACTTTTTTTTTTAAATCTAAACTTGCCAAGGGATGTGTGCATACTTAAGACAAATCAATGCAAATGTAGTTAAAAAAAATATTGTACTATTTTGCCCAAACGTATAGAAAAAAACATAAAGAGAAAACATTAAAAACATGGATATTTAATCCAGAAACTGTCGAGTTTCACTGTTTCTTTTTTCCCCCCACGGATACCCACCTTTAAATGAATTATAGTTTACAGAGAAGATTTAAGAAATGAATGTCTGTACAGTATAAGAAGTAGTCATGTGACGTTACAATCTCCATGCTGTTAAGGAACATGTGCTGTGTGAGAAAAGCCTGCTGAATGTATAGAAATGACCATTTGGTCCAGATGGTTTCCCCCTGGGAATTCTGACTCAAGTCCAGTTCCGGACAACCTACAGCAGGTTAGTCACGAGCAAGAAAGTATGGCGGCGGTATCATTATGTCATCGTTTGTGGCGGTATATATTCAACTCACCACCAGGTGGTACGGAAAGCGAGGGGTGGACAAAATAACAGAAACACATTCAGATTTCAGCAGCGAATGCAGTTTTTAAGTGTTAATGTTGTGTTTCTAATTAGGCCACCAGAACTAATATTAGGTTTTTTGATGAGACTGCCAGAGGTGTTAGTCAATGAGTTTCCTGGAAAAGAACAATGTCATTTGGTTCTAATTATAGAGAAAATGGAAATTCATAAACTGAATTAATTCCATTTAATTTCTAGTGTAACCTAGAGCCTTTTAACTCGTACAAACATGCATAAATGTCATATTTGTCTACAGGCAAACATGTAATTCAGCATAAAGAATCCTAAATGGACTGTACTTGCACATTTTTCTAGTCTTCCAACCAGTCAAAGCACTTTTACACTACATGCCACATTCACTCAGTGATGGCCTTTGCAGAAACTAACTCACTCATCCACATTCATACACCGATGCACAGAATCGGGGTTCAGTATCTTGCTCGAGGACTCTTGGACATGCAGTGGGAGGAGCCAGGGATTGAACCCCCAACCTCCTGATTAGTGGATGATTAGCTCCACCTACTGAGTCACAGTAAATAAAAGTTTACAATATTTAAAGTCCCCCTTCACTCAAAAATCTGTTTTTCTTCTTGTTCCTCCAGTTGGATGTTTGAGCTTCACTGTGCAGAATGATGTCTGGGCAGAGTTTGACACTGGAAGGATGTTTTCACATTCATCTGCTGAAAGTGGAAAGTGTCTCTGAGCTCACTGAAAATATGATTTTAAGGGACCAACCAATAGTTTGGAAGTCAATCCTGGTCCAGTATGCAACTTCTACAGTCTGATGTAGAAACTGAAGACTTTTTATGCATTTTCCGAAAAAAACATATCAGGCACACATTATTGTTCCAAGCTGACTATTTGTATATGTCTTAATACATGTCTGGAGGGGATCTTTTAATAAATAATGAATGGAGATTTGCTTGGGTTTAAATTGAGCTTCTCACACAATAACATTTTCTCCATAATTAGTTCCATATTACAAAGTTCTTTCCAGGAAACACCAGACATTGGTTGCTTAAAGTGACGCTTCCTCTGCAGCAAACACTGCAAACTGATTAAATGCCTCAATGGAAAAAAAGCCTCAGTGATCATAATAACGTGTCAAGCACAGAAACACTGTATTAGCAAACAACAGCGGTCACAAGAGACCATTGAGATGAACATTACTCTTGAATAAATTGGTAAATTGGGATACTGAATAGCTTTATAATTGTGTTTGTCCACCGCTGTATAACATATTTTCCTTCCTGGCTATGTCTGCCGTGTACATTTTATTTCTATCCTAAGTTATGCAAGGTCATCAAACATGAACTTGTCTGTATGTTTCTGTGTGGAGTCCTGTTGCTATCTGTGGAATAACTTTACTAACTGGTCATTAAAGGCCAGTTAGACTCTCAGATTGTCCAAAAGAATCAAATATTGTAAGTTATGTTCTCTATCAGAGGTTTCCAAACCCTGAAAACAAAGCAATTTCTCCTTGTGAGCCAACATAACTGGTTGCATATGTCTACTGGTTGCGATGAGGTTTATAGGTTTGGGAATCACTCCTCTATATGACTCTATGTGAAAGTAGTGCAGCAATAATCTACATCAATAAAGTGAAAGATGAGCCCAAGATCATTTAATGAAGCTATAAATGCATGAAAACACAAATCAAAGCATCGTATGCACCAAAAAACATCAGAGTCTGGGTTGCTGAGAATAGAACAATTAGGACTGTATCTCGTTTTCAAAAAATTTGCTCGCCACTGCAACATCAAACCAGCTTGTACGGCCTGGCTCTGTGCCTGTGAATCTGCCTTCAGCCATTAGATGTGCACAGAAAAGCAACAGAAGGAGTATCCATTCGACAAATCCCTGTATTGACCCCCCGTGGCTGGAGCATCTGCTGTTTTCTACTTTGGCCATAGACCTGAGTATCTATGTCAAAGACAAAAATAGTTCCACTGAGAAGGTCAAACTATGGCATTACGTCACTTGATTTCTTCTCCGTTTTTAGAAAAATTGTGGGCAGGTTAAAATAGTGTCTGTCACATATTTATGCCAATTTTGAAGTGTGAACATGTTCTTTGTTATGCTACAGGGACTTTTTAAATGCTTTATCTTTTTTACCACTTTGATTAATTTGACTGGATTAAACCTATGGAGGTTAATAAACTGTTTAAACTCTCCAACATCTTGTGAGGCAAAGTTTCTTCAAAGAAGATCCGAGCAGGAAGACCTTAAGGTGAGAAGATTGATACTACTGTGTGAACTACGTCTGTTCAACAGGCAGACTGAGTGGGACAAGGAAAGTTTATTTTATGTGTATTTTCTGATCTGAAGGTAGTGCTGTTGTGCTGCCACGCTTTAATGGCGATGGCAAGAATAGCAGTATCTTTAATCAGGTGAATTAGTGATGAATCCCCCTCTGCTGCTTTACTTTAGGGAGTAATGATCATTATGAAATCAACATAGAAGAGGTGCCGATTTTACAATCAATACACAGATTACAGGGTGAGACAACCACATAATTTTGCATTTTGAGTGAAGTATTCATTATTCTTTACTCCCTACACTGGTGAAAATTGGACAACTCAAGTCATTTCCTTCGCTATCCTAGGAAGAAAGAAAATCAGCTTGCAGAACACTGAATGACGCACATGAGAGGGGCAGGGACACTGGGAGTCAGTCAGATTTGGGGGTGCTGAGAGAAAATCTGTCCATATAATGACCTCATACTAAATGCTGAATGCATGATATTCATTGTTTTTTATAGTTGATCTGAATGGTCAAGATCATTTATAGCCTTTTTATTACTTATTAACAACAATTCACCCAAATCTTATAACTAGAAGTGGATAATACTGATTAAAAAAAGAAGGAAAAACCTTGTTTCCTGTCATAAATACTAGTGAACATGTAATGTAAAGGGGGAAAAAAGGATAAAGTCATAAGTTTAAACATTTTTATGAACTAATGGTTTAAATAATGCCAGTTTTTAGGGGGTCCTGCAGACCCCTCAGCACGTAAGTGGATATAATCCATATATCTGAGTGTATTCTGCACTTACAACAGTGGTTCCCAACCTTTTTCCTGAATTAGTGATGTATTTTATGTATATTTCATGTTATATTTCATATTATATTAAATGCATAACAATAAAAGAATAGAAAACAACTGATAAACTGCACAATGAATCCAAACATTGAACACAATAACTGCAGGAAGTTTGTGTAAAACTAGTGATTTGGTCACATTTTGAGCATTTTGAGAGTGAATATGGATCAGAGATGAGTTTGACTGATATTTCTAGGAACTTTTTATACAATTCTCTGACTGTATTGTGTGTTTTTGAACAATCTTACAAACCTAATAGGCTTATTTTTTTTTACATATTCATTGTTTTCTTCTCCCAGACACTTGGCCGTTGTTCTATTATCTCTTTGGTTGTTTTAACTGTTTACTCTTCTAATGCAGGACGAGGCTGTTTATCAGAGAGTGAAAGCTCTGTGGATATAGTTTGTGTTCAAGTCTTCAAAGTTTAGATCTTAAATAATAATCTAAATTATTATCTATTTTTTCTTGCACTGCTTTCCTTGCGATCCCCCCATGAAGCTTTGGCGACCCCTAGTTAGAGAACCACTGCGCTACACTACCCTCTACATCTGCTCCTGCTAATTACACAACATTTAAAAACATTAATGAAGTCTATATCTAGAGGGAGGCAGTAATGCCAACTGCTCTTTGTTTGGTCATTTATATCTATTCAGTATTTGTTGGTGATGTAATCATAGTCTGAGTTTATTCTATCTATTTTATGGCTCCAGAACTTTCTTTCATTTTTGGGTGATGAAGAAGATAAACGTTTTTGGAAGTTTAGATTATTATTTAAGATCTAAACTTTGAAGAGCTGAACACAAGATATATTCACTTCATTCACTCCCTGATGCCTCGTCCTGCATTAGAAAAGTACAAAGTCAGGAGACCAGATAGCTCACCTGGTAGAGCCGGCGCCCCATGTACCAAAGGTTGAGTCCAACCTGTGTGTCATTCCCTCTCTCTCTCCCTTCTCTTTCCTGTCACTCTTCAGCTGTCAGTATCCATTAAAGGCAATAAAAGCCCCCAAAAAATATATGTTTATTAAAAAAAAGAAAGAAAAATACACAGTTAGAAGAAGCAAAGAACAAACAGAACAATGGTTGAACGTCAGGGAGAAGAAAACACAGAATTTGTCAAAAAAAGAAGCCTATTAAGTTTATTTATAAAAAATAAAAAAAAAAACACATAATACAGACAGAGAATTGTATAAAAAGATCCTAAAATATCAGAAAAACTTATCTTTGATCAATATCCACTCAATGTATCCAAATCACTAGTTTTACACAAACTTCCTGCAGTTATTGTGTTCAATATTTGGGTTCATTGTACAGTTGTTCTCTATTCTCTTATTTAATATAATATGAAATAAACATAAAATACATCACTAATGAATCATCAGTTTACTCAATGATAGAAAAAAGGTTAGACCCCCCCCAACTGGTCCAGCCTATCTCAGTGAAGTGCAGGGGGCGTGCTGTAGTTGGATCGACTTGTCCCTGAACGTCACACGGAGGGCTGCTGTCTCTTTAATGAAAAAGTTCAACATCCAACGAAAGTCTGTCGGGGCAGCAAAATGGACCTGAAGGAGCTGACTGTGAACGCGTTGGGCCAGAATAAGAGAGCCGCTCTCCTCCTGGTCGGCGGTGCTGGTGTTGCTGTTCTGGGATTTGGTCTCGGATATAAATACCTGCGAAAGCCAGAAAAAGTTGTGCGTGTGGGCGTCGTGTCGCAGCTCCTCATTTACCCTCTGAAGTCTGGCAGAGCGGTGTCTGTGGCTCTCGCAGAATGCCAGGAAATGGGTCTGAAGTTTGGAGAGCTGCAGGATCGGTGAGTACAGGAGGTTAAAGGCAGTGTGCAGAGTGTAATTAAATGACCTGTGCAGACAGAAAATAAAAGAGTTTGGTGAGAAATGGTCACACAAACAACACTTATTGTGTATTAGTGCAGGTTTTTTACCCAATTTGGTGGCCTTTACTTTACTTTACTTTTCTTTACTTGAATATTGTCAATTTGTGCTACTTTATACTTTCACTGCACCATATTTAATAGATAAATATTACTCTTTTTATTCCACTATACAAGTTAATTGATCATCTTGCACAATATGATGCATTATTATTAAATTGATGGCTGGTTAGACTTGACAGGAGGTAAACTAAGAGAAGATAATTGTGGGTAATGTAGTCTTTTAATGACCCCAACAGTTTTTAAAGTAGTCAAAATTATGTCCACCTTAACCGGCTATATTAATGCATCTCACGTTTACTCATCAATGGTAATCAGCCTAATGTATTTAGTATGGAGACACAGAAGTGCCAAAAGTAAAAATGTGTATGTTGTTACACAAAATTATATATTGGGACCATAATTTAATACTCTAAAATGGACCTTTTCATTTTAACTTTTGATACTTTAAGTATATTTTATATAACAATAATAATACTTTTACTCAAGCAAAGTTTTGATTGCAACACTTTTACGCTGTGTTACTGTTGCTTTTACATAAAATAATCATAGTAATTAACATTGAAACATTAGCTTAAGGTGAAAATTATTACATATTATGTTCGGATTTATACTTACCGTGTCATAATTTTGATGTAGAATCTCATAATTTTACTCACTATCTAATAAATCTCACTTATATCACAGAGTTTTAACTTATAATGAACGTTTTTATTTGTATCATATCATTCGTGCATCCCTGCTAGTAAGAAAATAATTAACAAAAATGGAATAAGTAGACTGAGCTATAACTTCACTTGCTTTGAGTTACGCACCATCTGGTGGGTTGAGAGACATTTTCCTCTCTCCAAATGTACATTCAGTGTAAAACAACTTACAAGTACCTTTGCATAGATTGCACTCAATGGCTCTTTCATTTGGGTTCCTCCTTCACTGCGTCTCAATATTGAACTTATTTGTGAACGTTTGTGGAGGCTGAAGCGGGTCTACAACCATGGAGGCTTGTCGGAGGTAAAAATAATATTAAAAAAACAATACCCACCCCAGCAACAGACTGTTCACCCTGCTGCCATCTGGCAAGCGATACAGAAGTATAAGTATTGACTACAGGGCAGCTTTTTTGTTCATCCTTCGCACTCCACCATGAAAAACTTTTTCTTTCTTGTGTGGCATAAAGGGACTTCAACTCGCATGTTGTTGTGCAACCCGTGTTGTAGAATGATAAACAATGAACCTTGGACCCAGGAATTCCCCATATTTCATCAAATTGTCCAAACATTGATAACACAAACACATGAGTTCAAACATAAGGAAGCTTTGCAGTGTTTAAAAACAAACCTCAAGCTCTGGCTGCAGCACAAAATGTCACCTCCAATGATTGCTTTGTGTTTTATTATCGTATTGCTTCTATATATTAACTCACACTGATGGACTTTTATGTATTGTGCTGTTTAATGTCGTGTATTTACGGTTCTGTGGTTGTTGTTTTTTGTTTACCTGCCGAGGGACAACAGATGGAAACTAGCTGTTCGCAAACTCTGATGCAATTAGTTTTAATTGTGCAAAAATGATCTAAAAAATAAATAAAACAGGTTTTATTTCAACAGAAATATGTCCTGTGTAAGATTCCCAGATTCTAACAAGTGGGAAAAAAATAAAAAAGTGATGAGAATCTGGGATTTTTGGATGAGTCGGCGGCACTGCTGTATCCATGGCAACGCCATGATGTCACCCTGTGTTTTTCTGAGAGCTCAATTTTGTGCAGGTCTAGTACCTGGACGTTGGACCGGGGATGCCAAAACTGGTGCAACTGAGGGGAAACCCGAGGCTCTTGTTTGTTTTTGATTGCAGACACTGGCTCGTGGTCACAGAGGACGGTCACATGGTGACGGGCAGACAGGAGCCTCGTCTGGTGTTGGTGTCTCTGACCTGCGAGGGAGGTCACCTTTGTCTGAACGGCCCAAACATGGAGGAGCTGCGATTCTCCATCAAACAGCCCGACAACCCCGTCATCAACTGCAGGTTTTACATCATTACGACTCCACAGTCTTGAACCCACAACTGTTTATTTTAAAGGTTTTTGATTATTTCTTGAGCATTTTATTTGACAGTGTAGAGAGACACAATTTTTTTTTAATTTTCCTTGGTGATGGAGTTTAATTATTTTTCAGAAACCTGCAGTTTGATTAAATGTTTAACCAAAGGTAACAAGAGTTTGTTTTGGCTCATTAGTCAGCTTTAAAAAATATAAAAAACACATATAGTTAAAGTCTGCTAACAGTTAATTTCATGACGTCTTCAGATGTCTGTTTTTTGTCCAACCTACAGTCCAAAAAGCCCAAAATATTCAGTTTACAATCATATAAAACAGAGAAAACCAGCGAATACTCACACCTGAGAAGCTGGAACCAGTAAATGTTCAACATGTTTGATTGAAAATAATTATTAATTGATGATCAAAAAAGTCTGCGATTAATTTTGCTGCTTTAATATCTGCTAATTTTAAAGACTTTATATCCTATTATTACCAAGAGAGGCCTATAATAGATACTTCAGATATCGTTGACACTTGTTTTAAAGGCTAAATATCTTATTTTAGAGCCGGTTTACACTGTTTATTGTTATTTACTTTTGTTCAAACTCTGTTTTTGTGCTGCAGAGTGTTTGGAGATGACATTCAGGGACGGGACTGCGGCGACAAAGCGTCTTGCTGGCTCACTCATTATCTTGGGGCAGAGAAAACCTTTCGCTTGGTGCACTTTGAACCCCAGATGAAGGCAAGGAGGTCGGTGGAGATCGAGCCTCTTTTCCCACAATACGAAGTAAGACAGGCTGGAATCAGTTGCTTTTTATTCCCAGATTTAAACAAATATTATTGATCTTCATTAGGGCTGCACAATTAATCTAAATATTACTGAGAAGAAGAGAAGCCCTGGCCTACAAATCTTGTTCTCCGTATTTAGGAAAACATGTTTTTTCTTGCTACAGACGCCAAAAAATTTCACATTATCATGATTTTAATAGTTTTTTTCACTGAAAATTACATTTGTCATGCAAAAATTATCAATCGTGATTCATATCACAATCACAAAATCTATCAAAAATAATCACAATATGATGTTTTTACTATATTGTGCAGCCCTATTCTTTATGTCAGCCCTAATTCTCTCTTAATTGGATTCCCGTAAGTAAGTTTTTACTACGTTTATAAAACTGTATGTAACAGAAACAACCTCTTAAATATGTTCGTCCATTCATCCAGAAGGTGGCCTACCCAGATGTTGGACCTGTGATGCTGCTGTCCGAGTCCTCCGTCAAGGATCTCAGCAGCAAGTTGGAGAACGATGTCACGGTGGAGCGTTTCCGCACAAACATCGTCATTAGTGACTGTGAAGCATTCGAGGAGGTTTGTTATTCAGCTCATTTTCTCTGCTGATTCCTGTGTTTTTGTTACAAAAACAGAGAAAAACATATCAGACAGTGATGTAAAGATTAGATTAGAACCATAAAAAGTCATAAAAATAACAGATCCTTTGTGTCTCTACACTACAGCTCATGAGGTTTTGTTTTCTTTTTCTCTCCTGCTTGGGAAAAAAAAAAGATCATGTGGTCCTTTACTTCTGACTAATTGCCTTGCCCTTTTCAGTGTGAGCAGCGTGGACTAATTTTATCTCCAACTCAAAAAACCAACTGCTTTGCTTTTTCAGGATTCATGGGAAGAGATCCAGATTGGCAGCGTGAGACTGCAGCGTGTAATGTCATGTGGACGGTAACACAATTGATGCTTCACACACATTTTAATTAAGACACAGAATCACTTTTATCAGCAACAATGAATCCAGAGCTGCAGCGCAGTCACTGCTGCGGTTTGATTCCCCGGATACAAGTTTGACTTAATCAGTAATTGTCTGTTTAACTGTAAGAGATTTAGGGTCAACAGGTCCAAACTCACCTGTAACTTTTGTTGTTTTCAGCTGCGTTTTCACTACAGTTGATCCTGAAACGGGTATAATCACCAGAAAGGAGCCTCTGGAAACACTGAAAAGGTAAAGTTTTAACCCAATATTATTTAGGGATGTTATAAGAGGGTATATTTTACATTTTTGGAGGTCATTTTGGTTTGTTGCCAGATACTTTTTATTGATTGGGCGGTTAAAAAAGGAGCAAAATCAATGTAGAAACAGTTTTTTTTATTCCACACATTCTTCTTTCTTCTCAAAAGCCTGGTGCCCACATTACCCACAATGCAACTTGTGCCTAATGAGCCTCAAGCAGAAATGAGGAGTGGGCTACATATGTCTCAGCCCACTTCTTTCCAACTACGCACCCGCAGATTTGTTTAATTTTTAGGACTTCCCCTTAAAAGCTGATGATTCGAATCACCACTTGAGAAAAGCCCCTAAACAGCGACGGCATGGCAGGCTGTACACTTTACAAATCGAGTCTCAGAATGACCAAAAACCACAAAACCAATTGTGATAGAAGAGGAGAAGAGTGATGATTAATGGAGGGCAGCGTGACGCCATAGTGCTGACTGTCGGGGAAGTCGGCTCAGCTTCTTTTTAACCACATGGCGGTACACTGCGATTGGAGACGCTCTGTGGTGCGTTGAGATTTTATAACTGAGCTATGAGCAGGTCGCACGCTTGCACGTTCTCTGACTTTGTGGAAATCTGCCGTTTTCACATCACAGATGACGAAGAAAGGCATTAAAACATTAAATTACACATTAAACATTATAGTATGAAACTCATTTACACTGCAGGAGTTCAGTGTGGTGCTGAACTGAAATAAAAAGGAACGAATAGTCGAATCTTCGTATTAAACAGCCAAATCCGATGAGACTCCAGTACAGCTTTTCAAACCTAACAGACCCTGACTCAAGTGACATCATTTGAGGTCATTTTTGCACCCATTTTGCATACAAATGTTGGATGGGCAAATCCCCTCTGCAATGCAAAACTTAAAATTGGTCTACTTTTATGAATGTTTGACACATTGAAGGATCTATTCAATTGGACTATTATTTTAATTTATCTATACCTACAAACTGTTTCCCTTTTGTTTTGGCAATTTAAATAATATTTTTTTGTCAATCACATTAATCCAAGTGGACACTTTCCCTTGAGGAAGTCTTCATTTTTTTAATCTTCTACGTGAACTCGCAGTGGCTTTTCTTCCTGTCTGATTTCACATCTAAATGCCTTTTGAACTCTTTCTGGTGACAATTCTTTCACAGCTATCGTCTGTGCAAACCATCCGAGAAGCACATCTATAAATCGTCTCCACTGTTTGGACAGCTGCACACTGTGAAGAAGACGGGCATCCTGCAGGTCGGCGACGTGGTGTACAAGATCAGCCGTTGACTGAAGGAGTCGGAGAAGGAAAAACATGCCGAGAAACATTTCGTCACTTTTTTTGAAGGGGAAAGAAATCTTTGTTATCACTGTATCAGTCCACACTAAAGAAAGCATTGAGTGATTCACAGAGAGACCAACCCACTGAGATAACACGCAGTTCAGAATATAACATTTATTCCAGTGCATTGTATTAATTGTCATGTCATTGGGCTACATCTACATCAGATGGGCTGTTGTGTAACACTAATGGTGCTGGAATTAAACACATTTCTAACAACTGCGCATCGAATTCACTGGTAATTAAATCCTGAAAGCACATGCTGCTATTAAAGAGAGAAATGAAACTGCCTAAAGTCTTTGTAATATACTTTATGTATGTAATTATTCCTGGAATGAACAAGGAAGAGAAACACTGCTGGGAAACAAACCTCTGGTATTAAAAAAGAATAGAATATTTTAAATGTTATCTGTTTAATTGCTGATCTTTAATTCAGATTAATAAACTTTCCTCCTATCCAATGCTGTTGACATTTGTATGGTATATTTTAAGGCATGTGTTTACAAGCCTAATTTAAAAAAAATCAAAATGTTTAAGTGACAACATGAATGAAAAAAGTATTATTTTAGACATTAATGTTTTACATCAGGAGAGAAGAAAAATAGTCCGAAAGCTGATTTTATTTAGAAAAACGTACAAAGTTTTACCAGCAGAAGGTCGGTGGGGCAGTGACACTTGGACAGGACAAACACACTGAAGCATCTGATGGAAACAAAGATCAAACCTGTGACCTGTGCTGTCAGTTAATGTGCAATCTGTGCTTCACTGACAGTAACTGAGTAAAGACACAATTTCCCATTTGAACCAAAAATGTCTTAAAGAGTCCCATGAGTGTGAACATTTTTAGCATTGGAGGTCCGTTGAGGCACAATTTTAGTTCCATGCAATGGCCAGTAGGGGGCGATACGCCTTTACTCAACCACCACAAGAGCCTGTAGAGGGAGTAAAGTTATTTCTGGATATTTTTATATAAATAAAATTCATTGCTGGTCATTAAAACGCTTTCAGTTCCTTCCAGCTTTTTTAGTTTATTGTTTTAAATAATTGATCACAAATATGTCAGCATGAGAAGCTAAATCATTCAAAATACAAAGAATATAAACGTACGCAATCTTTAAACAGAGCAAAAACACCACTTTACTTCTGCTAAAAAACACGTATGTTGAATGAATTATGACATTTTGGAGGGGTGAACTAGTTGAGGGTGGAGCTTCACAGGTCTTTATGTTTAATAAATTCTTCTTTAGTTTCCCTTAAATGGTTCCAAAATGTCATCAATATTCCCTCTTTGAGGTTTTCTTACAAAATGTGAAGCACAGTAAGAAGGCTATTTTTCTTTGCAGTCAGTCACAGATCATCATTTCTACACTGAGAGTAAGTTGTGGAAGGGTGTTACATTTCTCACAGAGCTGACAGAGGTCTTCACAAGTGAGAAAGAGCACTCTGGTTTCATCTTAAAGTGGATGTGGTCAACCACTATGGAATAATAAAATGTAGTCATAATATAATGTGTTTTTTTTTTTACTGTAGAACAAGACAACAGCCATGATAGCGGCTCTCTGAAGCTGTCAGCATCTTAGTTTAGTGTGTTTAATGTGTAACATTTGCTAATCAGCACTAAACCCAAAGTACAGCTAAGGTTAGGGGTTAGGGTTAGTGTTTGGTCATAAATGAAAAGTATTCGACAAAGTAAGATTTTCATCTAATGGCCAGTAAATGAGAAATCTCCAAAGTTATTAGGATTCATCATCCGTGAACCACGAATGTCTGGACACAATTTAGTGCCAATCCATTCAGTAGATTTAACTTGAGAAACACAAAACTTGTCTGTAAGGTGAATTTCAGGTGATACAGTAATGTGATTTACAGTGTGACGATGTGATGTGATAAAGTATATACTCTAGTTTTGAATTATGGGGTTTAAAGACCATACTTTTGGGCAAGAAGGCGTCTCTGTCTCTGCCTTAATGTACCTTACATTCAAATTCAGTCACTTATTTCAGGTGGCAGCTTGTTCCAAGTCCACTTTATTGCAAGGAATTCAACAAAAATAACAAAACACCGAAACCTGCAAACACCCTCTTTAAAAAAAAGGGAGGGGGGGAAACCATAATGATGTGTGTTACCTCATGTGACAGAAAAGTGTCTTGTTAGTTGAAAAGTGCCCACGTTTCTTCAAAGGGTCGCCCCCCCCTCCAACAACACCGCTGCAGGTAATGACTAACAGAGCTAATAGGAGTTGCTCAACAGGAAAAGACAGACCTCCAAGACATGCCTTGGCCTCTTCACCGTCACAAAATGGGTACTTTAGAGGAAACATTAGCCTTTTTTTTTTTTTTTTTGGGGGGGGTAGAGATAAAAGAAGCTGAGCTGTGTTTGCTAAATTGGTGATGTTTTGGCACAAATGCACAGTTGTGTTTGGGTCTGTAATTTGTTGGGGTCTTGAGTTCAAACAACTACATATAGAGGACATATGGTAGACTTACAATAAATCTGAGTGCAACCCCTTTTATATTTTCAGACCTACAAATCTAGACCCAACATCACTTTAAATGCTTCTTTTTCTAATCAGTGTAATTTTGTACTGCATTTGCGGAGGTGGTTTGGGGCTTTTAAGTGGCGAGGCGCTGGATGCGAAGGGGTTATGAGCTCTTGGGGTCCTGTAATATGGCAGAAGCCCCTACAGTTTCCAGAGGAGCTTTGCTTTAAATAAACAAATAAAATGCTTTTATTTCACACTGATTCGGTTTTTGAAACAGGTTTGAAGTGAAGGAGGTGAAGATGTGTGAAGGTAACATGTATGTTTATGTAGGTGGCTGCAGTTGTGCTTTAAATTTCTATAATTCAGCAGCAGTTTATTTTTCTATTTATGATCTTTAATGAGGGTTTAGAGTTTGTATTATCATGTCATGGTATATATATGTGCTACGGTATGTTCACGTTGTGTCATGTTGTTGCGTTGTATATTAATGTCATGTTATGGTGTATTAATATCATGTTACGTTTTTTATGTCATCACATAGTAAAGTTTTGTGTATTATTATTATGCCATATTATGGTGGACGGTATAAAATCTTTGGAAGTTATCATGATTTTATAAAATGACATACGTTATTATATTCGGGGTTCCCACTCTTTTTAGGAAATCATTTTCCAGGACCTTTTCCAGGACCTTTTCCAGGAGGTTTTCTTGACAACACGGCTGCTTTCCCACTTTCTGATTAGACCTTTTTCACAGCAGCCATTTTGACTTGAAACAGTCCATACTCTTTTTCACTTAAAGGTTGGTAACAAAAATTAATTGGTAACACCTGCTTTTACTATTTCATGCAGAACACTGTATTAAAAGGGCTATTTACTGTTTCTCTCTGTATAATTTTAAAATATTAAATATTTCCAGGACAACATTATTTCCAGGATATTTAATCATTTTGATCACAAGTCTCTAAATGTCCAGGTTTTCCAGGACACATGGGAACCCTGTCACTGCAAAAGTTGTTGTTATACCTTAAAATATGATGTCATTGGTAGAGTAAAATGACGCTATGTCACCGTATATGATGGTACGTTTGTTATGTCATGTTATGATATGAAAGCAGGCAAGGCGGTAGTTGACTGGAGGGTTTGTTTTCTTGGGTAACCTTTTGTAAACAGCAGATTTACAAAAGGTCCATTTGGCCTTTTTCCATTGGCAGCAGAAAGAGAAAACCCACAGAACTGTGAGATTCATGTAACCACAGCGAGCTCGACTGCACGCCGCAGTCAGGATGGCTTTACATTTACAGCAGTCATTATGTAAGCCACGCTCACAGTGGTTTCAGTTATGATCAGTGGTGTGGAGTTTAACTATAAAGAGAGCTACTGAAACACACACACACACACACACACACAGACACTTTCTAATGTTTATTTTTAACACTTACACGTGTTGTAAAATTAGAGCAATTTAACAACACTGGGCTTCGGTATAGTTAGAGGTTTCTTTTTTATCTTATTTTTTGTTTGCTCCTTATTTCTACTTCAAGTTTATTTGATATGTTTTAAATACAGACAGAGAGGTGATTAAGTCAGACCAATGATTTAACAACAGTCCAAAATAAAAATGTAGAGGAAATTACATGCAGAATAAACAGTTGTGTCCTTTGTACTTTAAAGGAATAAGTCAACGTTTTAGGAAACAGATGAGAAGATTGATACCAGTACAGAGGAAACAGCTAGCCTGGATCTGGATTAAACAAACTGAATATAAAGTGTTAAATACCGTGCTTTAAAGGTCCTGGTAGGCGGAGTTTGTAGCATTTGGACAGAGCTTAAACTGGCTACATGAGAGTGTGAGTGTATTGATCTTCTCATCTAACTCATGGCAATAAAGTGAATATGCACGTTTCCCAAATTGCCAAAACCCTACCTTTTAAAATGTAGAAAATAGTCCCCTAAAAAAATGCTTTAAAGTGCTTTTTGCGTGTTTTGCTCACTTGTTTTTTACCTTAAGTTTGTTTGTTTTCACATTCAAGTTTGTCTGAGTTTCATTCACGAAGGCATTATATTCTTCTTTTGACTTTATCCTGTTTCTTTGCTTCCGTGCACTTTTCCTTTGTGGGATCTTCCTCGTGTGGACTGTGTTATCTTTCAGGCTGTTGGTGGTTTGTAGAGCGTTGCTTTTTAACTCAGCTGAGGCAGTCTGATTGGTCTTTATTGGCTTTATTTTGTCTCTAACTGTGGCCTTTTTTGATTGTTCCTTGGATTTCTGTCTCAAAGTCTTCCTCATTTGTGCGTTAGCTGCTTGCTTGTTCAGCACTTTGTTTTTCTTCCATGGTTTCAACGTATTTTTCTCTCTCGCTTTCTTATCAACTGTTATCCGTTTCACAGCAGCACTCGTCGCTGCCGTCGTCACGCTGGCCGCAGTCGTTGTAGTAGGTCTGCTTGTCACCGGTGGTTTGGTGGCGAGCTTGAATTTTCTTGGTGGTGGTCTCGTCGGTTTTTCATTTGTGTCCAACACAGTCACTGAAATGACACAGACGTCAGTAAGAACCCTTTTTTTTTAAACTCTGCAACCACATATGTTGCATTTTATAAGGCTGGACTGAATATTTGGCACAGAAAATAGGTCTAAATGTTTGAAATGCTTTCTTCTTTTTGTCTTTTTTTAAGTATGTTTGATGTAAAATTGGACACTGCTTTTTATAGTTTTATATATGACCTCAATGTGATTATAAAATGTGGAAGTACATAGAAACATAGTACATAGGAAGGGGGGAAAAAAGCAGGTTCTGTTCAGGACAAGCATACTAAACAGTGAACGTAGGGAATTTGTTGGCTTTCCAGATCGGAGGTCTTCTTACACTACCCTCTAACATCAGTTTAATTAACTTGATAACATGTTGTATTGTATATGTTGTTTATAATAGTGCACCTTGATTGAACCCAAACTTTATTTTTTTTTACTCTAAAAACTCAAAACACCAGAAACATATTTCAGTTTAAAGGAACAATTACAAAGGTTCCACTTTATCAGACAGTTAAACAAAATCGCTTCTTAAACAAGTCTGGTATACGCATGACATAAAAACAAGATATAAAGTTATAAGAAGAAGAAGTGATACAAATCCAAAGGTAAACTGAGGTGACTTACGTTCCCTCGGCACAAAAGGAATCTTTTTTCCCCTCACTTTGACAGGCAGCGGCTTCTGCTTACACTTCCCCGGAGGAGCTCTCCTGCCAGAGTTAAAGGGGAAGAATATAAAAAAAAGGTTTAATTGGGTAGTGTTAGTCAATAAATGGTTCATTCGTTTTAGGACAAAACAAGATACAAATTTATACAGATTACAGTACAAAAACTATCCAATACAAGCACTGCTCGTAGGGTTAGCCTATTATTCACGAGTAATCAGATTATAAATGTTTCTGTGTCTTTAAATAAGATTTTAAAGAGGAAGTAACGCACTGTGAACTACAGTTGACAGTGGATTTCTACTGATAAAAACTACAAATTCAGGCAGTGAAAATGATGATAGAGTAACTTGGAAAGTTTGTTGATAAAGATTTGTGCATTCATGTACTGAACACTTGCAGTGGAAGAGCTCCTGTCCTCTCAAGTTTATTAGGCTGCATATTCTCATATTTACGATTTACAAGACATAAAGTTAGAGCGTCTGTATTTTTTATTAATTGATCCAAGCAGGCATGTTTGTACTGGATCGTGGTTACCACATATCCTACTGATGTATGACAGACGATAGCCTACGAATGATCTTTTGCTTGTGATGCTAGTGACATGTCGTGATGGTAAATCAAATCTATGAGAATGATTAAACTGTTTAATGTAAGCTGTGTCTGATACTACACCTGGAGGGGTCCATGAATTTGAAAACCGTTCCAAAAGGAGACATGGCACTGGGGTACGCAGTGGCCAGAAAATATAGTTCCCCTAAAAGACAAACAGCTCATGAGTAGTTACATAAAAGTGGTACATAAGTAAACTCTGTAAATAAGAGACTGAATGATGATGATACCTGCTTCGTCTTCAGCGAACGAGATGATGAACTTGTGGTGATGATTGATGAGTCCGGGAAAAGAGCACGTCTTTGTGTCGCCCATGCATACGCTCCTCTCCTTCCAGCTTCCCGTTGATTTATCTTCCTCTAACGCCATGATTCGACTGCAGGATGGACATGAATCACATATCAACATTTATCACATTTAAGGCAGAAACTGATAGTTAACCTCTCAGATTTATTGTAGTGAGGATGGCAAAAGCCACCAAATGAGTATATACACTAGGGATGAGCAAGTTTACCATTATTTTTAACTGTTCAACCAGCTAAACTATGTTTATATCGTACTCGGAGTGGGCGGGGTTTAAACTGGATATGAGTGGGTCTTAAACTGGACTAACTAAGCCTGAAATTAATATGGGTTGAAGTTGGAATATTTATTTGAGAACGATTTACAGAAAAGCCTCAAAATTGAGCTTCACAGCAATGTTTTTAATCACAGTAGTAAGAGAACTATTTACAATATCTTCTTTTATAAAAGTTTATTTACGACTACAGATATTTAGACATTTAACTCTGATAATACTCATATTCGTAAGTACTTGTTTCAGCCGAGTACTGGCTCAGCCCTAACGAGGACCATTAAGGGAAACTAGAAACTAACCACTAAAATAAAGACTTAGAAACAAAAACTTTTACTATTTTAGTAGTCTGGAATCCCTTTTCTGCCTTTAAGTATATAGTCTGCTACAGAGGAAACTCCAAATATTAAAGGAATAGTTCAACACTTTGGGGAATGAGAGGCAGCAGCCAGTTAGTTGATCTTAGCATAAAAAGTGTAAACAGCAGGAAACAGCTGTATGTCATTTGTTATTCATACGGACAAAAACTGTGTAAGTGTAAAAACAACCAGTTGTGGTTTAGTGGGGGGGTTATGTGCCAAACTATTTCTTGGCAGACAAACAGTCCAGAATATAACTCCCTTTAAAACGGTGAACTGTTGTTTTTACACTTTGTTTTTTTTTGTATGGAATAAATAAACGAGATAGTGTATTAATTAGTGAGCTTTATATTGTTTTTAACTATCTACTACCATAAGACCTCCTCATCTACCTCTAAATAAAACAAACAACAAAACAATTTCCACTAAATCTTGAATTATTCCTTTAAATGAAGAAGGGATGTACATTAATTATCAGGGCAGATAAATGATCGGCTGATGATGGGAAATTTGTATTATTAATATTTATCTGGACAATTAAATTACAGATGATTGATCCATAATAACATTGTATTACAAATATTTGATAGGCGTGTTGTACTATGAGTTACGTAATATTAAATCATCCATCTTTGCTCACTGCAGCTCAGCTTTTCTTGTCATCAGGGGTGTAAAAACTACAGGTTATGGACTTCTTTTGAAATACTAAAATGGGAAATTATAGGTTATCGTATCGGCTCAAGAGAAATCCTAAATTGTGGATCATTTAAAAATGAAGTATAGCTGGTCAGTGTCTGTCTGATATTTCAGGACAATCCTGATTTTCAGTAAATTCAATTAATGTTTAATTTTGTTCACATTTTGTCAAACTGTGGCAGTCAAAAACTAGACTGGACTAGACTTAGTTTAACCTCCTCGTAGAATCACATGGATGAAGTTTATCTCGTCAGGAAAGTATGACAATTTGTTTGTATACCATTATTTCTTTAGTTTGTCTTATAAAGCTCGATCATTGTCAAGTCCTTGGTCTTAAGTCTGGAGTAAAGGCCTGAGTGTAAACATAAAACACCACATCAAACCTCAAGTTTTATAAGATAATGTTTTTAAGTCAGAACAAGTATGAGCCCAAACAAAATATTTATGGTGTAGTTAAATATATATATATATCAGTATCAATATGATCATATTGTAATTTAAGTCACCCTGGGGAAGTAATGTGACTTTAACCCATAAAAAACATACATGGGGTTTTTTTTAAATAAATTCAAAAATGCAACAACAGCTGAGCAAATGTGTCTGTTTTTCTTTCTCTCGGGAAAAGCTGACAGAAAATCCAGATTTTTTATTTTTTACCCGACAGTTGGAGGAAACTATTTGGCTTTACCAACACAATCTTACCCACTCATAAAGTCTCCAAAAATGTACAGGCCGTTCAGATTGGGTGATTCACATCCTCGGTACACATATCCCCCTGTCACAGACTTCCCAACATGATGGCTGTATGCAAATATAGGGAGGATGTCATCTGTGGTGGCAGAGAAAGATGCAGTGAATTTAACTAAGCATCAGAATTAGATTGACAACATTCCTCATTATGGCGGAAATAACAGGTGGTAGAAAAAGTGACACAGAAAATAGATTTTTATCATCAGAAAAGTTTTACATCCACAGAAAATACTCACTCAAGGAGGAGTTGTGGCACAGTTTCATATCATAGCACTCGAAGCCCTCTTTGGCTCTCCATCCATAGTTTCCTCCCTTCACAATAATGTCGATTTCCTCGTAGCGGTTTTGACCCACATCTCCACAGAATATCCTGCCCCGGCCATAGCGGCTGACCAGGTCTCCGCGGTCCACAGAGCACCGCCACATGTTTCTGACTCCGTATGCGTACACCTCTGGCCGGGCGTCGGGGTCACCGAGGAATGGGTTATCAGGGGGGATCCTGTACTGCTTCCCACTGGAGTCACTTCCATCGACATTGATGCGGAGTACTTTTCCCAACAGAGCACTCCTGGGTTGGAAAAAAATGGGGTTTAGAGGCATTTTTAGTGCAGCGATTCCCAACCAGGGGGTACTTGTACTTGTGATGGTACTTTTATAGTTGACAGAGAGTATGTGGAAGATTGTGGAATTGCTCGACTAATAGAAAAAGAACAATCTGATCGGGGAAAAAATCTGCATTTTAAGTCAGCTGTAACACCAGAATGCTTACAGTTACGTGCTGCAATTGAAAATGCATTAAAACTTTACAGAAAGCAAGTAAAGAAGTCAAACCAGTTAGCTGAAAGTGGTTGAAATTATTAGCAAAAGTAAAAAGATAAAAGGCGACAATTAATGAAATGTTAAAACACTTCTTTAAATACTTAATACTAATCGATAAATGGTTGAAATTGTTAACTTATAGCGGTGGATAAACAGTTCCAATAGTTAGCCAAAAGTAATGGATAAATAGTTCAAGTTATATAAAGGTGATGGGAAATGAATAAACCAGTTAGCTTAAAGTAAATGGTAAAAGGTTGAAAAAGTATTGGATAGATATATATATAGATTTATGGTAATAGCTCAAAGTAATGACAACTATTCACCCATTAGTTTCAAATTAATTTTGAATATTTATCCATAAGGCTACTTGGGTAGAATATGTGAAATAGCTAAAAGTAATGAAATGGTTGAAGTAGCTATAGGTGATGGTTAAAATAGATAAAAGTAATAGATAAATGGTCCAAAATGTCCATCTTCTGCCCCTCCAAGTAGTCAGAATGCATCCAGACCTGAAGAAACCTGAGGTGCCTTACTTGTTTTGTGCGTTGCCGTATTTTCCAAACGGATCGCCGGCTTTTCCGCCGTCTCCAGTGAAGATATACAAATATCCATCGAGACCGAACAGCAGCTGTCCTCCATTGTGGTTGGCAGCGGGCTCCTCGATCTCTAGAATGACCCTGAATGTCAAACGGATTCAGTTCAGCACAAACACATCTACTGGAGGTGATATTGGTGTTTTCTTAGACATAAATATCTCGTTGCCATGAATCTTAAGTATGTCTTCAGGTCATGATTCACCAGTCAGAGGTAATTACTTGTCAAACAGAAAGAGGTGATGTCAGCACACTAAAACAATAGAGGTGAGTGTTTGTGGGATTATTAACCTGGTGGAGAGTTCGATGTTTAAATTGATACCACTCTCATTGTCTGTTGGTTTAATATAAAGCTACAGCCAGCATTTTTATTACTATTGAAGAAAGCAATGGCTTGCTGTTTCCCTTGCTTCCAGTCTTAATGCTAAGGTAGACTAACTGACCACCGGTGGTAGCCTCAGGTTTACCGCACATACGTGAGTTTGATCTTGTCTCATAACTCTCGGCAAACTATTCTTTTTAAGTAAAGTAAGCAGCTTTTGAAACCCTGTAATTCAATAAGTTATTTTTTGTGATGACCTAAGTATTTATTTCTAGACTTCTTTTACATGGGTGTTGACTTACGCAGGGGTGGCATGTGAAGTATATGTCTCAGCTTTCCAGTTATTCCCAATTTATGCAATTCCAACATTGTTTATAGACCCCCGTATGCAGAAATGTACCACATGCAAAAAACTGACATGGAATTAGCGCAAAGGGGAGACTTGTTGGTACCCATAGGATCCATTTTCATTCAGACATCTTTCCTTTCCCTTGATGCCAGTTTTTTTCTATTTTTGAGCATTGTTTAGCCCCCAACATGCAAACATAACATGGTACCAATGGATGCGTCGTCTAGGTTCATGTGATTGCAGTATCTTCACTCTAGCTTTAGAAAGGCGCCTGTTACAGCTTCTGAAAAGACAGCGTGTAGTGGAAGAGGAAAAGATAATGAGGTAGCCAATCAGGTTTAAGCCCCCTACCCTTCCGGACACGCCCCTGGCAGTAACTCCTAACTGGATAAAAACATTTAAATGGTGCTCAGGGCCCTGGAAAAGCTTGGGTCGGCCCTGCGCTGTTATACTCAGAACATGTTTATGCAAGCTTTGGTGCAATTGCAGCCCAGGGGGTGAATGACAGTATAGTCCTATATGAGTTTCAAAGGGTAATTGCAGTAGGTGCAGACATCATCAGCCAAACTTTGATGCTATAAAAAAAGCAAATGGAAACCTCCCTTCTGCATACCTCTCTGAGTAAGGATCAGCCATGTTCATATCGTGGGCAGACACCTTCATCTCACTGACTCTGATTTTCTCCAGCTTACTGTTGACCTGGATAGAGTAGTAGATGAAGAAGCGTCCGTTGCCCCGGTACTCGGGGTGGAAGGCCATGCCCAGGAAGCCCCTCTCATCCCCCAGCCAGGGCGTGGTCATCACCTCCCCGCTCAAGTCCAGGAAGGGCTGCTCCAGCCGGCTGCCGTCACGCAGGTAAACCCACACAAAGCCCACCTGCTCTGCGATGAACATGCGATGAGTGTCGTCGCCGCTGTGTAGCATCAACACAGGGTTCCTGAGGTTGTTGGCCACCTCTGTCAGGCACAGCTGGAGACACCCTCCGCGGTCCTCCGCCACTTGTCCCAGGTGGCTGTTGAGGTCAGGGCTCTTTAAAACGTTGGGGTAGCAGTAGTCCTGGTCGGACAGGTCGACCACGCTGCAGAACGTGAACACATCTCGCGCAGAGGTCTCCTGCAGCCGCTGGTTCTCAGTTAAATATTTAACCACGTGGCCACATTTGGCATGAAACTCAGAGCAGTAGCCAAAGCAAAGGCCGGGTAGCTCTCTGACAGGTGTGTACGGGTCCTCAGCGTCATAGAGGTGGGCGGCGTATGGAGAGCACTCCTGGATGGGGACAAACACAAGACACTACATTTTCACAGGGACGTTTTAGGGAAATGATGACAAGAGGGACTTGACTGACTCAAGTAGATCAAAGTTAAAGCATGGAAGTGACTCTTATAGAACAAAGACATTCTCTGGTTTTCCATAGAAAGGGGCACTCAACAAGTCCCCCCCCCTCATAGGGATAGTCATCTAATGTCAAAGTGTTGTGGCTCAAACCTTCCACAACTTAACTCTGGTTGAAAGAGTTGGTAAATGTGAGCTTATTCCACTTTTAAAGTCATTGTAAAGCCTTTATAATAAAAAAAAGAACCTCAGCTCTTTCAATATATAGCTTTTAATAGTTCTCCACTGCTGTTAATAAAAGTTTTAATTAAATGAGACTAAAGAACTGTAAGGGAGTACTGTATGTTCAATTATAACAATTATAACAAATTATATCAAAGATGCATGACGCCTAAACTTTAATCTCTTTACAAGTTTAATAATGGTTTTAATAAGATAAAAGTTGATATTGGGTTACTATGACTGCTTTATGAGAGAGCAGTTAACCTCAACAATAATTTATTCTCACCCTGAACAATGTTTAATTCTGTGAAACTTTGTGCCAGAAAATATTCATGACAGTTGCATCCTCAAAATGTAAACACCCAACCTTTAGAGAAAATATTAATTATATTTACCTGACACAACACTTCCTTCAACATATCCGCACAGAGCTCATAACCCGCCACCTCGAGCTGGTCAATAATGTCCCAGTATCTCTCCGCGATCATGTTGTCCGTTTTCTGGTCACAGCAGCCAAACTGTTCGTACTGGGTGCAAAACTCCAGGTGCCACGGCGGTTTGAAAGGTGGCTCGAAGTCCAGACACTGAGGATGAGCTGATGCCGACTGGACCGAGACGAGCAACATCACTGACACGATCAGGATAAACTCGGGAAGGCTCGGTTTGTCTTTGGTTGAGCTCGGACCTGCAGCCGCGCGTAAAACCGCGCAACCGGCTCCGCTTGGATGAAGCGCAGCATCCCGCGTACTTGTCATTTTTGCCGTCTGTCCCCGAAAGAGTTCGACTGTTTGCTCCCCTTTATGTATGAGCCAGAGAGTGTATGTGCGTGTGAACACGCGTGCGCAAACATATGTAACTGTACGTGCGTCCCAGAAGCCCCCCCTGACTCATTTGCCCTCCACCTGCTCAAGGCCAGGTACAAACACACCTTGTCGCCGCTTCTGTCTCCCATCAGGCTGATTACTAACAATTAAAACAAAACATATTCGTAATGGCGGTCAAGTTAATTGGATTTATTCTTTATTCCCCGACACGCACAGCGGTTTTAGACACCGCAGCGAAGTTGGCAGAGGAATACGCACAATTACCTAGAAAGTGCGCACGCAGACACACATGCGGCGGGACGCGGTGTCGAGGCACGCAAACATCAACAGGCTACCGCAACACAGACTATAATTTCATGTTAAAGCGCCTCCGGGCAGCGTGCTGTTTGTGCAACAAGTCGGCAGCAGCTGCTTCATCCTACAGATCTACTGTCCCAGCATGTCAACTCTTATTTGAATGCACAGTCAGAAGGCGTCTGTCATCAGTTTCTACCGGTGCCAAGGGAAAACCGGAGAGTAAAAGAAACACTTTTATCCGCTTATTATGCTTCTAGTGCACCGCAGCAGTCTGACACAAAGCGATATGATTATGGGATATTGAATATTAGGTGCAATGTCAAGTAGAACTGTGTAATTACTGTTGGTTTATTTATTCATTTAAATAAATATGATACTTTTATTTGGTTCTGCAGAGAAAATGTACTAAATTACTTAATTAAAATGACATTTTCCCACACAAGTAAACCAGCTCCTGACACATATAATCTCATTTATTGATCATTTCAGTCAGATAACAACAGTCTTATTTTGTGCATGCGAATGTTTGAATGTTTCATGTTATCCTGACAACATCCTAGTATAGTATACTCTCCTATATGTGAATATGTGCATTAAATTACAACAATATTTATATATATATAGAAAATAGAAAACAAGAGTGTGTAAAAAATACATTATACTACAGTAGCCTATATAGAAACAGAAAATAAAATATGTGTTATGCAATTTATAACAGAATGTAACGAATAAAAACTAATAATGCTTGAGAACAGGATCCTGAATAGGTGTGTATTTAGTATTAAGGGTTAATTCAGGGACAAGAAAACCTCGAATTAGTCTAAAAATCATACTAAGTATGTATTATTGTTTTAAACTATTAAAAAAATTACAAAATACAGACATATAATCGCATAAAAAAGCACCATATAACAGGAAGTTATCCGCTAAAAAACTCATCCAAGTCACTGAGTTCACTATTTGGATTAATTGTACAGTTTTTAATATAATATTAATAAAATACTCAATCAGTCAGTTTACTAAATCATTTTTATATTTATTTAAATAATGTTTGAGACCCATTAAACTGAAGAACAGTATTTATCCAGCAGATGGCAGCAACCAACAAACAAATCAGACACAAAATGGAGGAAACGGAACTTCGTCATCTTTTTTTTTTAATGTTGCGTTTGTTTTGGTGATGACGAGAAAGCGGTCAAGTTAGTCAGAGTGACATCATGACACTTCCGCCTGGAGCCTTCATCTTAAAACGTGTATCGGTGGGAATGTATTTGTTGGTCCGTAATTCACTTCGCAAACACGTGAAGAAAATAAATTTAAACGAACAGATGATTGTTTTTAATGCGTTTTGTTTCTTTGCATCACGCACACGTAGGAGTCGTCCTGTGAAAAAAAAAAAAAACGATTACCGCTTTTATTTTGAAGGCTAAACCCGTCCGCTTCCGGTCACATTTCAGCTAACCGCGTTCAACTTGACGCCGCGGCGACAAGGCGCTGCCAAGTCTTGACAACAAAACACAAAATTGCCTCACGTAAACCTATGCAGCTAAAGATCCACCACCATGGCGTCTTAAAGGGGTGGACGAAGACGCGGTTCCATGCTCGGTAGGTGACCGGAGCCAGTCTACTCTTTCGCCGTTGAGCCGCGAAACACGGACGCTGGAGAAGCTACAATGAGCTCGGAGCACCAGAGCGACAGCGAGGACGCCGACGGGTCGCAGGACAGGCCCAACAGCGGCAGCGACAAAGAGGAAGACCCCGACATCGACGACTCGGACGTGGAAGATGACACTGCTCCGGCGGTGTCACCCTCGCCGCCGGGACCCAGCGTGGACCGGCCGGAGCGTGGAGCGGGGTCCCCGGCGTCGGAGGAGGGAGAGCCCGGCTGTAAACCGGCCGCCGCGCCGCAGCCGGGGAGCGGCGGGGACCCCAGCACCGATGGCCGCAGGGGGAACAGCTTGTTTTCTTGGCTGCAGAGCAGGACAATAAGACGGGGGGTGTTTGTGGACCCGGCTAGGGATAACTTCAGGACAATGACCAGTTTGTACAGCTCCATGAATCCGGCTGTGGAGTCTGTGAACCTGAGCACTCAGACCCACGGAGCGGTGTTCAACCTGGAGTACTCCCCGGACGGGTAAGACCACATTTTGGGCCTTTTTATTCGGGAGTTCGTGTTTACAGAGTTGCCCCACTTACCTGGGAATTATTTAAAAAAAGGTTAGAAGTAATATTGGTAATAAAAGTGCTTGAATTGCATCATAAAATCCACCTTCACATGCTTCACCACTCTGCACTCAGGTGTATCTGCAGCCAAAAAAAGTGGGAATACTTTTAATTTATGCCCCAAATTTTCTTTCTAATCAGCCGTCCAGCAAAGTATGAACACCCCTACTATTGCATATTTAATTAACTTCATAAAAGCACCAGTAATATTTGCACATTGTCACTTAACATTAGCCACAGAAGAGGAGGTCCACAGACTTTGGGCCTTAAAATGATGTATTTTGAGTGAAATATTCCTTTTTCCTTCCTTCAACTATTATTATCTTATTATATCATGCGGTTCCAGGAACAAACATTCATCTGGCACACTACCACTGAATGATGCACATTGGAGTGTATTTAGAAGTGGTTATGCTCCATAAACCTGCTTATATACCCTGCACTACACCACTGCATCCATATGTCACCTCACTTCCCCTTAAAACTCACTGAGACGTTAAAAAAAATTAACAATTTCTCTGAACAAAACCTCGAAAGTCTTGCAAAAAAAACAACAACACCGTCACAGTAAGTAAAACTCAACACACACAGAGGTTTAATCCTCTGTGACCAGACAGCAGGTGAAGGAAGTAAATCCTGCAGCCCAACCAGGTCAAGCTGTGTCCCTTCTGGGTCACGTTTGTTTTGTGGGCTTATGTGGCTGCACAACAAAAGGAACATGTCCGTCCTGCACAAGTGGGGTTTTTTATCTGGGAAAATGCATTTTTTTGCTGTAGATAAAACATCCTGAACATACAGAGCCTTTGGCTTCTATATTTTGGGGCCTAAAAGAGGAAATTTATCCAATTTTATGGCACATTTTTTGTAATCTTTATCACATTATTACAACTGTTGGTGCAGAGTCACCCATCATGCTTTTGCATCAGAGTCAGGGAGGTAGAGGATTGTAAATATAAGTAAATTTCAATAATCCAATCCAATAGACTTTGTGCATAGCTGAGCATTAATACGTTTTCTGAAAAGCATAATCTCCTTATTGGGTATTGTTTTGTCTTTAGATGATCAGGGTGTCATTTTATTAATTTATCTTTTCATTTATGTCTAAATCCATGTTCCTGATCCGTATCATGTCATAAATCTAAGAATGGCGTCCGTAAAACTGGAGAAGAAGTTACCTTTTCTTCCGTAATCGCTCCTCGGTTTACGCAGTCTCGCCATATTAAAGTGTCTCATCAAAGACGGCTGTTCAAGTTTTCTCACATTTCCTGCCTGGGAAAATATTTTAGCTCAGATGAATTGATAATGCGCCACCTGCAAATGTGGTATTGCAACACGCTGATATTTGAGCTAATACCAATGGATTATCTAATATTGTAGTTTTATTATTATTTATCCAGATGTTTATTTGATGCATCACTGGCGACTGTAACGTTTTTGCCTTATAAATAAATATATATAGACATTAGGGGTGCACGATAACCGATAAGATAACTGATAATTGCACATTTTTGTCCTTTTTTTGGCTCTTGCAGCCACTGTGTGTTGTTAGTGTTGTTGGAGCTGTCTGTATTTGTGTTGAAAACAGTGTAACAGGTCCAAACAGACGGACTCTTTCCTCCCCCTTTAATATTTACGAGTGTGTCTCCGATTTGTGTGTCTGCTCCGCTCAGGTCTGTGCTGACTGTGGCCTGTGAGCAGACCGAGGTCCTGCTATTTGATCCCATCTCATCCAGACACATCAAAACCTTGACCGAGGCCCACGAGGACTGCGTCAACAACATAAGGTACATTTCACCACACCAGTGGAGGGACCCAGGGAGTTGAAGCTGAAAGCAGTGAAACGTAATAAGGTTCAGGATGGCAACATGATCCCTTAAATCGTCTTTATTGTTACATCAGATTAAGCTCCCTGTCAGGATATGAAGTGCAGGGGCCAATAAAAAACCAAAAGGAATCAAGCTGCTGTGTAGATTCATGGCTGCGGAGAATCTTAAATGAAATCGTTCCCCTGTTCCCTGCAGGTTTTTGGACAATCGTTTGTTTGCCACCTGCTCCGACGACACCACAATTGCATTATGGGATCTCCGTAAACTGAACTCAAAGGTTTGCTCGTTGCACGGCCACGCCAGCTGGGTGAAGAACATCGAGTACGACACCAACACTCGTCTCCTTGTCACATCTGGCTTCGACGGCAACGTCATCACGTGGGACACTAACAGGTTTGTGAGCGTCGTCAAAGTAACATTTTAAGATAAATATGAGGAAATTATTCATATTTAAACATGAACTTTGTGTTTTCTGCACCTTTTTAGATCTTTTGCACTTGTGATTTTTGCATTATGCAATAGGAAACATTCATTATGTGGTTTTTCACCTCCAGACTATCCCTTAATAATATATAAATTAATTATCTACCTTAGGGCTGCAGCAAATTATACTTTTCATTATCTATTAATATATTATTTTCCCAAAAAACAATGTTAAAAATGCCCATTACCAGTTCCTAGAGACAAAGGTGATGTTTTCTTATTGCTTTTTGTCCAATAAATAGTCAGAATATATAAAATTTATAATTATGTAACAGAGAAAAGCTAGAAATCCTTAAATCTGAGAGGCTGGGACCAGGGATTCTTTGTCATTTCTTTTAATAATTGATCAATTTGTTGATTTTTTTGCCTCTCATAGTTGTGTTACAATGTGCTGTTCTAGTGTTTACGTCATTGTTGTACCTGGAGCTGCACATATAAACTCCAACCAATATATCACAGACTTTTTAACAGTCCACTCTCCTTCATCCCTCTGTCAAATAAAACCTGCAGCATTACAGCTCAGAAGGTGGGCTAAATGGTGTTTTTGGCTGTAATTCAACCCTGAAAATCTAATTTCTTCTCCTGAAGAGCTACCCAAATAATTTCACTGTGGATGTTTTGTCTTGTTGCTTCCTCACACCTTGCGCAAACCCTTTTAACCAGAATTACATTCAATTATTTGAGCGAAAACAACATCAAACTGTCCGTTAAGACTTTAACTGTCCTCCCTCTGCAGGTTTACAGAGGACGGCTGCCCGCACAAAAAGTTCTTCCACACCCGCTACTTAATGAGGATGCGTCTGACACCCGACTGTTCCAAGATGCTCATCTCCACTTCCTCAGGGTACCTGCTCATCCTCCACGACCTGGACCTCACCCAGTCCCTCGAGGTGGGCAGCTACCGCATGCTGCGAGCGAGACGGACGCCACTCAGCTCAGGTCAGATCTCAGTCTCCCTGAAAAACTAAATCTGCCCATATTTCACTTTCTACCTTTTGTTTTTGTTTTGTTTTTTTCTATTCTTTCAGTATTATCTCTGTTTAATGTTTTTAGATATTCCTTTTTGTAAAACGTACACCTATTTAGTGCCAAAGGAAGTTGTTGATTAAGACATAATGAGCTGTAATTTTGATGGTTGAGTAATTTTTTTTGTCCTTTCATCAGGTAACAATACAAAATATTCAAAACAGATTCATAAATGCAAAGAATAACTGGATTGTCTTAATTTAATGTCATTTAAAATCTAATATTTTTAGACATTGCACAACTTATGATGGACATTTGTTGACTAAACAGTTTAGTCTTTAGAACATTGCTGTTGCTTCCAGATTAAATAAAATAATTTTTATTTACCGTGGTGTGATTTGTAGATGGAGGCACATCAGCGTCCAGGTCAGCTGGGACTCCTCGCCAGGGAAATGACTCCAGCAAGATCCACCCTCACCGAGAAGGTCAGAAACAATCGCAGTGTAAAACTCAGATTCTTTTCTGCTAAAGTGATAAAGACGGACTTTATAATTATTTGCTAACTTTGTTCTCGCAGGTCTTTCTCCCAGAAACAGCCTGGAGGTTTTGACTCCAGAGATCCCTGGAGAGAGAGACCGAGGGAACTGCATCACCTCCCTGCAGCTCCACCCTAAAGGCTGGGCCACGCTCATCCGGTGCTCGAGCAACATGGACGACCAGGAGGTGAGAAACACCTGTTTTTAAGATCTTTATGATCATTAACGGCCTCACTTCGTGTCTCCATCTTCATGTTTTATAGGTCTGAAAGCAAAGTGAGATACTTTCTTTGCGTCTAGATCTGTGAAGTGATTTATGACCTCCCTTCACCCTTGGTTGGTGTACTGTAGGAACTGCCTCATCAGCAGCATACTGCACCTGCATCTTATTGAGCATAAAAAAACCCTCAGCAGGCCTGTGTCGTTTGTAGCTTTCTTCTTGCCGTTGTTATCAGCTTGAATTCACCACAGTTACAACTGATCTTCCGGTGGCAAGTTGTTTGACAAGTTTACCTGACTCTTGATGTACGGTGGCCTGCAGCTGACATAAACAAAACCAATAAAATCCTGTTCTCAGAAAGTTTCAGGAAGCTTGTTATAAAAGTATCCACATACACACTGAGTTTTGGTTCAGATTGCTTGATGTTTTGGGGGATTTTTAAACTTTATTTTTGTAATTTTTGTTCCAGTGGGACACAGAACTGAACACACTGGAGGGAAGTACAACACAGCTCAAATGTTGTTAGTTCAGCAGTTGACTTACTTGCCAATAGTACCATACAAAGATAACACCAATAGGGCATCAAGTAAGAATTGCCTCCGGTCTGATAACCAATTGTAATCCATCTAGTCCTCAGAGGGAATTAAAATGACTGCAGTCTTATGTAATCCAATTAGCAAATACACATTCAAACCCAGTGTGACCCCATTGAACAAATAAATCACAAGGAATTATACATATGATAATACTAGTAGACCTCAACTTGTATAAACATGACACGATCAGATACTTCGTCTTTAAATTATTTTCCATTGGACTCTGTGTGTTTGTCCTACTGCAGTACCTTGAATGTCCAAACTCATTCTCCAATAACAACAACAGAAACAACAAACAACAAAATCTAAGAAAATTTGGCCCCATCAAACTTTGTTTAGTAGAATTTATTTACAGTTTGCTGTCGGTGCAGTGTTGTATCATCATGTGAATTGGTGTTTTATCGTAAACAAAAAGCCACTAACGGTTGGTCGGTGCCGCTGTGGGTCCCGGACCAACGTTAATCTCTCCAGTGACGGCGCCATCATGATTAATAGTTTCAGACCCCGCTGTGTGACTACATCTAACACCGCCATCTCTCCTCCTCTCTCTCCCCAGTGGACGTGTGTGTATGAGTTCCAGGAGGGAGCGCCCACCCGCCCGCTGGTCTCCCCCCGCTGCTCCCTCCGCCTCACCCACTACATCGAGGAGGCCAACGTCGGCAGGGGCTACATCAAAGAGTTGTGCTTCAGCCCGGACGGACGACTCATCTGCTCCCCGTATGGCTACGGCGTCCGCCTGCTGGCTTTCGACGAGAGCTGCGGCGAGCTGGCCGACTGCCTCCCAGTCCAGACCAGCTGCCTCAGGGAGATCCGCTCCATCTACTCGCACAGCGACGTGGTGCTCACCACCAAGTTCTCCCCGACACACTGCCAGCTGGCCTCGGGCTGCCTCAGTGGACGCGTCGCCCTTTACCAGCCTAAGTTCTAGCAACCCGCACTGTCAAAGAACGATGCACTGCAGACCTGGGTGGAGAAGTGCTAATCAGGGTTCCAGCGCAGATCTAGAAATGTGTCGAAGGAGAATACAGTTTCTATGATTTTAAACTCCTAACACTTAATATGTGTAGATTTTTGTCGTGCAAAGGCTATATCTGCTTTGTAAAAAGGCCTTCTTGGTATCCTTTGGTATAGATTATATCAAAACTATCAAAGGAAATTCAAATTTTCCCAGAAAATCTGAATCTATGGGAACCCTGAATAACATTTCCTAGCATTTGTTTTAAAGTGCTGTAGTGGACCGGATGGGTGGGAGTTACTGCATGCAGATATTTTAAATAGTCTGACGCACGGTATAAATGGAATATTGTGATTTTTCTGGACCCTCTGCCAGACAATCTGCATGGAAAACTCCACCCATCTGGCACCTAAAAAGGAACAAAACAAACCTTAAAACATATTTTCGGTACTTCTCGACCCAGATCTGTAGCTGTGCAGCAGACTGAGTGTTGACAGCCACTGTTCTGAAAAAAAATAGAAGAAGGAGAAGACTTCAGCTGTGACCCCTTTGTCCAGGCTGCACTAGTGGATGAAAACTTTCAGCCTCTCTGACCCTGAACTTCGAAAAAAAATTGGAGAAAACAGACAAACTTTGAGGCAACGAAACAAAAAAGCGTCATTGGGATTTGCAAACAAGACTCCATCCAGACTGAGGAGTTCAAACCTTGAAGCTCTGATCATTAAATCAAGAGCTCGTCTGTGGCTCTTTTTTTTTTTTTTTCATACTAAAGATTCATTTTGGTCTCTATAGCAGTAGAAAACTTATTTTGAGACTCCAGATGTTGCTGTCTCGGGACAAAAACACTAAGGATGCAAACAAACAAACAAACGGATATTAATCCATCAATTCTAACGAGACAAACAAGAAAACAAGGCGCTTGTCTCCGTCGTCTTGCGCTGTCGTTGATCGTCTTTGACACGGCGTCCTCCGCTGCGGATCGTGTCGCTCTCTCAGCTGCTCCGCTCTGCTCATGCCTTTTTCCACAGGTGCTGCTTCTCTGCTCATACAATCTGAACTTTGACTTCAAGGACCTCATTGTCGACGCCTTTCCCGTTTACCTACCTGTCAATTTTTTTTGTTCTCCATCTCCACTCCGTTTCCGCCTTCATGGTCCTTTAGCGGTTTAGGTTTTTTAGTGGTTTTATTGGTGTATTAATGTCTGCACTACTAGTTCACAATTGTTTGATTCGTTTGATTCTAACGTTCACTGTTTGATCATTGAGGCCGCTTTAGGATTCACTTCTGGTTTCCCTGCACAGTTTTTGAGTTTTTAATCTTAAGTCTGTGAGTGGAAACTTGCTGTCTGGACAATAGAAGCCGCCGTCGCTGTCTCAGACATTTTCCAGACCCACTTTCTGTACAAACTACTATTGCAACATACTTTAGTGAAGGAAAATACTATTTACAATTACATATTTCTTCTCCAAAAGATAAGACTGGCATTATTCTGTATTGTTTTTGGTTTTTTTACATAGAGCACAGTATGCTGTCTGTGGCACTCAGCCCATTGGTTCCTACTGAAGACATAAATCTTAAGTAATTTCCTGAAACAGCTGCCACTGTAGTTTGTAGAAAACGTTACTCAAACAGGAGTAAATAGAGAAGTTGTTGGGACTACTTTCAGCCGTGGAGTAATACACAATTCTAGTGCATATTTGCAGCTGTTGTTTATAGTAATGAAGGAACATGTCTTAATGGTACAGAGGATTAAGATATATCAGTATTTAGCCACACAGATAATAAAAGTCCATTCATACTTGGTTTTGAACTGAGCCCCTAAAGTCATATTTTTTTATCTGGTGCCCGTCCTTTATTCCTGTCTTCTCTTTAGATAATATCTAAACATCTAAAAATACTTTTTAAATCATAGTATCCATTGTTCTTAATAGATACTTCATATATTTACTCTTTCATTTCATTAGAACACCTGTGATATACAGTAAAATCACCTTATATCACTTATCTGTTTAAATCATTAATTCAATAATAATTAATTATGGGATGATAATAACTTTCCTTGTGTGAGCAGGATAATAACTTGTGCACAAAAGCTCAAAAAATGTGACTTTAAGGGACTTTTGGGGCTCTGTAGAGAAAAAGAAAATATATATAGAATATTGCCAGCCTCTTTAATTACCTTGTTGACTATTTTGAATATAGGGCAGAAGAAGTTTTTGCCTCAGCATCGTTCATTTAACCTTTTATAGGACATTGTTGCCAAGAAACATTTCATTTGATTGTTTTTCAACCTTGTACCTCATTTTGTTGGTTTCTGAAGAGAGTGTTGATCCACATCAGTGTTTTGAATTTTTTCTCCTCCTCCTTCATCACATCCAGTTATCTCACTCTTACAATGTCGTCATAAAAGGTGACCAATCAGGTTTTCTTCCTCTCTAAGGAGCAAATGGATTGCTTTGACTGTTGTAGTATCGGCAATGCTTTTGTGTTTTCAACCACTGTAGTATAGCTGCTCCAAGAGCCAAGCCTGGGTGTTAAAACCTCAATGTAAACTGGTTACAGTACATACCGACTGACTGCAGAATAGATATTGCGTGAACAAAAGATAGACATTAGCGTATACTACTATGCATACCAGCCTTTATGAAGATTCTCCTTTCTTATTTATACTGGGGGGGGGCGCGATGCTCTGTGTGGAGCCGTCAGATGCCAAAACGTGTTTTTGCTTGGACAAGGCAGTGCTTCTCCTCTGTAGTGAGATGTGAGCTGAGAACTTGAAGTGAACATCTGCAAATTATGGATTTAAAAAAAAAAAAAAGCTTACATTTTAAAAGAATTGGTTGACGTTACTGGAAATACGCTTATTCACTTTCTTGCCAAAGGTCAAGTGAGCAGATTGATACTCGTCTCGTGTTGGTCAGTTGAATATGAAGCGACACCTTGCAGCCGGTTAGCTCAGCTTAGCACAAAGGCTGCAAACAGGGAAAACGGCTCAGCTGACGCAGTCTAACGGTCACAAAATCTGCCTACAGGCAACTTTAATTTAACATTTAATCCATATTAAAACATTTAAATTTGCAGTTTATGGGTGGTTATGTATCAGACTATTTCTTGCCTGGCAACCAAACAACAACAAAAAAATAGTCAGAAACATAATCGTCATAAAATGGCATCTTATTGTTGTTTATCCAGCTGTTTAATGAGCTTTGTGTGTGCTGGTAGGTGCTGTTAGTCAAAGCCAAACTAGCCGTTTCCACTTTGTGCTTGGCTAACCAGCTAACAGGCTTACTGGCTGCTTGCGGTAGCTTCATGTCATCTGTTTACACGTGTGAGTGGTTATCAGTCGTCTCCGCTAAAACCACCGCCAGGAAGTTAAATAAGACTGAATAGGAAATTTATGAGTTAATATTTGTTAAAAAAAAAAAAAAAAAGGAAGTTGTCTGAACACAGATGTGATTTAATAATTCCCAGCTCACAACGTGGTCCTGTATGTACTGAGGAAGGATGCTTTCAACACTTTGTACCTCAGTTAACTGCTCAAAATGTGCGTGTTTCACCAAATGGGGTCCATTTTACATTCAGTTCAGTCAATTCTGGGACTTTTTTCCACCTCTAGAATAACTTATTTTCCAAGTTAAAGACATTAAGAAACAACCCAGAAACATTTCACTATTTAACTGTTACATTTATAGTTGTTGTTTTTTTTTAATTGACTGAGCTGAAGGTTAAAGGATCATCCATGCTGTATATTCAATGCTGCTTTTATTTCACTTATATTCACAAGCTCTTCGGAGAGAAGTGTCTTATCTGCCATTTTTCACTTCAGGTATAGCAACTAAAAAAAAAAAAAAAAAAACTGGGTTCATTTTTATGGATTTTTTTTTTTTTTTTTGGGTTTGTTTGTCTTTGGTCAGTCCTGTCCTTGGTTTCAACCTGTGTCCTGTTGTGGATTAATTGAATGTTCTCAGTAGTTCTGGTGTTAACCTGTGCACCATCACCTCAACTGATCACAGGTGGAGGAGGGGTGGACAAGAGACGGGAAACGTGTTGAATTACTCACACTGTGGTTTCCTAAATGGCTATACACAGCAATGAATCCCAACAATGAAACTAAAATGGTACTTATTATCACTGAAATAAAAAGATTAGCTTCTTTTTGCACTTCTGACTGTTTGGTGTTTGAGTCCAGTATTTCTATCTTTATATCGTATTTTATTTTTTATCCCATTATTAAAAACACCACACGTGAAAGAGAACCAACCACTAGATGGCAGTCAAACTAACACCTGCAACTACTCCCCAAAACTAGGGGTCCTGAACCCTCAAGAGACCGTGAGATGGTTAAGTTAAGAACAGTTTAACGTGTTCAAATAAATCTGAGAAGAAAGAATCGCATACCGAGCTGAACCGGTCACAGCTCGTAGACATTTACAACCTGTGTCAAAGGGCGGGAAGCAGACACAGCTGTGGTTTAGGGGATCACAAGCCGTTAAAGGTCGGGAAGCACTGCACGCTTCTGACTGTTTATAGCTGATGCTGATGGCTTCTTGCAACGCCGTTCTCACAGGTTGTAATTGAGCTGTGAGCAGTTTAACCAGAGCTTCCTACTTAGATTGTTTCATTTGAATACCTTTTTAAAGTCACAAACAGGTAAAACTCTGCTTTTCTCTAACTAAAATGTGTGTGTCAGTCATGTTTGCTGCTGTGGGGGATGTCAGTGTTTGATGGTCAGTCAATCTCAGCATCTGTTGGATGGATTTCCATTAAATTTAATACAGATATTCATGGTGCCCAGAGGAAGAATCCTACTGACTTTGGTGATGCTCTGACTTTTCATGTAGCGCCACCAGCAGGTTGAAGTCCTCACATATCCAGTGAAATGTCAACATCTACTGGAGAGATCAGCCACAAAATATTGTACCAACATTAATGGCTTCCAGATGATGAATACCTTAAACTTTGGTGATTTTATTGACCTTTCCATGCTTGCTTTTCCTTGAAGTGTTGACATTCATGTGACGCTATCAGCAGCAGCCACAAGAAGCTTTACCTTATTTATTGATTTTGGCAGCCCCTGTAGACAAAAGCGGCTCGTTTCATTGCTTTCAAGGTGAATCCGACCCAGTGGCAGGCATTAAGAATAACTATATTGAAATAGCCTTTTTCTCGCTGATGGTCTTGTTTTACAATTAAATTTAGACAGTTTCATTAGCAGTTAAAAGCGCCTTATAATACTTTAATATGTCAATTGCTTTGATTTATGATTAAATACCTGTAAAATGAATTACATTCGCTGTTTAGTGCCAATTAGCAAATGTTAACATGCTTACACACCGAACTAAGATGGTGAGTGTGGTAAACATTACACCTGCTTAACATTGTGCCTAAGTACAGCCTCACAGAGCCACCAGCATGGCTGTAGACTCATTATCTTGCTTGCTCTTGTTTCCTATTTTCTCATTTTTATGTTGTGATCCCCTGTGAGGTCGTGACCCCCAGGTTGGAACCACTGCCCTAGCGGCTTCTGTCAGTTCCAGGTTCTTTGGTTCAGATTCACACGATAGATATATAGATATAATACAAATAAGTCATATTTATTTGAGATTTTATGGTCCTGTTGGACTTCAGTCAAACAAAAACAGACTAAAACATGTCACATATCAGACCAGCTGACAGTTAAATTCTCAACTTAGTCTTAGCAACAAACACTACAGCATCAACAGCTATAATGTACAAATACTAAAGTGAATGCCTGTCCAGAAATGTAAAGATGTTCATTATCATTCAAAAAAGCTTCATGTTTGTATAACTTTTTAGAAGTGTTCTTGTTTTTGTATAAAAACTCTGTTTTTTTAAGTATCCTGTCATCTTCTGTAAGAGTTTGTGTGACTATCGTGGTTTAATCTGCCTTAAAGGGACAGTACACCCAAATAAGCTGTTGTGTCTTTTAATTGAATATTTTAAATCTGAGATCGCCAAATTGGTGGAAGTACAAATTTTTCAAACCTCACTGTATAAAACTGTCTGCATGTCTTGGTATCTACGTAAAAAAGAAATTGGGTGAACTGACCCTTTAATAGTGTCCTCTCAGTCATAGGAACACTATTCCCAGAGGTCACTTTTCTCCGTTCTAACCGAACTTCTTCAACCTACAACCAGCTCACGTCTGAGGCTTCTTCAGCCCCTCGTCCCGTCCGCTCTCACGCTCTCTGGGCTCCGGTGGACCGAGCCTTCCTCGCCTGCTGCAGCCGCTGACTCTCCCTGCGGCGGTTGATGGCCTTGGTGCTGGCGCGGAGCTTGCGGAGCCTCAGAGCTCGAAGACGCAGCTGAAGGTCCTGGGGAATCTTCCCTCCCTTGGCCCGGATCTCCTTCAGCCTCTGAAGGGGCGTTTTGGTCATGGTGAAGTCACAGATGGTGGGATGTGGCTCCATTCCAACGTTGCACCGACGCATGGACGGGAAGTAACCCTCGGCCCAAACCACCACCTTGTACTCGCCCGGGTTCAGTAGACGCCAGTAGTCCCCGTCGGCAGCTAAGGAAATAAAAAAGGGTTGAATTTATGCTCTTGATTGTTATGTTCCTAAAAATTTAATTTCTAAGAAGCTTTAGTGGTTAATGTACTAATCAAAACAAATATTATCTTCTATTTCTGCCAACAGATCCTTTTAAATTCTACACACTTGACCTTTAAAATGAAGATTATTATTACACTTTAACTTACACTAAAAAAATGCTTTCAAATTGCTTTTAGCTATTAACTTTTAATCTTACCTACAGTATTAATTGTCATTTACTATTGATTTTATTTATATATAAAGGACCAGTGTGTAACATTCAGGAGGCTCTATGTTCATGGTATGTTTTCATTAGTGTATAATCACCTGAAAATAAGAATCGTTATGTGTTTTGTGCTTTTTTTGGCGTGTTTCACAGCCACCGTAGTTTCTCCTTCAAGCATGGAAAGGGAGGGTGAAGCGATGAAGTTGTGATCTGCAACTTCACCGCTATATGCCACTAAAACCTACACACTGGAACTTTAAATCTCTCTTTTATTGCTAAAATAAATAAATAAAATAAATACATTTTTGTCCTTTTCTCATCCTTTTAATAATCTTAGGACCCTTCAGATTTACCACCCGACCCCGTTACTTGTACAATCAGCTTCCGCACTGGTCATTAGAAAGGAGAATAATCAGATAAAAGAAATCAACCTGATCGGATGTCATGGTCGTGGTCCTCCACCTTGATTACAGCGTCGGCTATTCCTTGTTTGGTCAGCTTGTCTCTGATCACACCCTTGATGCCTCTGTGAATCTGAGTGAAGAGGAAATGATGCACCGTAAGGGTCCCAAAGAGGACATTAAGGCACAAATGAAAAAAACTTTATCAAAAAATGGATCAAAGCAGCTTTGAGATCCAGCTCATGTGACTTTCTTAGTGCAGCTGGACCGACCTGCTCCATGTAAACCAGCAGAGACTCCTTGTTGTTCTCCCACTCGATGGGAAGCTCACTGGCATGAGGGAACTTATCACAGGACAACTCCACCGTCACCTCGAAGCAGTTGGTGTGCAAGTAACTGAAGTCATTCATACCTGAAGGAAGATACAAGTTTACAATCTGGATCAGAGAAAAAGTAGTTTCAGGAAACTAACATTTAAATTTATCAGTTTTATTTATGCTTCTGGATGTGGAGGGTGGCGGCTACCATTGATTTAGATTAATTATAAAAATGGAGGAAAATGTAAATTAACACATATAATTTAATGATGTGTTATTGCCACATTTTAGGCTAAGTCTGTAGTTTTAAAACTGGGGGTTTGAGAGCAATGGGGGTCCCCAACTTTAGATACTTCTATGCTTCACTAATGTGTCACAATAATGTTTTGAGTTAAAATATCTTAATTTTGGGGCTTTTCCAAGCAAATATTAATATATGTTATTGACAATTATATCACCATAAAAGGTCCAGTGTGTAAAATTTAGGAGGCTCTATTGTCAGAACTTGAATATAATATTAATAGGTATGTTTTCATTACTGTATAATCACTTGAATATAAGAATTATAATGTTTTTGTTACCTTAGAATGAGACATTTTATCTACAAATGGTCACTTTTCATGTTTCTACACCCAGAATGGTCACACACTGGACCTTTAAAGTCCCCATTCCACCCTCTTGCCTCTAAACCATAAATATTTCTCTAGATCCGCCTCTGGTTGAGCTCACAGGAGAAAAAGCATAAACATCCAGTTGCAGGGAAGGATGTAGAAGATCAAATCTGAATAAAATACATAATGTAACAGAATATGACAGAATGTAAACAACTAAAACTGAACTTTTGTTAGACAAAATAGGGGGAAACATTTGTAGTATTAGTAAGTTTAAGGTGTAAAACAATTAGATTTGATTCTTATACTCATAAAAGGTTGTAAATGTTAATTTAAGGTTACAAAAAGGTAAAAACTGGAACCTTAAGTTAAAGATTTAAGGGACTCTAGTTTAAATAAAGAGGTGCATGCTTTGAAAGGATGTTTGTCTGCCGGTAGTACATTTTTTTCAAGTTTTATCATTTGTGAAAACAGAAAACATCCTCTCCAAAAGCACAAAGTAGCATTTCTGAACTAAATCTTTCTCAGATGGCTTCCATCTTTCAGAAAGCTCTCTGCGGTGACTCACTGCCGGGGACGGTGTGCCAGGCGCCGCCGTTGATGATGTTGTTGTGTGACTGGAAGTCCTCAGAGTGGCAGATGCGGCGGTCAGGGTTGGCCATCACCAGGTTCGTCGAGGCGTACACGGTGGCCAGCCAGCGGAAGAAAGCGTTGTCCGCAGTGGGGGTGTCCTCCACAGGGGCCCAGTCACGGGTGCAGTCGAAGGGGTACGTGACCACCAGTTCTCCCCCGTGGAGGTTCGCACTGAGCACGAAGGGGATGTCCTGCATCCAGCTGATGACGGCGCGAGTCTCTGGTGCAACCTGAGAGGGATGGACAATCTGGATCAGCTGGCTTTGTTATTGTATTACACTTTTTTAGACCCTGATTTATGGGAAAGATTCTCATAATTAAACACAGAACTTGAGCTTCAGTCTTCTTCAAGTTTAGTTTAACAGTTTATTTGTACAGATACATTTAAAGGATTAATAATAGATGCTTGTGAGATAAAGAACAAACAAAAATAAATGGGCTTATTAAGACGTCAACACCATTTAAACTTTAATTTAATTGATTAAAAGTTATTTAAAGTTAAGTTATAATTCAAATAATATATGTTTTATAGTGTTTGAGCTGTAACTTTAGTGCTATGAGGACTTTGTGGTTGGTTTTGGCTTCCCAGACTTAATTTGTTAATCGGACAGCAGTGGAAATTCTTTACTTGTATTTTTTTCCTGTTGATTACATTTTAATTTCTTTAAGTGAAGCTCTTTTCTTTGTCTGCTCAGTCATTGTAATGGTATTTACATCTTCAAGACCAACGAGTAAAAAACAACACTGTGACATATGAATCAGCAAATATCTAAAACAACTAAAAATAATACTTTTATTTTATCTTTTTACTGTGTGTGTGTGTGTGTGTGTGTGTGTGTGTGTGTGTGTGTGTGTGTGTGTGTGTGTGTGTAGAGTTAAACAAATGAAACTGTTACCAATGACAATGTTCAGGCTTCCAGGAAAACCACAATCCTCTTGGCTCTGAAATTACTTCCTGATCGGACGTTTGCACGACGCTACAGTGGAAACATTATTTTCCTCTTCTCAAACTGACACACACACACACACACACACACACACACACACACACACACACACACACACACACACACACACACTGACTACCCTCAAAAGCTGCTTTTCAGTGTGACCTACATTTATGCACTAATGAATCAGAGACCTACTGTAAGAACTATTACACGTCACCCATGTTTAAGTAGCAGAGTTTGGTCCTTTTGGTAAAAGCAGTCTATTTAATTATTAAAACCTCTGTAATAAATACAGAATATTAATTAATTGATAATATTTGCAACATCAGAGTATCTTCAAAGTCCCTTTTATTGGTTTTATACAGGAAATGTGATTCTTTATTCGTTGCATTGGTCTGGCACAGTGTCATTGTTAATATTTCCACCAGGTGGCGCCAAAGTAAGATGTTGTTCAAAAGTATAATGTTATGATATTTAATACCAGTGTCGGGCAGTAAGGCAATATTAGTAATAATATTACAGTAATAATAACACTGTACCCAGTAACTAGTAGTGTAACTAATTACTAATAAAGTAAATACAGTAAATAATTAGTTACAACCTTGATTTTGTTGTCACCCTCCACTGATCTGAAGTCCAAATATTCACTCATTCAAAAAACTAGAGTTTTGTGGAGAAGGGACACAATCAAAGTTTTGTAGTGAGTTGCAGAAAAGTAATATAACTAGTAGTGTAATTAATTACTGTTGGCAGGGAGTAATAAATAAAGTAATATTACTTTTGAAAAGAATAACGGGTAATAAATGACATTTTTGAGTAACTAGCCCAACATTGCTTAATACTACTACTATTACTCCACTACATCTCACAGGCAAACATTGTACTCCCGCTTTAGTTACTAGTTACTTTTTAGTTTATTGCAAATTTGTCACATTTACACATCTAAAGTAGTAAAATTTAATACCTAGCAGTAATATTAATCCAAAAACCTCATATATAAATATATAATAGTAAAACACTGACAGGGACCATTTTACTGCACAGTGAGTACTTTTACTTTGGATACTTTAAGTACATTTTTGATTGATTGATGATACTTAAATACTTTTTTTGGAACATGTTTGTCAGATTTTTTAACATTTGTCTGATAAATATAGATCTTAATACTTGTTTACAAGAGAGCTCCTCACCATGGCGTCCTCTTTAGTGTAGTACTCTGGGATGGGGATGTAGTGGTTGGACACTTTAGATTTGTCTGCTGCCGTCTCTTGGGCGTCCCACATGATGTTGTTCAGGTCTGGAAAGTTGTGATTCAGGTCGATTCCCTCAAAGCTGTATCGTCCGTCAGCCCAGCCGGCGAGTTCTGAGCCCTGCAGCAGTGGATGGATTAATGTGAATGCATCGTATCAGGGTTTTAGTTTATTCATTCATTCATTCACCTGTTTGTCATTACCTCATTAGCTCTTTAGTTTATATACTTGTTCTTATCCACTAGTTCTCAGTCAGATTGCCTTCGTGTTATGTGCTGTAGCTTTCCAGTGTCTCGTATTTATCTGCTAGTTTGCCTCAGCCTGGCCTGGCATCATTCTTTTAATTAACCATGTGGGCACTACACTTTGTGTTTTTTAAAATGTGGCCTGTGTTGTAGCAGATCTTCTGTTCTGGAAACTTAAACTTAGACCTTTAATTTGATTACAGCCATCCCTCCAGGCTGTAGGTTTGTGAAAGAATGAACTGATATTCCTTTGGTTTACTGAATTAGAACGAACTCCAGCATATTTGTCAAAATCAAACCAGTTGAGCCTGAGATATTGCATGTGAGTTTACATTTCTAACCGTTATTTAGAGTAGGAATTAGGGCTGTTCCAAAATTTTACATTCAACCAAACTCAGGCTGCAGTCCAACGCTGACAATTAAGAAATAAACTCAAATATAAAAGACGTGGCTTAAGACAAACGTGCAATCATGAGCAATCTTACCACCTTAACTCTGGCTTTTACATAATCTAATTGTTTTTATATATGTCTGTCACTTGACGTATCTCTGTATCATATTGTATTGTTGTACTTGTTGAAGCTTTGCACTGGTGACTAGCTTATTAGCGAAGTCCAGCACATTTACGTTGAAGTTTAAACTGCAATGTTAACTAATGTGCTTTGTCCCTGGTAAATAAATAAAAACAATTATTTAAAAAATACAGAAATGTCTCCTCTGTGAATTTAAAGTCAAACAAATACACAAATATATAATTTATTCTCTGTATTACTCTGTAAACTAGACCATAAGGAGTGAGTGCATACGTGCCAGATACAGTCTGAGGGTGTGAAGATAAAAATCTCTACATAACAAGTTGTATAACATGTATGTAGAACATGTCCTATGTATGTGTCAGCAGAACACGTCCCAAACTTGGCATTCAGCCATTGGATAAGAATGATGTCACCATGCGCTAACAGCCAATTAGATTGTGAGTTTTTGTCTTGGGAACAGTATAAAATGTGAAATGTAATGTCAATTCTTTGACACACAACTCAGGACTCTGTACCAGGTGTGTGTCCTTATTGTGCAATATCTATATTTATTATCTATACTTCAATCATCAGTGTTGTATTCTCTAATGTGTCCTGAGTGATTGCAGTCATTTTCCCCGACCACATCTCAACAAACCTAATGTGGGATAAAGAGTGTTTGTGTGGGACAATGTGGGACTCGTTACCATCGCTGAGAGCTAGTTTAAACTTTTGATATATTGTGTATTTAACTTAACTAAGAAAACATTTTCAGTAGCACATAACAGACTATTCATGTTGCATGTAAAGGACTGAAATGTATTTTATTTGAATGCAACTTTCCCAAATCCCACACTAAGTAAATACAGTAAAAGGAAATTAAAGTTTCACAGTTCTTATGGTCCATAGTCGCCTTCCACCAGTTTCACCCAGTTACAGGTAGTTTCCAGTGTTTGTTGTAGCTGTATTTGCTTTTCTTTGTGGTAGTTTTTATCATATTCAACCTTAATCTGCATATCTTCGTCTTTGTGGTGACTTGTGATTTTCCCAGCGGGTGTAGTGTATCAAAGATAATGACAGGTTAACCTGACCTTTACCCACGTGTGTGCAGTTTGATTAACATCAAACACAGCCCCATGATGACGGCCTTCCCTGATTTCTTCACTGATATTAGACCAGATTTTAGAAAAGCCTCTTTCATGCAGTGATTTGACCTTTGAGAACTAGAGCCAATTAAAGTCTGAGACATTGGCCCTCATGAAACAACAATTTCTCTTATATTTTCTTTTATTTTATGTCAAGAGAAGTCAACCAAACGTTCTTATCCACCTAAATCTGCTCTTATCCTGGTGAGCTGATACATATGATAAGAACCTCAACACATGCAATATCATCCAAGGGTTTTTATAGTTTTATAGGGATCAGTCCACAATAATCCAATAACTATAGTTACTGTAAAACATATAATCAAATCTGATTATATTATATTCAAGGCTTTGTTATGTTCCTCAAATGTAAAACCTATGTTTCTTTGCGTTAGACAAACAATTTATGGACTGTGAAAGAGTCACGCATCCCTGACACCTTCTTTAACAAATCGAGGGCAAACTACAAGAAACATGTTTACGGTTTTTACACAAAGTCACATGAACTTCACCCACCTTCACATAAGCGTCTTCATATCCATCAGGGTTCATGGAGGGCAGGAGGTGGATTCGCGTCTCAGTCACCAGCCGAACGACGCGTTGGTTGCCCTTCTTGTATTCTCTGCACAAGTACTGCATTAGGTTGAGGACGAGCTCTCGACCCAAAACCTCGTTCCCGTGCATCCCCGCCACGTAGCGAAACTCGGGCTCACCTGCCGAGAGGGAAAAATGTTTGACAGAAAATAAATGTGGAGGGATTCGACAGGGTCGAGATCAACCTATAGAAACAGGTCACGTTAAACAAAAAGCTCCATAAATGTTCGATTGTTTATGTGCAGTAGGTCAAAGTTAAAGCCCAGAGCCACATCAGGAACATATTCACTCAAAACTTTCAACCCATTTGTATTGTGTTAGGCAACAGTGTGGAGCTGGCTCACAGCACTTTGCCAATAATCATACATGGATTGGCCAGACTCGATGGCAGACATTCCTTAGAATAAAAACTCTTAAGACCCAAAAGCACTTTTTGTAACAAAGAAATTGTGCAATGCCTGCCTCTCTTCTGCTTGGATCTGGAGCCAGTGTTCACTTAACCATGAATACAATGAAATTAAAATCAGCTGTTAATACTGTATATAACCTAAATTCCCTTTATTCCCCTTTGGGAGTGAAGCAATTTAAATATGTTTCTGCCATTTGTCTGAGAAGAAGAAGGGAGGAAAAGTTGCACTCTGCTTCATATTTCACTTCACTTATTTGAACTTTTTGGCAGACAAACCCTGAATCTGAAGACAAGAAATCACAAAGAATATCTGTCCTGTTTGGTGGAGAGAGCGCAGTCTCCAATTTCAAACCCTTATCTGTTTGTTTACACAAGAGCGGCCTTCAATACAAGACACCCAAGCCTCCCTGTGTGGCGCTGCTGCAGAGAAAACTCTGTATAAACACTGGAGGATGTTTAACTGGGCCCCTGAGCAGCTAAACTCAGAGTAACCCGAGAAACAGGATGACCTCTGGTCCAGAAACTGAAACAGTTTTTAAAGGTTTCAACTCATAGAAGAGCTGAAATGGTTCTTACCTAGTTCATGTTTGCTGGGGTTATCCGAGATCACCATGACGTACAGTTTGAAGCCCATGTAGCTCTTCCCGATGGTGTAGACGTGGGTGATGTCTGGGCACTCCTCCGTCACAGACTTCATGAGCTTCGGGGGTTAAAAAGAAGAAGTTGGACTAAAAGTCTTCAAAGGGTTAAATCTGAGAAACTCTGGAACTGTTGAGTAAAAACTCTGGCATTAGACTTTAGGGGGGAACCAAAGTTACTCATCATGCATCACTCTCTAACCTTTCTCATCTCTTTGTAGTTGTGGTGTCTGAAGTCCAGATCATCTTTTGATCCTAGTTCTCGCTCCGAGGCGTAGATGTCAGTCGGATCTACAGGGAAACAGCAAATTAACTTCCTTTTGTAAGACGATGTAGCCTTTAAAATCTTAATGTATTTTGACCTATTAGTCACTGTGAATCTTGCTCTGAGAGTAAACAGTCCAATGAATCATTATTACTATCAGTTTCTGTGTACAGCAGCATTTTCTGCCTACCATCAACACGACAGCCCATTATCTCAGCCCTGAGGCAGATGGTCCCATTGAAGTACCAGGTCTGAGGGTTGATGCGGATGAAGCGGGCGACGGTGGGAACAGGGAGGCGTCCGAGCACCGGAGTCTCTGGATTCTGGTTTCCTTCAAATATCTGTGCAATTCAGTGACACCACAGAAGAGCACAGAAAAAAATATTCTCCAATTAAGGTTTAAACTGTTATTATGCAAACCACAAATTCCAGTTTCTTGCTATCCTCTGTTTGTTTTCATGGTCAGTTCTCTCTTATTCTGTAACTTTTATTTTGTTTAAAGCACATTTTACTTTGGCACAAACTCCCTCAAAATCTGTTTTCCATCTGCGTGAGGTCCACCGGTCACAGTTAGGTACATTCCTCATATCAGAGAACACAGAAAGTGATCCTTACTGCTTCTTCTGTCCCGTTCATGCAGGTTTCCCAGTTCACAGAGTCGTTACTCAGCTGGACTTTGTAGGTGTGAACCCAGTCCCAACTGTAATGAAGACAAGAACTTCAAAGCTGTGTAACAATCTGTCTTTGTTGCTGTACATTTGTCTCAATGTTTCTTTCATTTTGGAACAAAAACTCTTTAGATTTGAATCCTGATTCTACCTGACCTCCAGATGGAGTTTCGGCCCTGCAGGATGACTCCAGTGAACAGGGTGTGGTAGATGGCGTCCACCTGAAGCCACTGGTGCTGGTCCTTATACTCAGCACACCAGGCTCCATCGTACAGGTCACCGTCCTCAATGCCAGACTAAAAAACACATGTTGCACAGAAGTTTTTTGTCAACTGCAGAATCCATTAAACCGACCCAAAAACATTCTTGGCTCTAAGTCAACGTGAAGCATTGCACAAGATTTTGGTGTCGATCGGATTGTAAAATAATTGCTTTCAGGCCGCAGACTGCAGAATGTGAGCAGGAGATTGACTGAGATGCTGAATAGCACTGATGGCTCTTCAATTCACTCATTATTTTATTTCATTTCCAAGAGACTAAAACTCAACAGGAATGCTTTCTACTGCAAATCCCGTCAGTGAAGTTTTATTATAGTGGTAATTTTATTGGCCAGTAAAGGCAGAGGGAAAAAAGTGGAAAGTATGGGCAATGTATTTTATTTTATGGTCTATTAGTTTAAGAAACATGCAGCAGAAATTATGGACAGAAATAAAACACGATAATATGAAGTGACTCAACTGACTCTTCCTAAGCCCCGCCCTTTTTTGCTCTGTGTTAGCAAAGAGTTTAAGAGAAAATGCCAAAAACATAATGATTCCAACCTCTCAAATGTGAAGATTTACTTCTTGTCTTTGTCTTACATTAAAGTTAAATATATATTTTGGGGTTTTGAACTGTTCTTGGATCAAATCAAATGATACCTCTAATAATCTGCCTCCATTCTCCCTTCATGACTTCCTGTCTTTTGCTGTTCTGTCTCTTTGAATTTCCATAAGGGGCAGTCCACCGTTCTCTGTGTTTGAAGTTTGATCTAGACCCACCTGGATATTTAGCCTCCCCCTGTGAGGACCCAGACCCGATCGCTGGTAGGAAGAGGCTTGAATCTGGCTGTCATCGACCCGCAGGGACTCCAGGCCGAGGGGAGGACAATCTGGAAGGGAAAGGAAAAGCAACCAGGAGATAAAAATCTTCTTTGTTGTCTGTGCTTGTCTGGAGATGGCCGGGACTGACTGGTGAGGGGTTAAAAAAAAACGCTTGTTCTGGTTTCTCTGAGTAAGCAAACACATGGCTGATGTAACAAGAGGCCCCAGCAGTTGTTATGTGGAATATCCCTAATTATCCCGGGTCAGTTCAGTGGAAGTTTGGAGGCCCGCTCCAAAGGAAACTGCAGATAAGTGAATCCATGAAGGGTTTGAATGTAATTCGAGACTAAGTTGAGGGCCAAGAGGGGAGTCAAACATCCAGCAGAGCAGGGAGGCGAGAGCTACAACTGCAGGGTATTTTATGCCTTTGGGAACAAGCAGTCCTATTAATCCCAAATACTAGTACAAAATCTTCTTCAAAATGTTAGAAAAAGGAGCAAAAATAATGATGTGTGGTGTAAAGGGAGGTTCACATTAGCAGTTCAACAACAGAGGATGAATCTCTTTAATATGTGTGGAGCTGTTTTTAGTCGATCAATCAAATAGTCATTCTTGCAGATGGGAATATTTGCTGGTCTGCAGAATATCTTTGGGTTTTGGACAAAACAAGCAATTTGTAGACATATAGGACATTTTAAGGCAACATTTTCCACATTTATCTATTATATGTCTGTTTTTCTACAAATAATCATCAGTTGCAACAATAAATATGTTATCCATTAATTTTATTCAAGCCTGTTCCATTTTAAATCAAACATAAACCACATATTGTGGGGGGAATTCATTGAGGGATCTCTAACAAATGTGGCAAACTGTTACAAAATTAAAATTTAAGCTGATTTAAATACTTTTTATTGGGTTAATCTTCTCTACAGCTGAAATAAATAGTCGATTAATCAGTTAATTGATCATCAGAGAATAAATCTGCAGAGGTTTTGATGATACTAATTCTTGCATAAATGCAAAACAACTAGTTCACTGGTTCACTTTGTCGTCTACGATAGTAAATTAAATATGTTTTCGATTTAACTAAGAAAATAATATTGATAACGAGAGTGTTTGTGCAGAAGTTCTGGACTACCCTGCAGCACTGGAGTAACAGAATTATATAAACCAATATTCACATTCTCAATGAACCCTCCACATTTATAAAAACTATGATATGTTACTTGTTATTTGTGTTTGACAGGTTTATAAATTCTGAGCTGATAAGTCAGGCAGTGGTGGAAAGTAACTAGTTACTCAAGTACTGTACTTACAAAGTACATTTTCGACAACTTTTACTTTACTTGAGTATTTAAATGTTATGTTACTTTATACTTCTACTCCAATACATTTATTTGATCAAATTAGTTATTAGTTACTTCACAGCTTCAAATAATAATGCAAAATATAATTAATAAATAAAATATGAGTATTTCTACACTGTGTTATTGCTACTTATTTAACTCAGGAGCTATGTGGGTCCCTGAAGGCATCATTAATTAATAGCACTTAACTGCGTCCTTAATTAACATTAATAACTGGGTCCAACTCAAGTCTCTCTGGGTTCTCACAGTTCTCGTAAAAAGTAAAACTGCTCTACTTTGCTGCCGTTCAGCTGTTAGTTATTTATTTTATTGTCCTACCCAGTTCTGTTTTCTCATCTTCTTCAGTTTCTTCCTCTTTCTTGTTGTTTTCTTCCTCGCTCTCTTGGCTGGTGTTTTTGGTGTCCAGATGTTTGTCTCTGACAGAGGTGGTGCTGGATAATGTAGTCTGTGCAGTCGTTGGAGTCGGTCTGCTGCGCTCCTGCAGCTCCACGGTGACAGACCCAGCTGTGGTCGAGTTGTTCAATAATGAGGAATCAGTCGATGGATCGTTTATCAATGCGTCTGAAAATCCTCCCAGAAAAATCACCGCTGCCAACATGCACAATGACTTTTCCATCTTCTTCTCTGTTTGCAGCTGCAGAGTGAAGGGGAGCAAAAAAAAAAAAACTACCCCGGCTAGTTTATGTGGATTTGACAGAGCCAGACCTCTATCCACTTCCCTCCTCCTCCTCTTCCTCAATCCCACCTCCCCTCCCTCACAAAATTCCAGCCTAAAGTCCCGCGAAAGAAAATGTGATTCAAAGGAGACCTGTGGTAATGTTTGCACCAGTGACCCACATTATCAACTGCCACATTAAAAAAACAAAACCTCTTTTTACTTTTGCGAAGGAACAAATGTTGTGATGTATAAAGTGTTATGCTCCACTTTTATTCTTTTTCTTCTCTCATGAAAGGAGAGGATGTGGTTGGAAGTAACTAGTTACTCAAGTAGGTGCTCAAATTCCACATTTTGAGTTAAACTTAAATTAGTATCTTAGTTTTCTGCTACTTTACATTTAAGTTTGTTCCCAAGCTGCAGCTCTCTCCACGATTGGACATAATCTTTTATTTTTCATTGTCCAGATATATTTTATTGAAGTTCTGGCAACAATTACATAAACTTCCATTTCCAGAACATACTTTTTTTGTAGTTTTTGAGCTGCATAAAACACAAAAACGAGGGGGGGACACAAGTTAACAAACACGGTACAAAAGAGGGGTCTCTCTATAGAGCATAAATCCTGACTCAACCCTGGAAGAATTCTGTGCCTGAACCACAGAGGCAGTTTTACGCTAAGCCAAAAACGAATTTCCACTTAAAATAAATAAATAAACATATAATAAAAAGGTTTTTTTTACTAGCTAAACTACATTGTGCAAATAATACAGTGAAACATTTTATCAAAACTAATAAATAAATGCACCAAATTCATTCATTTGCAGTTGCATACATTATTAATCACTAGTCCATGACTGGTTGCAACATCTACTAAATCCCTTGACATTGTAATGAACGATTGTTTTTCCGCTTTCCTTCTCAGTACCTCCTTCTACCAACCGTCCAGAGTCTTCCAACCAGTTTGATTTATGTAATTTTCATGATTCACATTGTCCTCTTCTGCACTGACTCTCAGGGACTTTTTGTACTTTTGTAACTTGTGTAGCAACATTTATTGAGTGCTCAAGTGTTTCTGAATCATATCAAGACCTGAGACGATGATAACCATCCAGATAGCAATAAAAAAGACAGTCAGAATATCCTCAGTGATTGTTGATGCATTTGTATAAAGAGCTTCCTGTCCTCTATCTTCACTGTGTGTCTGAAGTGTTGTGCGTCAAGCTGAGATTTATTACAGCACAGACTAAAGTTAATGTGACAAACACTTCGTCTCCTGTTTGTCGGCAAACCGTCACATCTGTGTTGTATTTACACTCAGCTTTTTTACTCACTTGGCTGTCAACATCTGGTAAAACTGATGATGCTGCGATGCAAGATGACATTAAGGAAAACAAGGAGTCACTCTCTGAGCTGTATGTGACTTATTACCAGATGTTCTGTGTGCACATGTATACATAAACAGTCTATAGAGTGAGGCTGCCTTTCTGTTTGTGTTTCCAGGTTTGGTCCATGCTTTATGCTGTCAGTCTCTCTGAGAGCTTTTTAATGATCTTCTCTTTGGCAATGAGTCTCCTGTACAACTCTAAATTCAACCACTGCCACAAGTGTAATGGCAGTAATTATACCTCTAAAAAGAAAAGAGACATAGAAAGCCATTTTAATTTCAGTTCAGTTTAGATACAGTGTGACAGGATGACATGAAACAGACTGTAAACATCTCATAATGTTGCCCAAATATGCTCTTATTTAGTTTGTTGATGTCAGAGGTTGTAGCTCTTGTACATGTATTTATTAAATAAATTATCTTAAATCATGTATGTATGTGTTTTAGGAGGAAAATATGTTTTTTATTGCTTATTTTTAAGAGCATTAAACCTTTAGTCAGACCTCTATATAAGCAACTAAAGCAGGTGTGGTAAGAACTTCCTAACCTAACTTAACCTATGTGAGATGAGCTATGGCTTCCTTTCTGAGATGATTTTTATCTACATATAAATAGGACAGTCAAGCAACCTCTCACCCACACAGTCAGGAAATGTACTTTTCTTCGTATTAGTCACCTATTGGATTGCAGTTGCAATTATAACAGTTGCATCTGCCATTTGTGGCTAAAATGTCACAGCTGTAAAGAGCCAGTCATAAGAGAAACGATGTGCTTGTTCTGGGAATTTAACTTAATAATTTACTTTTTTTGTATAGACAGGATGAAATCATGTTTGTGAGAGCTTGTGTGGAGACGGCAGTTGTGCAGAGCTATGGGGACAAATCCAGAGAACAGATGCATGATGGTAGGAAAGACGAATGCACACACATACGACAACATCCAGATATTCCACATGTCAGAAACAGTGTTAATCTGAGGGATCATACAAGATGATGGGCGCGTGGATTTGGATTGGGTTGGGGTTTTTCTGTGAAACATCTTTTATCACAACATGGCGTCTCGTGCTTTAGGGGTTTCAACTACATCTTCCTGCCGAGTGACCAGACAATTTAAGGATATTTAAGATCGAGATTGTGCTTCATTATTCCCTTTTCTTTGTCCATTTGAACTCTAATCACAAATGTTATGAGAAAAGAATATATAGACATGTTTTTTCAATGTGTTTCAATGTGTGAAATTATGAAACTGGTCCAGAATATAATATTGATAGTTGTGGCTTCAGTTTTCAGCATTTTGTGACCTGAATCTGTTTTTACTGTAGCTGCATTAGACCAGTAGTTCCCAAAGTTCTTTGCTTGTGATGCATTAAAACAAGTCAGAGTCTTCCTGTAACTCCTTCATACATTATGGCCTTAGTGATCTATATCCAGCTCATGCTGACCCTAAGAGTATGTTTTTCTTCTCATATTGTTTCATTTGAAAGATTTTTAGTGGCCAAAAGAGGTGAAAGTGACCAGTATTTCTAACAAAAAAAGCAAAATGTAGAAAAAAGTCTGACGAAAATTTAATTTGGTGTACTAGAAATATATATTTTCCTTTCTTATGCCTTCAATAATCTTGTTACCCCTCAGATTTATCTTGAGACCCCAAACCACTGCAGAATAATATAATAAGAAAAACACCTATTTCATTCCTATTTTTAAATCAATTATATACAAAAATTGCACCACGTTGTTAAAAAGTGGAGCATACATTACCACCACCACCACCACCAGCAGCAGTAGTAGTAGTAGTAGTACCATAAAACACGACTCTTATTCTGAAATCAAGAACACCCGAACCCGATTGGTGCGTTTCGTCGTGACGTGTGCACAGGAAATGGCCACGCAAGCGAGCGGAATCACAACATTGCATTTTTGAAGTCTCTTTACTCGTCCTCGCATCGTTAAACTGGAGCCTTTTAAACGACGCTTTCTCCACCGCGGCTGCTTTAACTGTCTCCGAGGAGCGTGTAGTTGCATTCAATCGAAATAACTGTGTGCTATGAAAACATGTCGCTGGTCGCTGTGAGAGCTAACCACCAGCAGCATGTAGCTACCAAATGGCTGTTCGGCTGTGATGTGTGTCACCGTTCAAAGTGAGTGTCCCCCCCCCTCTTTTTTAAACTTTAAAAGAGCTTGTGCCACTGTGATATTTTAATGCACAATGTAGCGTCTGGGTTTTCTAAGTAGTGGATGAAATGTGGCGCTAAAGCAGGAATTACCAGCAGAGTAACGGCCTGGTGTGGCTTCAGGCAAGTGGGAGCTTCCTGTTTACCTGTTTACCTGATTTTAAAGGTGTGTTGTTGTTTTTTTTTTTTTTTTGTTGTTGTTTGCAGATGACAAGAAGACGAGCGAAACAGTGAGGCGGTTAGGTAACAGCATGTGACACACAAGCTCTCTGCACATCATCAACAACAACAACAACAACAACAACAAAGTTTGGTTATTTAAAAAAATAAAAATAAATAAATAAATAAAAGATGCCTCGTCTGGAGGAGTTGGCCAACGTTGCCCTCAGGGTGCCGAGCATACTGGTGCTGGACCTGCTGTACAAATGTGACATTGAAGGTCTCACGGATCACCTCAAGGCCAAAAATGAAGACATGCTCTTCAAATATAAGTATGTCATCTGGAACATGTACTACCTTGGTGAGTAGTGAGTGCAGGGGGAGGTTTTAAAGAACTGGGTTTTAAAACACTTTCACTTCTGTTTTCTTTGTAATCAGCTGTTTCTTGTTTATATTGGACTGAATGTGTAAAGTAGACAGTATTATCTTGTGTGTGTGTGTGTGTGTGTGTGTGTTGGAAGCCTGGAAATGAGATTTTATTCCTGTTGCACATTTGTTTTCATTCAGTAATTTAAAATATTATTGTGAATTAATTTGTCTTGTATCAGAATTAGGCTTATTGCCAAGTAGGTTTTCTTATACGAGGAACTGATCGTGGTTTATTCAATGCAAAACAATAAAAAATAGTATGAGAAATAATTCAAATATTGAAGTATTGCAAGTCAAGAGGCGTAAATAAATGATAAACTATTATAGAAACAATGATTTAAATGTAAGAGCTGTACAGATTTGTGCAATATATTATAATATTATCTGTAGAGATTACGTTGCTGTGTTAGGTCTCCCTCCTTTAAAAAGCTGCCAGCCTCATGATGGTCTAAATGCTGTTATACAAATACAAACAAAGTATTTATATTTGCTAATTAAACCGGTTGAATCAAGTTCAGTTCTGATAATTATGACTGAGTTTTGGTCTTCTACCACTACATTTGGTTTTCTATTAATGACCAAAGATTTGGGTTAAATAAAAATAAAATGTTGTTGTTTTTTTTTACATAATTTATGTCATGATCCAAAGTTATAAAGTAGAACTAAAAATATTAAATTAAATGTGAGGATTTGCTCTTTTATTTTGCCTCTTTAACTGTAAACTGAATCTCTTTGGGTTTTTGGACTGTGAGACAAAAAGATTTGAAGACATCACCTTGTGCTGTGGGAAATTAATCGATAACGAAAATTAGTTGAAGCCCGAGCCATGACCTCAAAACACAGTTGAACACATTGTAGTTGTGTAAGGTTTAGTCTGATAAGTAAAGTCAACATTGCTAAAATTATTATAGACTTAAAAAATGCAGAATACAGCAGATGTGATCACAGTGTGTCGTTCTAGTGTCTAATAGTAGTAGTAATAGTCTTTTATACTTTTTGACTTGAGTATCTACCATCTTCACTCTCACTTCATCAGACACAGAAAACATAATAAACTTTCCCATTTTTCTTTCTTTCCAGGTCATCTGATAAATGTGGTAGTGTTGGTTCTGCCATTGAGACACATTGTGACGCTCTACCTCCATATCCTCGCTGCCCTTCTTCTATACATGGGGCATCAGATTTCCAAGTGAGAAGCACTACTATTACTATTACTATTACTATTACTACTATTACTATTACTATTGCTATTACTATTACTACTACTACTGCCACAACTACTGCTTCTACCACAACTACTGCCCTTCTATCACTAGTACTATTACTGCTATTACTATTACGACTACTACTATTACTATTACTACTGCTATTACCACAACTACTGCTACTACTATTACCACAACTACTGCCACTACCACAACTACTGCCACTACCACAACTACTGCCACCACAACTGCTGCCACTACTATTACCACAACTACTGCTACCACAACTACTGCCACTACCACAACTACTGCCACTACTATTACCACAACTACTGCCACTACTATTACCACAACTACTGCCACTACCACAACTGCTGCCACTACTATTACCACAACTACTGCTACCACAACAACTGCCACTACCACAACTACTGCCACTACTATTACCACAACTGCTGCCACTACTATTACCACAACTACTATTACCACAACTACTGCTACCACAACTACTGCCACTACCACAACTACTGCCACTACTATTACCACAACTACTGCCACTACTACTACCACAGCTGCTGCTGCTGCCACTACTATTAGTATTACTACAACTACTGCTACTACTATTACCACAACTACTGCCACTACCACAACTGCTGCCACTACTATTACCACAACTACTGCTACCACAACTACTGCCACTACCACAACTACTGCCACTACTATTACCACAACTACTGCCACTACTACTACCACAACTACTGCTGCTGCCACTACTATTAGTATTACTACAACTACTGCTACTACTAGACTTTATAGATTTATTGTACCCAGATCAGTTTTCTGTCCTTACGAAGCCTGGCTGCAATCACAGTGCTCCTCCCTCTGTGTATACAGTATCCTGCAGCCTGATATTTAATTTCAGGAGACGAGTTACTGTATCGTGTTTTGAGGCCACTGTTGTTTACTTTCTTGTAATGTGAGAACAACCAGTGGTTTTCATTCAAGGCTTCAGGCTTGTTAATCTAAATACATGAATTAATAATTCACACAAAAACTAAATGTTTGTGCATCTACTCATTTATTGCTCGATTGATTTCAAATTCTCTGAATATTTCTTTTATTTATTACTACTAATAATACAGTCAAAGTATCTATAAATAAGGACAAGTACTATAAGATAACAACTCTTCTTCTTCATACACTGTACATATAATTATAAAACCTTCTTTTTCTGTTTTTTTTACAGGGATTATGTTCGTGAGGAGCTGCAGTACGGTTATGAAGGAGCAGTTTACCTTGATTCTCTGGCCTTCAATAGATTTGTCTCTGCAATGACTAGTAAGTCCCAAAAACATATAAATACATACATAGCATTTAGATAAACACTCTGCCATCTAGACCCTTTAAATATACAGCTTTTCTCACTTGTTTCACCCTTTCCAAGCTTTACGGTTGGAAACATCATCTCATTCCACAATGTCTGACACTTATAATAAATATTCAAACCCAGGCGCACTCTAACCCTAACCCATGTACCAAGTCTGGGTCCTTGCTGCAGCAGTCCATGGGTTTGAATCTGACCTATTGCTGCATGTCCTCCTCTCTCTCTCTCCCCTCCATCCATTTCTCAAGCTGTCCTGTCTATTAAAGGGGAAAAAAGACCCCAAAAGTACATTCAAAAAGTCATATTTTTATGGCTAGATGTCTTGTGCATAATTTTATACAAATTCTCAAAAGAAATTCACCGTAACATGTTCGGTATCTCATGAAATATTAGCTTCTTTAGGATTTTGAAATTATGATATTTGGGTTTGAACAGTGTTTGGCTGAACAGCAGGTTGACTGACCAACCAGCGGGACAGATAAGTTGGCTTACTGTAAACTTCTATCATGTTTGTAATACCAATAATTTACAAAAAAAACAGTGGAAAAAGTGTCTCAAATGGAGCAGTGATAATACAAAAAAAAAAAAAACGAGGGGAGTCATCCAGTGCAACAAAGTGTGAAGAGCACAAAAAAGATTGTATTTGCAGCGACTCTGGCCTGCAACTTGTTCCACGCTTTGGGCTCTTCCTCAGGCAACATCACTGTTGCCAGATTGGGTTGTTTTTTTTTATGTAATTGCACCGGTAAAATAGTTTTGTGCAGGTTGTGATCATCCGGTCTTGCTTTTGTACCATTTGGGTTGATTCCATCTACGATAAGTTAGGCTGTATTCTAGTAAATTGGCCCTGCCTCTCATCAGAGTGGTGTGATTGAAACTGACAGGGCGCCGACGTCAGCAGACTCAGTTTCACATGAAATGACTGATACCTGATATCCGTTCAAATCAAAAGTCACTTCATTACAACTAAACTGAAACTTTTTTCTGTTTCTACGTCTGTAATAATGCTAACCTTTGTACTTATGGAACTTCTTTTATCTTTTATCTATTATGCATTTTTCATTATTGCGACTGATTTATTTGATTTAATTTCTTTTTGCTTTATTATTAGAATAGTCTTCTGAAATTTGTATTGCGTCCCAAAACGTACACTGTTTCACATAAATAACAAAACACAACCTTTAACCACACAACAGAACAAATAATATAACACATATTACATTAGACCTTCAGAATAAAAGCAGCTTCTAGGCTCTGATTGGGCTATTGATTGGCAACACTGGGCAGCGTCCTACCTGAGAAAGAGCTGGATGCCTCTTCCTCTGTACGTCTGAAATCCTGAAATATTAGACTTAGACTTAATGCTCAAGTTGTTATTAGTTATAAACAATGTAGTCATCGGTCATCATCATAAAGTGTGTTATATTGTGTGCAGGTCAGATTATTCTCAGCACGCTGTGTGCCTTCCTGATGAAGACCAGAAAGGTGTGGTTGTTCTCCGCTCACATCCTCCCCCTGCTGGCCAGACTGTGCGCTGCTCCTCACGCCACTCTGTTAACTGTCAACACTTTCTCAATGGGACTGACTGGAGCTGGAATCACAGTGTTCCTCCTCTCACATCTCTTTCTGCCATATCGCCTCGCAAGGGCTGCCTATTCAGAGCTGCTGCAGCTGGAGGTGCTCTTCATCCTGAAATCTTTTTGTCTTTATAATAACACATTTTCGCAATGTTCAATGTGTTTGTATGTGTTTGTATTTGTATGTTGTAGATGCTTTTATCCTAAATATGTGACAAGAAATTAAGTTTAGGACATTTGTCTTTCTATAAGAGTTTCAGTCGACAACGTTATTAAGATATTTTGACCCTTTCAGTGTCATATTAGTCAGGATTGTGTTTTTACATTTGATCAAGACTTATTTAGAAATATTGCTCTTCATCTTACTACACTTGTTGCAGTTATATTCAGGATAAATAAAACAAAATTCAATTTGAGTGCAGGTATCATAGGTGATGTGGCTAAATAAATCACAGTTACATTTCCTACAGGTTAGTTTTATGTTTTTTGTGTGATTTTATTCTTCCAAAATGTAGTTTTGTTTCACATTTTTACAAGATTTCTGTGGTTTAGCGCATAGGATATTTATTTATTTGTACTGACCTACAATTTCTCTGTCACATGATAAGAATATATGTGTTTACACTTACTCTACCTCTTACTTTTAGTTATTTGTAACTGTCTTTTTTTACACTCTTCATCACGTCACTGGTTTCATGTCCCTCAGGTGATCGAGCTGTACAGACTTCTGGCTGTGGGAATCTCTCTGTGGAACCAGTTTGCTGTCCCAGTGCTCTTCAGTGTCTTCTGGTTTGTTCTGTTCGTTGTCCAGCTGTGCTCAGACACCATGTCTGGCAACGCCTCAGCAGGCCATCAGGGAATCATGTTCTTCCTGCTCACAAGGTGTGATGTTATGCTATGTTTTATTATTCCTTGTGTGTGCTTGTACCATTCATTTGTATTTTGTTTATAATCTGGTTGTTTTAATTTGCTTTGTTTATTGAACCCTACAGTGTCTCTGAATGTTGTGCCACACCGTACTCTCTTCTGGGTCTGACCTTCGTGGTGTCCTATCTGGCTCTTGGTCTGCTCAACCTATGCAAGTTCTACCTGGGAGGTTATACAGCTGTTCAGAATGAGAACGTCATGCACAGGTGAGATGTTGTCTCCGATTATAATATCACTAATTAACTCTTTTTAGGTCCACTTGCCACATTTAAACCTGCAGTAACACATTTTATGGGCTCTGTCCACCTGAATATAAATACAATATAAAGATATTGATGAATTATGTCTGTTTGGCCTCTATATTTGTGTTTTATTGTGTTTGTGTAAAATGTTTGTGATTATAGCATCTTTATATTATCTTTATATAACTGCTATGAGTTACCACTGGGGGGCACCAAAGTCACATAGTGGCAGCAAACATTGCAGGTGATTTCCAAGGACAAAGTACATAAATAAAATATGTGAAAAAATCTATCTTCAATCCAAAACTCAAAGATAATTGAATTTAATATCACATAAGACAAAGAAAAGCAGCAAATGCTCACAGTTGAGAAGCTAGAAATAGTTCAAGGTGGATATTTGTGCTTAAAAAAGACTTTGATTAGACATTTACAATAAGAAGAATTAAACTTTGTTAAACTTTACTTTTTGACTCATGCGAGCAGTTTCGGTTGTAGTTGTTTATCGTTTAATTATTTGTTATCTTCTAAACAATAAACTTCTGCACTGTGTACTGTACACATCTAAAGTCAAAGTGCTCTATTATCAATTCTCTGCCCTCCTTTTCCTCAGAGGTGTGACTGAAGGTGTCACCCTGCTCCTGCTCGCCCTTCAGACGGGTCTGTTAGATATGCAGGCACTGCAGCGCACCTTCCTCCTCAGCATCATCCTCTTCATCGTGGTGACTTCAACCCTGCAGTCAATGATTGAAATAACAGATCCGGTTATTCTGGCCCTCGGTGCATCCAGAAACAGGTAACACCGACAACCATGTGTTCAGTTCCTTTAGGAGAGACGCCTGTTGAAGCTTGCTGAGTTAAAAAGCGTTCTCTGAGGATTTCTTCATTTCTGTTTCTGCTTCTAGGAGTGTTTGGAAACACTTCCGCGGCCTCAGCATGTGTCTGCTTCTCCTGGTTTTCCCAGTTTTTATGGCTTATAAAATCTCCCAGTTCTTCCACATGGACTTCTGGCTCCTTATACTGGTGTCTAGCTGCATGCTGACTTCCCTTCAGGTAGGAAGAGTGACTTTATGTGTCATACAATTGTCTGAAGTTTCTATGGTTATGGTTTATTTCTAATTTGGGATGTCTATCAAAGTGTGCAGTCATAATACTGTCAAAACTTTTACTATTAAGCTGTTCCCTAACGCATCTGTGTGTAGAGTTAAAAAATTCCAGACTCTGGCGCCCCACAGTGGTCGTAAAAAAGGCACTGTGGCAGTCGCAATGAACCCCCCCCAAACAAAACCTTAAGCTCTTAGATAAATATAAAAATTTTTATAATTGCATACAAATCTAGATATTGCTCCTGTAAAGTGAAACAAAAGCAAGAGACCTTCCATTAAACACTGGAAGTCATATTTGTAGTTTTCTAAATGGAGATGTGTTTATGCAGGTTACAGGCACTATGCTGATCTACTCCCTCTTCATGGTGGAGCTGTTTCGCAGCGACCCGATCGAGAGCCTGGACGAAGTGATCTACTGGGTGAACGCCGTCAGCAGGGTGCTGGAGTTTGTGGTGGCGCTCTGCGTGGTGGCGTACGGCACGTGGGAGTCGCTGTTCGGGGAGTGGAGCTGGATGGGCGCCTCCGTCATTATCATCCACTCGTACTTCAACGTTTGGCTCCGAGCTCAGTCTGGCTGGAAGAGCTTCCTGCTCAGACAGGAAGCGGCTAAGAAGATCAACTCCCTCCCCAGAGCCACGGCTCAGCAGCTGCAGCAACACAACGACGTCTGTTCCATCTGCTTCCAGGTTAGTGCCGCTGTGACTTTGTCATTGGCAGATCATCAGAGTGCTTGTGCGGTATGTTTAAGGCTGGGAACAAACTACCCAACGGAGCTCCATCTTAACCCCGATTTGGTCATTGCTGCTGTTTTCCCAAGTTCTTTCACAGAGCTTTAACTTGTGACAAATAGTAAATATACTGCACCTGTACAGCCCCATTTTAGTCCTCAGACCACTCAAACACTGTATGCTATATGTCGCATTCACCCATTCATACACATTCATACGCTGATGGCAGAGGCTGCCATGCAAGGTGCCAACTGCTCATCAGAAAAAAAAAAACTAATCCATTCGCACACATTCACACACTGATGGCACCGCATCTAGAGAAATTTGGGGTTCAAGTGCGCTTGCAGAGGGACAAGCCGAGGATTGAACCGCAAACCTTCTGATTAGCTCCGCTCTACTTCCTGAGCGACAGCCGACAAACACAGATGGACATCTAATTTAAAACTGACACAGTCACCATTGTGACATGCTCAGATGTCACCGGTGACAGGGTGAGTTTGTACAAAGAGGACAGTCAATGCTTCCTCTAAATGTTAATTATTGTATGAAAATCCACATTCATACCCAAAATATCACAACAATTTCAACATTAGTATAGAGTTAAAAATGTTGTGATCCTTTATATTTGACAGTATAGCCCAGCTCGACATGTAGGTGGTGGACCAACATGTGACATACACTGCTGTTTATAATACTTAACTCTGTGTGTACCTTTTTTTTTTTTTTAAGTCACGTTGTTCCTGTTTTTCCAGTTTAGCTCCACCTCTACTTGCACTGTTCTGGCACAATCTTTGGCCCTCAGCCATGGTTATTGTTGAAACCAGTTCATATAGCTTTTACCTGTCCTTGACAGTCATGACTAGGTTGTTGTCAAGGAAGCAGCTACAGAAAATGATGTAGAGAAGATGTTAGCCCTGACATGTGCTCTATTTTAAAGAAAAAATAAGACTTTATTGGAGAAATTCACATGTCACAGCAGCACAAACCCAAGGTAAGAGGTAATAAAACAGATAAAGAACTGTTTGACTGAAATGTAATGCAAAATATATTATCAGATGAATCTATACAATATATACGATACCTTAGACCAGTCATACTCAACTTGCTGCCCATGAGCCAAATCTGGCCTGTGATAGGGTGCTGGGTGGCCCACCAACCATTTACCATTTTGTCACAATTAAAATTAATTGATTGACACTGGGAATTTTTGTTTTTGTATATACCAATTAGTAAATATTCAATATATATATATATGTTTTATATATATATATATATATATATATTAATTATATTAAATATATTAATTGACTGTTGCTTACTGTTACATATTAGCCTGCACACACTAAAAGAGCTTAAACATGCTTTTCATTATGTCCCAGGTAGGAGCAGCTTATGATTTGATTGCTTGATGTAAGAGGTTCCAGCTATGTTGTGTAAAGTCTTTCAAATGTAACCAAAGCATTTACAACTAAAATTCAGTTGCAGCTATTAAACACGGTAAAATATCATATCAAGATAATTTTCATATAGGCACAAATAAGTCAGTTATGACCCGTTAAAGTATATAATGTTATATTTGATAGATATGTAATAGTATTTTATAGATTTACTACTTCATTAAGCTGTTACAGTCAAGTCAAATATGTCTCTCCTCACAGGAAATGAGCGCTGCTGTTATCACATACTGCGGACATTTCTTCCATGGCAACTGCCTCCGCAAGTGGCTGTACGTGCAGGAGACCTGTCCCATGTGCCACCAAACGGTCCGACCCAACCCGCCAGGCCAGAGCCAGGCTTCAGGCGAGGCTCCGGCAGCTCCAACTCAGAGAGAACCAGGGCCAGAACCGCCTGCACAAGATGTAGATCAGAACCGGGACAACGGCACGTCCCGAGAGACACAGAGCGAAGCTGTAACTCCTGATCCCGCCGAGCAGCAGGAGCAGACGGGAAGCTTTGGGGATGGAGACTGTGGGGCTGAAAATAAAGACCAAACAGAAGAAGCTGTCCAAGGTCTTCGTTTCAGCTCCAGTGGAGACTTTGTAGGATTTGTTAGCCCAGTGTCAAGCTGCTCTTCGGGGGGCATTTCTAGTTCCCATGTGCTACTGGGTAAAACTTCTTCTCATAACATGCAAAATCAAGGTGAGGAGAGTGGCAATGACTCACCACTGCCATTAACTTGTAATGCTGTGAACGAGAACGCGGTGGAGGGCCAATCTGACTCTAACGGAGCAGAATTTGAAGCTACTTTCTGTCCTAGAGGGCCACAAAACAGCAAAGGCAGCTGCTATGGGACTCCTAAATCATGGAACAGCCTCGGTACAACTGAATTAAACAATGCTGACAACAATCTTGAGGCCCTTGGTGTGAGCCTCGTCGATAGCCAAACATCTGTCAAATCATGTAATGAAAACTCAGAACTCTTAGACTGCACTGACGGACCTCAGACTCATAAAGGTAACGGCACATATTCGGACTTGGACGGGCTCAGAGAGGCAGAAACTGTCCCACAGATGTCCTCATGCACAAGCACAGACAACAGTGACTGACTGCCCTGCATCAGTGCCTTGAAGGGGTAAAAAAAGGGTGATCCTCCTGTACTGGGGAATTAAGCACATTTGCCTTCTTTCTGTGAATCAATAGGAAAAGAATATATTTTACTTTGACAGTGTACTGTCAGTTGAGCAAATAACATGCATCTGGATTGAATATAGGGACTAAATTTTGTGTTGGGTTAAAATGACCCTTATTGTGCAACTGTAAAGAAATTGTAAAATCTAATTCATAGAGATTACGTGTAACTATAAAGCAATTATCTTACGTCGATATTTACCAAATTCTACCAGGTTACGAGTGAAGATGTTTACTTAGAAAAATTAAATGACTTTTGATTTATGTTTTTCCCCAGTGTCCTGGTAGTTGTCTTGTTTAGCATTTTTGTGAATGCAATGTGGCAAAAGGAAAAGCTTCAGCGGTTGTTTTTGTTATTAATGAATCAGCGTTTTGTACTGCAAAGGTTCTCTGTCTGACCAGTATTTTTATTTTTTACTGTAGTTTCTATATGAATTAATAAAACCACGGCAGGTGCACGGTGAGGCTGGCATTGCGTGCCAGATTTCTTAAGTCTAAACACAACATTACTTCTGTAGCCTTAAGCTAAGAGAGTCCAGATGACATTTTTTGGCTGATATATTGATTCGGAGATAATAAAGTATTCTACATCACTGTGTCATTGCACAATCATCCACAGTAAAATATCACAGCCATCATAAAATGCTATAAATAGTATTTCTATGTTATAGTTGTTGGCCATTATTTCGAAATGTCTCCTTACAAAACTTGGGTTGTTTTTGTTCTAATGTCCTCTTCAACACTCAGCTAGTTACATACAAAGGATTTTCTTTTTAATATCTGTGCTGGTGTTCATTTTGTGGGTGTTTTCCCTTAAAAAAAAGTGTCCAAAAATCCTTCAGCCAACCTTCCCATTAGGCTGAAACTGAAGTATTTACACGTAATGTAACCAATATTATTGCCTGTTAACTCCCATTCCTCTCCTTCTCTGTGCATTGTGTGCAGTATTCCTATGCTGAGACATTACATGGCCCCTGTGGAGTAATTTAATTAAACCTGGACTTTGGGAATGTAAGCACAATATCAGCTGAAGGAATTATCTCAAACTATAGAAAAGGGCTACACTTTACAACCATAAAATGTGAAATATTGTATGAGAGTTAAAGTAGAAGTGTCAGTTAAAACACTGAAGCAGTTTTAAGTATCAGTTGTAGTTTATTTAAAGCAGTTAAAGGTGTCAGGTATCATATCAGGACCCACCTGAAGGCCCTTATCATGTCATTATACTTTGGTAATTCCCAAAAAAAGTTGATTTATGAAATAGACTAAGATTTATAAAACCCAAAGATATTCTGTTCATCATCGAAGAGAAGGAACTTTTAACTTGTCTATGATATTTTACGGTCAAAATGAATAATTAATAATAAAATAATCCCTAGTTTGTTTCATAAATCAACTTTTTGGGGGGGTGGAATTACTATCATGACTTATTATATTTGTATTCACTTAATATTCTTATGATTTTGCAAACATATTTAACAATATTTAAAAATATGTTGCACCAAAATCAAAACAATTTAAATTTAGCCTTTAACAATTAATAGATAGATAGATAGATAGATAGATAGATAGATAGACTTTATTAATCCCTGAAGTGAAATTGGGTAGTCATAGCAGCCAGGTACATTTAAATACAATAAAATACAACAACAGAATAAAATTCTTAGGTAGAAAAGATAAAAAAGATAAATAGGTAGATAAGGTGCAAAGAAGTTGTATTTGCAAGATGGTGGTAATAGTACTGATGATATGAAAGTAGGAAGGTAGTGTTATTGTTAATAACAGTATATAATAATAATAATGTATACACACACACACACACATATTAATATATATATATATATATACATGAGATATGATATATAGCATGTGTATAAAAGAAAGATATGCATACAATAAATAATACATTGTATAAATATCAACAAGAAAATGTCAAAATGAATAATTAATAATAAAATAATCCCTAGTCTATTTCATAAATCATAATCATTAACTACTTATTATATATTAATTCACTCAATATAAAAATATATTGCACCAGAATCATAACAATTTAAATTTACCCTTTAACAATAATTAAATAAGCTGACCTATATATAAATATATATATATAAGGGTCCTGTCATGCATGTTGTTGTTGTTGTTGTTTTCCCCCCCAGCAGCTTGTAACCAATCTGCCACCACATCCGCCCCGTCACTCAGCAACCGCCCCGTCACTCAGCAACCGCCCCGTCACTCAGCAACCGCCCCGTCACTCAGCAACCGCCCCGTCACTGCGCAGCCGCCGTGGACCGCCTCCTCTCGTCATAAAGCTCCCACTCCATGTCCACAGCCGCTAGTTGGCTAACAGCATCGACCCAAACCAAAAGAGGAGCCTTTCTTTTTTTTTTTTTTTTCCCCCGGCTCGTCCAGGAGAGTTGTTTCTTTCCTTTCACCTGGCACAACGCACGTACTCAACCTCGCTTTACGGTGTGTGTGTGGGGGGGGGCACAAATAATCCAACTGAAGGCGTTGTAAAGAGAGAGAGGGGATCGAGCCTGCGAGCTTTGTTACCCAACTCCGCGCATACGTAGTTTTAGCTAGCTCGGCAAGCTAACTGCGCTAGCTCGAGAATAAAAAAATAAAAAAAAGGAAAAAGGGAGGCCCGTCGAGTTTGACCGCTTTATTAATTACTGCTTGGATCGGAACCTCTTCGCACACCCACAGAGGAACACCGAGAGAGGAACACCGAGAGAGGATGGCTCTGAAACGGATCAACAAGGTGAGACACCGTCGGCCATGTTAGCGAGCTAACGTAGCTAAGTTACCCTTAGCCTCCCACAATGTAGCCGAGCGCTCCTCTTGTTGCTGTATCCTGTGGAAACATGGCGGTCAAACATGTTCTGGGAAAGTGTGTGTGTGTTTTTTTTGTTGCTTCGTGTACTGTGTGTGTAGTGTTTAGTGGATTTATGTGGCCGGGTAGCACACACACACGGGACACGGCTCGACGTCTGGACCGCAAACGCCATTTAGCTTTGCTAACATTAGTAGTTTCGGTTACAGGTTCACTGTGTTTCTTTCTTTTTTTATTTATTTATTTATTTATGTGTTTATTAAAAGATACTTTATACCTTTTACATGTTTTGAATGCTGTGTGGTTTTAGTGTTTTATTAGAGGGCCTCACATGTCGGTGTGCTATGTTAAAGAGGTATCCAGTGTTTTTTTTTAAAATAGTTTATATAATAGCTGTGATATAATTCAGTCCTGTTGGCTTTATAGGTGTGGAAACAAGACGATTATAAAGTCAAAGGAAGTGTGAAATGTGTGTGTGTGTTTGTATATTAGAGTAAAGTGGAGGGTGGGAAAGAAAAGTAGACTTGTAGCTTTTTAAAAAACAACTTTAATAATAATAATAACAATATTTACACGTATACATACTAGGCAGCAATATATGCCCTCCTCCTTCTCTTAGGATTATTGTTTTAAGTGGTCAGTGTGTCGTTTAAATATGAAACTATAGAGTTTTATTTGGTAGCATAACCTTAATTTATATGATGTTTTTACATTATAGGAGTAAATGTGTCTCAATCTCACCTGTCGACCACATAGTCTGCTTTATTTTCATGTTCACTGAAGCCTGTATGTGGTTAGGATCTGTCTCCGCCATCTCTCCTCTGACAGTACAGATGAGAGGGTTAGATAACATTGTGATCTACTTTCGCTTTTTAGTTTCCTCTTTGCCCTGTTAAACTTTTTATTTTACTCCGATACTCCTGTATTACCAGAACCCGTGACTCACATCGCTGACCGAATTCGTGTTAGCAATCAGAGCTGCGTTTCATGATACACTTCCTTGGTATGCGTACGTATTTGTTCTGTGTCTGTGCACATTCACAGGGTGTGTTCTGGCCCTTAAATGGAGGAAGTTGGCAGCAGTAGAGAGCAGAGTTACACCTAAAGGAAGAGTTCACGCCGTGGCTTCATTTCTTCACCGTGCTGTTGACGAGAATGTTCTTCCAGGGGAATCCATAAACTTCGTTGTCAGATGGTGTGTGTGTCCCGTAGGCCCGGGGTGGGGCTGTGGCCTCCACCTCACTCTAAAGTAGCTGTAGACCTAAAAATAACAGTAGGGGCAGTATGTATGCTTCGGGCTCATCTTGCGGTTGGCTGTGTAGCCCGGTGGTTTCCAACCTTTTTTCCTTAAAGGACCCCTTTTTTCACCCATTTAGTAAACGGACAACCCAAGAGTGGGTAACGTGTTTTTATAGATATTTAAAATTATATTCAATAGCAATAACAATACAGAACAACTGAAACTATACAGTGAACCCAAACAGCGAACGGAAGTTGATGTAAAACGTGTGATTTGGTTGAATTTGGGGCAGACTATTTCCTGTACATCAGAGATGAGGTTTCTTGATAACTTTAGGGAACTTTCAGTCCAATCATACATGCTTGATAGGCTTCTTTTTTTTGGACTAATTCAGTGTTTTCTTCTCATTGTTATATTAGTTCTTTGGTTGCTTTAACAGCGTGCCTTTCTAATGTCGGACGAGGCTGTTTAGAAGAGCATGAAGTTTGGTTTCGTGCTGCGATATAGGCTCACTGTGTGTGTTTTCTAAGTGCCTGTGCGCTCCTTAAAATCGAGAAGGCCTCGCGACCCCCCTTTGGTGACCTCTAAGGCGTGTTGACCATCAACTTAGGAACCACTGGTGTAGACGATAACAAGGTGGCCCCCTTCCCCCTGAGCTGGTGCGGAGTTGAACTTAGAGGGGAGTGACAGGAGATAACAACACTCACTCGAGGGTGTTGTGAACTAAAATGAAGAACACGACCACTCATGTGGCGTCTCCCCCCCCCCCCTGTTCCCCCCCATGTTGGCATTTATACCCAGGATGCTGCTCAGTCTGGCACGTTGATTTCAGATCGTGTCTCCTCCATTGTTTTTTCTCTTTAAGATCACTGTGGTCTAATTGGTTATTGTTTGTAAACCTCTTCTCATTACAGGAGCTTAGTGACCTGGCTCGTGACCCACCAGCACAGTGCTCAGCCGGCCCAGTGAGCGATGACAGTAAGTGTCCCAGAACGAGTCAAAAGCATTAGTCACTATCAATTAATGTGACAATGGTTCATTTATTTTATTTATTAGTAGTTTTGTGTCTCAAATGCCAGATATGAATGTTTTTTATAATTTCCCACAGACCAAGGTAACATCTTCAAATGTCTTGTTATGTCTGAACAACAGCCCAAACCCCAAAGATATTTAGTTTACAATCATGTATGACATGACATCAAACCTGAAAATATAGCATTTTTCCTTTTTAAATGGCCCTTTTTATCAATTAATTTCCTGTCAAAGAACTAACCATTTAATTTAATGTTTGAAGAAAACAGCAAAACAATTAAATAAAAAAACTAAAATCAAACAAGCTACATGTTGAAGATTATTCTGTCACACAGACTTTTCAGAAAATTTTAATTCAAGAGAAACTATTAAGTGTGTTTTTAAATAAACTCTAAAAGCACAAATGGGTGTAGGCCTAGAGCTGAGCACTGGTTATATGGGTCATGAATACCTCCACCCTAAAATAGCATGATGGGCGGTAGAGTAAAACTAATACGTGACCACCATGGTTACAAAACTTCTCAGAGTATGAGAATGAAAGTGTGTGTATATATAAAGGGAAATTGTGCATCTTGAATGCGGCAAAGACATTTTAGAAGCGTAGTTCCTGTCAAATCATACCTGTGACCTTTTCCTCGTTTCCTAACACTTTACTTTCGTTTCTCTGCAGTGTTTCACTGGCAAGCCACAATCATGGGACCTGTAAGTAGATACTTTATGACATAATTGTTGCTCTCTTGTACTTCGAAGGCTGCATGGTGATGAAATTTGTGACCGAGGTAGTGTTCCCGGCTGCTTTAAATGTATTCGTGATAAAGGTTGAAATTTGACTTGATAATGGGGCAGCTGTGGAAAGCGGGTTTAGATCATTCTCTATAATATGTAAATGTCTCTTTTGCTTTCAGAGCGACAGTCCATATCAGGGGGGAGTTTTCTTCTTGACAATTCATTTTCCAACAGACTACCCCTTCAAACCACCCAAGGTAAACTGAATCACACCTGAAACCAGGCTTTCTTTCTTCTTTTATTCTCTCATTAGATCGCATTATACATTGGTGGAATTAAAGATGTATATCGTCCTCTTCAGTACTCATTATGCAACAGTCAGTCTCTATTGCGACATAAAGATAATGGCTAATATATTCACGGTCTGGAACTGAGGTCAAACATTGTATTTGTTTTAGCACTCAGAAACTCTAATTTTACACTGTGTGTGTATGTGTGGAAGTTACTGGAAAATAACAAAGAAACAGTTCTTTTTAAATGAAACCAAGCCTGGCGGTTTGGCATCATAAACACTTTCTGTATCTGTTGACAGTCCTCATGCAGCAATACCGGTCATTCCAGAAGTTGATAGTCATGAGCATCAAACGTGTCCGCCTCGTGTCAAGAAGTTTGAATTGCATAACCATGACATTTGTGACGCACTCTTATTTGACTGAGTCCTCACTCTTTGTTTGTTTGTTTTTTTTTTCCCTTTTTCAGGTTGCATTTACAACAAGAATTTACCACCCAAATATTAACAGTAACGGCAGTATCTGTCTGGATATTCTCAGATCACAGTGGTCTCCTGCACTTACTATTTCTAAAGGTATGGATAATCATGAAAGGACACCATGAGTTCTTGGCAATAAATGTGTCAGTTATTAGTTGATGAGTCTGAAGTGCGTCACCAAACATTGGGAAAGTTCTTGATGGACAAATCAAGAAGGATATTAGCTAATAACAACATGAAAGTCCTTTCCTGTTGACTGTTTTGGTGCTATGAACAAAAAGAGTTTAGAAATGATCATTGAAAGAGCTTTTTTTTAATGAATAATTAATAATTACTTTTTTATAATAAAGTAATATTTTAACTTTATTAATACAAATGTTGCCTTTTAGATGTCATCTGTTGTCCCATTTCTTACTTTCATTTGACAATATGCACTGTTTTGGGGTTAGATATTCATAGACACCTTCATTTTAGATATTACAAGATCATCATTAAATGAGGTTAAGGTAACTTGTGTAGATGGTTCGAATGCAGACTATTTTTTTTATATTTGTTATTATACAACAGTTGTTTAATGTCCATCTGTTTCTTGCAGTTCTTCTCTCCATTTGCTCACTCCTATGTGACCCAAACCCCGATGACCCACTAGTGCCAGAGATCGCACGAATCTACAAAACAGATAGTCAGAAGTAAGTAACATTATCCATACGTGTGCTAAACATGTGAAATAACTCATTCTCAACAGCCCTGTAGTACATGTTGTTTATTATGGTACATTATCCACAATTGTCCCAACTTTTAATGGCATAGTAAAGCAATCACCTGTACAAGTATCACCTGAGTCTAGTATGTAACCTAGTTTCACCCTGTCAGGTACAATAAACTAGCTCAGGAGTGGACAACAAAGTATGCCATGCTTTAGGGTAAGGCCAGGAGGCAGTGCTGCATCTTGGCTCTTGCTTTGGGATTGGTTGGTTGTGATGCTCTGGTCTCACTGGCATAACCAGAGGCTTGGGTCTCTGTTATGACGTATATGACTGCTGTGTTGGATTTGACTGTGATTATACTAATCTCGGGCTGCATTGGCCATACTCCGCTCAGATCTTGCACCTTGATACCCTGCAGAGGAAGTCTGTCTGTTGGCGTAAACAAACAAGTCATTTAAATATTTGTGCCATGCCCACTGAAACAATGCTCTCTTCACTGTTGTGGGTTCCTGATTATACAAGTTAACAGCTAATTGTTCTGTTGCATGAAAAAGTAAATAGTTCAGTAAATACGGATAGTTTGAGGTCTTGTCTTTCCAAACAGACTGAGATTTTAGACCAACATATAAAATGTTAGACCCCACATTTAGTACAAATGCTTTTCTGTTTGATTGGAAAATCAATGTGTAGAGACTTGAGATTAATCCACTAGTTTAAAAAAAATGGGTTGCCTTTATTTATCACTGTTGTTACTGTTGCACGGTAAAAAGCGGTAAAGCCAGTTGTCAGCAGGAACCATTCTGACAAAATGGTCTTGGTGGTGCATTCAAGGACACACCGACATTTGCCTGCCAAAAAGACCTGCATTCGTGCGCTATGAAGTCTAACAGACAAACTATTAGGAACATTTAAGTTGGGTTCCTTTTGTATGAAAAAGCTTGTTAGAGCAGATTTTAAAACCCTCAGGTGTTTGCCTGCAGAGCTGCATCACCATGCAATGAAATGACAATAAAAATAATAAAGGCAACAAATAATTAATTGTTATGTTTAAGTTACAAGTCTTTGCAAGCTGATTATCAACTGTGGCTCCCTGAAAGGAAATCAGTCTGAACATGTATGGTTTAAAAAAAAAAAAATGACCAGAAGGAGTTCTTTGTTTTGGACAGATGGAAGCAGGTAGATCTTTACTTTCAGTCAATAATGAATTTTGAATTACAAAAACACTTTCACAGAAGGTTGTATGATTTTTAAAATCTAAACACATCTCAGTCACCTCAATATAGCTCTTTACAAGGTAAATGTAAAGACTCATAGGACGCTATCGCTACCATTGCATTTACCCAAAACCTTCAAATCTGGAGTTTAGGTACTTTTCTGTGCCATAAAACAATTATTGAGACTATAATCAAACATAAGGGGTGCAACTAACAATTTATTTTCTCTGTTTTTCTCGTTTTCCCAATAAAATATCTGAAGATAGAAAAACATTTCCCGTCTCATTTTCCCAGAGGCCCTGTTGTTGTCGTCTAATGTATTTTTTCCCCTCCAATCAATGGGCCTTTTGTGTTAAATATAATCTGTGTATGAGTGTAATTATTGCTTTTTGTGTTCAATGGCGGAGCATTTAGAAGCAGAATTTTCTGTGCATGTAAACACAGCCACTAACCCCAGCATGAAAAGGTTTTGTTCTTGTAAGACGTAGGTAAAGATGACATGTCAAAGAAACATTTCTCTGTTTTATCACCCAGATTAAGAAGTTTAGTTCTTCCGGTGTTTTTGTTAGGAACTTTGCTTGCACTGCTTTTAAAAGCAATGTCCTCAAGTGCATGTGCTTTAAATAAATCCTGAATAAAGAGAGTTTTTATGGTGAATGTGATGAGTTCAGTCAGTTGTTTTTGCTCGAGTTAATTTAGTTTTTCTTGTTTCTCTTTGCAGATACACCAGAACAGCAAAAGAATGGACAAACAAATACGCAATGTGATGGCATCGTTTGGAAAGCTGGTGGAAAAATGTCGCTGTTTGGTTCAAACAAAAAAAATCCGGGATTTTCTTTTTTCTTTTTCACTTTTTATTTCTTTTCTTTATTTTATTTTTTTTAAAAATCAGAGCATTTTACCTCCTCCCATCCCTCCCTTCTATCCCTCCCTCCTCCCTTTACCACCTGCGCGCTCATAAGAAGATAGTGTTTTCTCTCTAGGACACGTGCCAGTTTCTGTGAAGTTTCTACTCCGGTTTATTTTTTTTTTTATGGAGTTTAAAAAAATACAAAAAAAAAACAATCACCATGGTTCTGAACACTTGTTAGAGCATGCACCAGTAAGAGTTATTTCAACCCAGGAATTGGTGATGTTAATCATTTTACTCTGCACACACTTAGTAGAATCTGATGCGACTGGTCTCCCGACGCCGAACCATTACAATCGACCCCACGATGATCCAGTGTGTTACACCCCGGCCGGATCCCGTGGGGTTGATAACTTACTGGATTTCTCGAGAGCACTTGTAGAGAAGCCTGTCTTTTGCCGTACTACTAAATTCAGAATTTTTAAAAGGTTTCAAATTGGCAAAAAGTCTGGTGCATTTTATTTGAAGGTGGTTAAAAAAAAAAAATTCAGAAAACTAAAGGGGGAGGAGGGAGGGGGATGCCAATTCTCTGAAAGATTTTGTGGGAAACTGGTTAGTGGCTCCTGTATCTGCCTCCTGGTCTGATGGCAGTTACGTTCTTCTGATCATTAGTATAGGAATCTATTACCCGAGGAAAAGAAGTGTATCTTATTCCACTATCAAAAGTGTGTGTACAGAGAAGCACAGCAGTATATATCAATGTTAAGGAAACAAAATATAAGAACTTCAATGTTGTATTTTATGCATGTTAATAAAGGTAGGCTATTATATCTGATATGTTTCTGCAGAAATTAAGTGGATTGTAAGGCTGGACGTTGGAAAAAATTTGGTTCCCCTCAAAGGCTTTCTATTTCTTTTTTGTTATTTAGAAGCCAGTAGATGAGCTATTAGTTTTATGCCCACTCGAACACTGTCTTCTTGTAGCCCTAAGATATTGATGCAAAGCTAATGGTTGATAATCAACTTGTGGCTCTTGTTTCTTTTTACTTTTCCCTTCAATAAAGTTACTTAAACCATAAGATGAGTCTTGAGTTATGTGTTTTATTTAAGGCATTTTTTTTAACATTAACTTTAAATCATTGTTGGTAGTTTGAATGTTTTTAGTTGCTGCAATAACATGACTTATTTTTTTAAAATACAAGTATAATTTCAGTATTTCCATGCAAAAAATGTACGTCTTACATTTATTTATGAATGGTTGTAAAGAATAGACCTGATGTGGATGTCGAATAAGAGCCACTTCATCAGTTCAAATGGAGATAATTAAATCAGTTTCTAAAGCATCTCTTCTGTGAAGGCTCAAAGCTCATTTTAGTAAAGCAATACAGATAATTAACATGAATTCAAAGATAAATTGTGCCTTTTCTTCTATGATAATAAGCTGTTTTATAATACGCCCTTCAAACTGATGACTACATCAGTAATTACAGATGTGATGTGTTTGTACAATATTGCCACAACAGACCATTAAACCTGTTTGTTCCAACTGTACAGAATGATTAAACTATTTACATCTTTGATACAAAACTTTGACTTTAACTCTGAAAAATACACATTTAATCTGAGTAATGTTTACTTTGTGGTTCTCAGCGACACCACAAACGTGAACTACCCAACGTTATATAAAGAAATTCAAATTAACTACATCAGTAAAATGTGAGATACACATTAATGCTGCAGTAAAAGTGCTCAAATATTTTACTTAAGTGGCAATACCACAGTGTAGAAATCTTATTATATATACTGTCAATGGTGGAAATACTCTGTTACAAATAAATAACATAAAGAAAGAAGTACTCATTATGCAGAATGATCCATTTCATAATAATATATGTACTGCTGGGTATCTTAATCCATTAATATTATATTTAATCTGACTCTGCAAAGCTAACACATCAATGTATTTAAGTACAAAGTACAGTATTTTTAAATTAACATAAATATAATATATATATATATATAAATACTCATATAAAGTATCTCAAAATTGTACTTAAACTTACATTTTTTCCACCACTGCTAAAAACATAATGTAAAGTAAAAGTAAAACACAAGACAAAAACCACTTTTCTGCATAATTAGTGCTTTTTCTTTTTATATTTTAAGTTTTCTGCACACTTTTAATGCAGGACTTTTAAATGTAATGGAGTACTTTCACAGTGCGGTATTAGTACTTTTACTCAAGTAAAGGTACAAACACTGCCTCCACTACTCGGTGTTACAGGATTATCTCTAAAAGTTCATATAAAATCTTAACAAATCCGACCATATTGAACCTTTTTTTTTCCCGCCAAGTCTCACAACTGCAGTCAGCTGACCGCCGAGCGCGCGTCACATGACCAAACAAGGAAGTGCCTTTGCACAGCAATCACAACAACAACAACAAAAAAAAAGAAAAGAAACCCCCAGAAGCTCCACTTTTACAGAGTTTTTACGTTACTTACAATGACTCCAGCGAACCGAGAACGATGACTCCGCGTGGAAACAGTCGCGTTTGTGTTTTTGCTGTTTCGTTTTGTTTGTTTTCCGGAGTTTTAACCGGATTTTCTTCGGTAACGGATCGGCGACAAACTGTGAGTCTGAGCGGGAAATGGAGGCTGACAAACGGCAACGGTTCTGTGTCACTGCCCGCGGAGGTTCCTGGGTGTGTTCACTCGGCTCTACAGCAGCAGGGGTACATCCAGGTGGGCACATTAATACGACTCATATGAGGATTGTAATTATGATATTATTAATGAATGAGTCTTCTGTGTGTATTTCCTTTTATTTCACTTTGTTTTTGTTCTTTATGCTGTAAGTTTTCTAACTTAGTTAAGTAAATAAAGTGAATATGACTCCTGTCTGACTTTGATTTAAGTATGTGTACTCAAGTTCTGTACTTGAGTAAAAGTTTGAGGTGCTGCTGTCATACTTTTTCCTTTATTTGTTATTTTGAAGCTCAACATTTTACATACAAACCACACAATCAGTTTATATAAGGCTGTTGTTATTGATTAATATTAATAGTAGTATATTAAACAGACAGAATAGTTCAAATAAACATAATCTCAAGTAGCTGTAACATTAAAATGTCTAATAAGTACTTTTAATTTCAGTACTTTTAATAAAAAATGTTCCCTAATACTATCGCAGTTCTATAAATATAAATAAAGTATAAATGCAGAACCTTTACTTGTAATGTATAACAGTGTTGTGATATCTCAATACTTCTTGAATTACTTTTAATTAGGTAAATATTGAGTAAGTGTCTGTGGTCCTTTGTTTAATTTATTTTCAGTAATTAAAGACTCTCTTCCCGGGTAAAATTTTGTTTTTGTCACCTGTTAATTGTCCTTTTTTTCTGTGAAATAATGTCATAATATATGAAACTAATACAAGTAGAGAGAAACAGAGAATTCCCCAACATCTTACCGGCCTCATTGGCTTAAAATATCCACATATAACATACATGACAGTGTCTATACAGGAGTTTATGTTTTGCAAAGAATTTTGTATTAGTAGAGTGAAATCTGTAGTGGGGAATTTTAATCTATATAATGTTTTCAACCCGTCAGCAATAACATTAAACACTTGTTGCTGTTTTATCTGCACTATCCCAGTATTTTAATGCTATTTTTGCACTACTTTTAGGCCAAAGTATCTCAGGTTCAGTATCCCATTTAGAAGTTTCTTACTGAAGGCTGTGAAACACATCTAAAAGTTCATTTTGGAAATACAAGTAAGAAAGAAATTTTTAGCCACGCACAAAAAAATAAATTAACTTGGTTAATGTTTATTTATTTTTGGTGCGTGGCTAAAAATGTCTTTCTTTCCTGAAATTAAATTAAAATGTCAGCACATGCTACAGTATCAGCAGCAGGTGTCAGTTACAACAAACTTTGAACACATGTTACAACTATAAACTAAGAAATGAAATAATAAATAGTAATTCCCATCAGCTAAATCCTTCCCTTTGCTTTCAGGACCCTTATTTCAGGTTTAACGATGTGTCTTATCGGTGGATTGCCTTTGACAACTGGACATACACAACCACATTTACTGCGTCCACCCAGCTGAGGTCAGTATGATGATTTATATACATTTTTAAAAGCATTTTCTGCATCCTGATCCGGACTCATCTGTGTGTTCTCTGCATTAAAAGGACCAAACAGAAGGTACAGCTCGTCTTTGACGGTGTTGACACTGTAGCAACGATTTGGCTCAATGAAATCATTGTCTGGAAGACGGACAACATGTTCCGCACATATGTACGTTCACTGGAAAATAAGCCTTTGACAATGCACTGTATACATTATCTTCTACTTGAATGCATCCTTTGTTTGCTTTCTTTGAAATGCCATCTGTTTTTGGTGCGTAGGACTTCTCGGTCAGAGACTTGCTGAAGGACGGCGATAATGAGCTGAGAGTTAGCTTCTTGTCTCCAGTTCTTTATGCGTCTGAGCGGAGAAAAGCTCATTCTGCCTACAGAGTTCCTCCTGAATGTCCTCCAGATGTCCAGAAGGGGGAATGTCACGTCAATTTCATCAGAAAAGTAAGTCTGTCTCTACCGCGTGTTACCTCTCCTCTGGAAACCTGAAAGCACAACAGAGTCCAGACTGAAATATTTTAGTCCACCTGGTCCCTAAATCCCATCACAGTTATTTCAGAACTGTTCTAGACATCAGTAATAAGTCTGATTTCAATTAAAAAATGGGTCTAAAATTTCAATAATCAGAATTTTAGGCCTCAAAAGGTCTTTTACTGGATTAATGAAGTTAATGTTACTGGTATAAAGTTCCACTTTTAGTTTTAATTAGTCTTCATTTTAAATGTGCTTTGGGGAAAAATTGGTATTCATCAAACTATAACAACTACGAAACAGACAAGGAACCAATACTGGTTTTCCTTCATATCCTTCGTACTTTTAATTTTAGTGAAACGGGTCTTAAATTGCATTCGTAATGGTCTTTAAAAAGGTCTTAAATTGAACCTG